AATGTTACTTGAACACTGATTGAACGTTGGGCACGGTAAGGTCCACAAAAGCTAACAAAAACATATAACAAAAGAGTCTAAAGCGTTTTCATAACCATTTCACTTTAATAACTATGCACAACATCGCTGAAATCCTTACCAGTGGTACCTAAGCGCTCTCTATTGTAGCCCGGTCTAGCCCATCAAGCCTTATCTTAGCTACCCACAAGTCATATCAGTTTTCAGAATACATACAATGTCCTTGCCTAGTCCCTAGGCCTCATTTTTCCTCGCGGCCAAAGCGTTTCAGGTCACGTGGTCCATGCGAAAATGTTTCCCGCCCGTTCGCCTCGGATACGTCACCGAAACGAATTGGCCGAGAGGGACTGGGAAAACGCCGTAAAGGGACTTGGCAAACAATGTCCTACAAAAGAGCTACTGAAGAAGTTCCACTGAATTTAATGATCATAACAACGAACGTTCATCTAAAAACTCAAAAGCACGGCTGAGTTCTAGAAGTATACGTATATTCCTTTTCTCTATAATTTTGACCATGTTTAATTGGCCTTGAAAATGAAATCGAAAGCGATGAAGCAATTTGTGTTTAATATGTTGAACTCCCCTAATTGGTTTGTTATTTTATCATCTCTTGATCATTGAACCACTACGACCGAAAAGTTACATTTTCAAGCTTTTCGTTTTCTTCTCTGATAAGTGCAATCAGATATTCCGTTCTCGGTAGCCGGCTGTTTCTACCTCCCACCTAATGTGTAGGGTGCCCCCGAAAGGACTTCACAGCGGAACGGCGGGGTATCCCTCATGTTTTTTATCCGCGGGTTTCTCTCTGTTATCGGTGACAACAATCTTAAAGTGTTAACGGGGTATTAAGAATTAGTGGTTTTCCTAAAAAGGCATATTATATCAAGCAAAATCCTTCTTGAAAAGGTCCGAATATGGAGGCCTGAATAGCGCTTGACCACTCAACACTCTCCTCCCCCTCCCCCCTCCAATTCCAGTGTGTGTCTGAAGAACTGTAAAAACTGGATCTACAAACTTAATTCGTAATTTCATAACTTTTGGGTACCCAGATCTCACTGGAGTCGTTCAGTAGGTTTCGAAACAAGAGGCTTTAAGATAAGACCAGACGGAATTCGAAGAAATAACTCTCAGTTACAATTTGACTAGAAGTGTCCCTAAACATCACTACCACCCCAGCCCCCTTGCTCCTCAGTAAGTCGTCTTTCTCCACCCAGCTCCTATGTTTATTGAGGACACAGCGTGACTGGAGACATGGGCTAGTTTTTTGTTTAATTAGTAAACATAAGGTTTTATATGACTTCAGTTAATTTGTTCTATCAAATCTCGTTATCACTAACGCCCCAGTATTAATGAAGTATTTTAATCTTCTTTCAATTATTTTTTGTCATGTTAAAAAGGAAACTGGAAAAAATAAAAATACTGAATTAAAAAAGAGATGCAATAGTAATTAACAATTAACAGCTTCTTTACTAAAGTACGAAGAAGAGGCTTTAAGTCCAGTATGAAATGCAAATTTTGCAAAATTGACCTTCACTAATAAGAGCATGAAGAACGGTATTACCCTTGGGATGTTTGAAATCATTTGAAACATTTGACCTTAAAGTTGCGCGTTAGTTTCTTTCTATGGATGGTGCATTTGTTTTGGCTTCAAACAAAAAAATGTTTTTATTACACTTTATTCATTAGGACAAAGCATGACAAATGAGCATTCCGTGGTTTCATCGCTCATTTCCTACGTAATTCGGTAATAAGTTCGGTGTATGAAGTCACGCATGGCTCATTTATTACATGACTTTCGATAATTACTTTTGATCTACTAATATTCCGTATTACTCACGACATCCCAACGAATAAGCACGTCTTTTGTGCAAAAATGGATCAAGAAAGAAATCGTCGATTTTCTACAGGCCAAATGAAGATAGCAGCGAAGAGAAGCTTAATACGCGTCCCAGGATTTGGCATTTCTTCTGACCACAACTATGAGTCAACGGTCGTGAGCCAATTCCGTTCACAAGAATGTCCCGTGGCCAGGGTCACAAAAAGTGACGTACAAGTCGAGTACGTTCCTGAAGACTTGAACGTACCTGTTAATTCAGCCAGCGCTTTAAACTTAAAGTCATCGCCAATGAAATCGTTGACAAAACGACATATACCAATCAAAGATTTCGCCAAAGGGTCACGGATCAATGGGAGAACATTGAGTAGAGATATTGAAGCCGGCAACGCGGAAAGGCGTCGACTTACTCACGAAAAAGACGCTAAAGAGCAGCGCTTTTTGAACGAAAAATTTCCGATATCCAGCAGACGAATGTCTTGCCCTGATGGCTCTTTTAAAGAACGATTTGGAGCTTTCTCAAGAACTAGCACGGCGAAAGGGATGGCGAGATCCAAGCGGAAATTACACCTCACGGTGCGAATGAAAAACTACTTCGATGCTGAAGCCGACGAATCACGCGATTCTTTGCCAAAAATTAACGAATCACTGGGAAGATCTAATACTGATGAAAATCAATTGCTTTTACTAGTTGGAAAAAATTTTGAAAAGAAAACACAGAAATCGCCGTCGCCAAGAGCGTTTGACATAGAAAAATCTACGGATGGAATTCACCTTGGATTTCTCGAGTCTAAACTATCAAGTGTTATCCCATCGCCAACTTCGGAATCAGAGGGTACTGATAATCAAGGACAGAAAAAAACATTGAATGATAAAAGCAAGATCATCGAAATCACTTTCGACAACAAACAACATGATATTGCTCCTTCAAAATTTATTAATTTATCAACCCGAAATAATGCCAAATCGTCAGGAAAAATAAAACAAAGTATGGATATTGACCTTGTACGTCTGAGCGTGGGTCAAGCGGAAATGACAAGAGGACCTGAGTCACGAAGGCAGATAACACAAAGAAAAGGAAGGGCAAGTCCACGGCGAAGAAGAGTCAACTTCACACCAAATAGCACGAACGGTGAAGCTTCTCAGGAAACGCTTTTAACTACAACCTCGGAGCAAGATATAGATCGCAAGGTCCAGGCTTTCTTAAGAAGCCAGCAGCCAATGGCGAGCCCAGAGACATTAAAGGTGAAAGTTTCTAAGAAGTCTAACTCATTTCTGCCGAATTACACTCTGCAAGAGAGGCGGTACACGCCCCGAGTTTGTATTAACACTGATACGTGTCCATCAACTTCAAATCTCATCAATCAAGACCGTTCATGGTACTATCAAGACAGAACAGGCAAATGTCGGTATTTAAGGGTGCCTGAGTCACCGATTCCACCTGTAGAATGGATTTTCCAACACGAAGATGAATAATAAGAGGACGCGTTTAATGTGTATATCTGTGGCTCCTTAGGGTACCTGCTACAGGGTCTGGGTCCGTCTGTGAATGCCCATACAGTATTCAAACAATTCTTTTGAATTTTTACTTAATAGTTAGCAATAACATGAAGTAAGTTTCTCCAAATAAAAAGTGTGAATGTTTTCACATGTCACGATACCATTCCCGTAACCTCGTACGGCCCATGTACGGTACACGTTTTAGCTACCCAAAAGTAGCGATAGGAAAAGGCTGTTAATCCGAAGGGTGTTTGCTTTCGAAACTCTTCGGTATGGTGAAGTGATATCAATGAACCATAATTCCCCAATACACAACGTAAAGATTGCCTTCTTTGTTCCAGGAGAGCAGTCGATGCATAAACTGCCGAGCTTGTTCCAAAGTTATAATTTCATTAAGAGAGAAAGTTGTTACTCGAGTTTCTCGCACAAGGAGAACATCAGACTGAAAGCGGAGTTTATGAATTAATTTTGTGTTGTACTCGACAACATACTTTACTTTAGCCAATCAGAATGTATGTAAAACATTCTTCGCTGATTTAAATTCAGTACTAATCCGAAGTATTCCGGCTAGCAGGGTATTGTCATGATACACCTCAGCATAATAATCTATTTATTAAGCCAGTTCCATGAAAACGTTTCCAGCTGGCGAAACGTTTTTGGACTGATTATTTTAATCTATAAAACGTATTATTACTATCATTGTTATTTGCATTTTTTCAATGGTTTAGAGAGAAAATAAACGACTATTTCCAAGGACCTATTTAGTTTTTCGAACTTGAACTATTATAATACTTTGAGAGACTTAATCTGCGTTTCTTGCCTCTTGTCGTTGGTTCAGTTCTTCCATTTTTTTCTTACTGACATAAAATTCCCTATGTCAATCGCACTCCTAATGAAATTAGAGCAGTCTATATTTAGTCATATGAAGGAATCAAAGCCACCCCGTACAATCGACCATGACAAGACGTGGCAATATTACCTCTGCGAATATTTACGTCAGCAGACGAGCAAATCTTACCACTATATCACCGTTTGTAAACAAAATCCTTGTCATTAGCACTGTTTGTGCATGAGACTTCTTTACAGTTCTGTTGCATTGGGAACTCCATCAGTTATCATCCTAGACGGACTTCACATGAGATCAGTTTACAAAAGTCCATTTTCGAGTTCGCTATGACCGCTGAATTAAAGAAGTGAAGACGCATTTTTTACAGCCTTAGCCTCAATCTGAAGTAATATATTCACAAATTTCAACGAGAAAAAGACCTCTTTATTACTCTGTCTATTGTGTATATTCAAATTTCAAACACTTGCTTGTCAGAATTTCTGAATATTTTACTTTACGTCGAGGCTAACCCTGCATGAATGTGTCGTTAATGTTTATATTCAGCGGCAATTTTTAATTCGAAACTGGACTATTCCAAAATGAGGTTTGGTGGTGAATCGTAATTATGCATCATAAGCAGCCTAGTCCCTAGGCGTTCTCTCTTGCCCCGTTGTCCGCTCGAAGTCTGGGAAAGAACGGGCGAGTATCTCCCGGTGACGACACAGCTCACGGTAGAGTCCAGGATTGACCGCGCCGAGAACGCCTAGGGACTAGGCTGCATCATAAGGACTTGTTCCAATTCTGTGTCGTTGCTGTTCACACGATAATACATCGGCACGTAAAGCATTCAGCATAGTGTGAACGTGGCCTCAGGCTTGAGTCTGTAGATTCTTAACCTAACTTGCCGGTTTTTACTATTAGTAAAACTGTCTATTTCAATTGAACGAACGTTACGGAGCAATAACTTTCTCTGCTGCTGTTTACCATGCTATGCAAGCCAGTTGTCGTTCCAATTTTGACGCTTGAATGATAGATATCAATATCGTACGTTGAACTTTTTCAACACTTTCACCACCTCATCTTGATCTTTCCATTTCTCTCCAACCACGTCCCAGATGTCTCCATGGTCATGTGATTTTTGCCGTTTCTTGATTCTTGCATCCGCTGTTCTGCACCTTCGATGGACTCGTGAGCTTGCACCTCAATATTCCAAGAAAAAAAAACATTTGTTAGTATTCGGAGGAAAAAATGTTACAAGTCAAAGAGTAACAAGAAACAGGGGCACCCATTCCTGATACGTTAGAAGTGTCTCAAATAGTTGCTTGATTTAGTTCTGCCTTCAAAATTTAAAGTATTAACTCTTTGGATGTCTTCGGGGAACTTCGGTCGTCTCCAAAGTTTAAGGTGACTTTTTTGTTTCATCCGAAACTGTTAGCTACCCTTAAGGGTCCGGCCGAAAGTTAGTGGACAGGGGATAGCTGTACTTTTGTGAAAATGTATGAGACGTTTTGTCTCTTGCCGAAAATTTCAGGAGATCTTTTTTATCAATAATCGCACTATCTTGGAAATAAAGAGTGAAAACACAACCTCCGAAAATTGTAGGTGAGTTGAATAGATTCTTGGAATATCTTAGACTAGACGAATGGAAAGGTTAGCCAGAAATTTTAGCCTTTCTCGAGCGTTAGAAATTTCTAGGCATTTCGACACCTGCAAGAAACACAGTAAGTCAATAGAGACCTGTAGATTCCAGGACGAGGACGGTTATGAGGACGACATTTAACTTTTTTTTTCACATGTTGTCAAAAAATAGACACGCGGGAAAACTTCATTGCACTTTTTTCACAAGATAAGTTATTGAAGGAGGTTACGCCCCCTTCTGATCGAAAAAATGACTGATAAAACTTCTAACATTTAATGTAATATGTCAGAAACTTAAGGGCGAGCGCGTCATCACGGGTTCAAAACACCGAAAAAAAAAAATGAAAGCAAGAGGCCGTAAAAAATAAATAAAACATCTCATTAAAATGCAAGCGTTTGATCTCAGATGAAAAACAAGTTTTATCTCACATGAAAACATGGCGTATCATTAGGTATCAAGATTCATCCACCTGAACCTAAATGGTCGTCATTTATTGGCTTTTGACGGCATGAATAATTAATGAGTTTGAGAAAATTTGTTTCCGCCGCTTCGACACTGGTACTTTTGAATGTAGTAGTTGAATGACGACGGCTATCAGACGTTTTCCCGCCAAAATGACGCCGGTTCACACGCGCACTACTTAGATTTAAGAAAATCTTGTCCTCGTCGTCGTATCTAAAGGTCTCTAATCTTTCGAATGGTTACGAATAAACGTTAAACTAACCTCGTCTGAATGCGGACATTGTAAGGGCAGCTTCCTCCTTCACCATGCCTTCTTTATATTGATGTAAAGCCATTATCAGATTCATTCCACCATGAGCAAGAAAAAGTTGTTTAAAAGAAACGTCATTTCCAACCAGGATTCTGATAACCACAATTCCTAGCGCTTGTAGTCTCTCGTTATCTTCGTGTCCCCGGATGTAGTCGATCACTTCAGCGAAACATCCCAGCTTGATGATTTTAAGACGCGTGTCGTGCTAAACGTAAGAGATGTATAAAGAGATGTATGTTGATATATTTAAAGGGGCAGTATACCAGGATATTTGCTATCAATTGAATTCTAAACAAAATGGTCCAGTTTTGTTATGTATGACTATATTAAGGCGTTCGAACTGTTTCCTGTCGTCTGTTACAACGGATGGCAAGGATGGATATGGATTGAAACTTGAAAGGATTGGTCCAGGACCAACTTAAGATTCAAGGCTATGCCTGCACCCAAAAAATTATTATGCTTACTGCTCTCTGATGAAATTTGTTTGCTATTTTTTTCATAACTCTACAGGAGCTGCATTTTGTGTATGGGTAAATACACTAAGTAATTACTTCAGCACGGAATTGACCTAAAACAGCGATATCCTCGTGACATAACCCCCCTCCAGATATTTTGTAGCTTTGCGCATTACTTAAACTAGACATAATACCACACAACAAATAATGCTTTTGTCATAGAAGTTGATTAATCCTATTGACTGTCGCTGAAGCTAATGTTTCGCGTGCTAAACATTGGTCAACTAGCTAGCCCTCAAGAAATCAACCAACGTTGTTCTGCGATTAATAGTATACGTGTTATCACCTCTCCATTCATAACAGCTTCTCGTAAGACCATCAGAGTCGTCATCCCTAAAGTGGGTGGTACAGGAGGTCCTAGCGAATCCAATAAGTAGCCCCCGCAGTGTTGAATGACGTGTCGAACACACGTGACTGCAAGATACTTTGATTTGTTCATGCCGATGCGAGCTGGCGTGGCGGCGTTTGAAGACCGCTGGCTAAGATTGCTACTGCGAGATATTAGTGCTGGAGCTGGCTTTGACGACCAGGCTTCCCGCGGTGCATGGTTCCCGAGAGGACCTGGTCCAGATGAGGCGTATTTATTATGTTGAAGATACCGTATGGTTTTCAAAGCGTTACTCTGATGAGAAATAGAAAGGTTAATGTTACAAACGAGGAGAGAAAATGACTAAGGGGGCGACCATTTGACTTTTGAAAGGGGGGGGGAGGGGTGTTTGGGTGATTCAAATGGTCGGCCCCTAATACTCAATTTTATTTTCAGGATTTCAGTTGAGCATTAACCGAAGGATTGAAGTCACAAATAGAGCCTGGAGCCTTTAATGGAGCCTAAAAGGCAACAGAATAGTAAGAGCATATCAAACCTCTGGGTTGGGTTATACTTAGACTCCAAAACAGTCCGTATTTTTGCGTATTCAAGTACGCGCGAGCAGTCAAACAAAAGGTCTGGAGTGAAGCTGAAAACGGAGAGCGAGACTGGGGTACGGGCGTGTGATGCTCGCGCTCTTCGCGCGTGTGAGATTCTTAAGTTACGCTTATCCGATTTTGAGAAAAGAAAAGACTGTTTTGCAGTGTAGGTTATTCTCAGGGCTGCTCTCACCACTTCCCTCGTATAATTGGTAAATTTAGGGATCAACTTAAAAATCAGAATTTACCTGTATGTCATAAATGCCGCACATTATCCACGGTGCTAAGCAGTAAATGATTTTAGCATCAAGCAAGCTTTGTTTTACGTAGTGAGCTGTTTCAAGGGAATCCTGGGCACCAGCAACCTGAGCCGAGGGCGTTGACATGTCAGTAGCCGAGGAGGGCTTGGACGGATTTGATGACGTGGAAGTATCTACACTGGCTTGAGACAAACTTCTTGATAACGATCTGTAAAAAAGCAGAGTAAGTGAAGCCACTACAAAGGAAGGGATGTTTTAGTTTTGCTTGCAAATTAATCTGCTTTTTAACTATTCATTTTGCCACCTGTTCGAGTCTAGCCATTTCGTTCCTAACAGGAGTTAATGAACACAAACCTAGCACTCCTACTCCGAATTATCCTACGTCTGTCGCTTCCTTTGGTCAACCTTAAGGCGTTCTTCACTAACACTGCAGACTTGTGAAACGAAATGTGTCTTTTGATATCCTTAGACCGTGAACTTTCCAACACTTTCATGTCCTCTAAACAAGGATCAAACTGTGGTGCAGTTGTTTGAGCAAACAAACTCAACAGCTGTACTGCGGCCTTGACAAAGTCGACTTCGGTCGATTCAAATCCAAAATCCGCGTACTTCTTCGTAGAATCCACATGTGTTCTTTTATTTGCAGCCTCAAATATTAAGTCTGTACGCGCATGTTTCAGCGTTGTGGAGATTTCCTTCGGGGGTAGAGTGGTTGGGTCAATGTTGTGGAACAGAGGAGGGTTCACTTTTAAAAGTTTGTTGCTAAGAAACTCCAGCTCGCGGAGAAATGCAAGTCCACCATTCTGAATCATGACCGCAACATGGTTTAACCTCCTGCAGGGAAAGACAATAGAAATTCTAAAACATAGTATCAACTGGACGTTGCGTAATTTATTTGTCAAACTACTTTCAAGCAGTTTGAAGTATTGAAATACTTTATAAAACAAAAGAAAGGTAATCACTCCTTTCCCTCTTCCAGATTATCAGTCGGGACAAGCCAACAAAAAAAACGCGGGAAAAGGAAGCAGAGGGGACGCCCTCCTTCTCACCAGTCCTTGCCCGTTTTTTTTTTCTTACGCCCACTTCTCCTACTAGGTGCGGGGTCTGGGACAGGCTGATCTATACTTTGAAGGTAGTTTGATAATCGGACCTACTAGTTATTGCGATGCTTTGATATTCTTCCAGTTTTGTTTTTTTAAGACAAACTTTAAAAGTATTTTTGTAACCCATTCTCAGTGTCTGGATATCAGATGAAACACTGCGTCTTGTCTTTTTATAGAGACAAAATCGGTGTTCCATACTACTCCGTATACGTTACAGGTCAAAGTTAAATTCAGGTTAAAATTTTTTAACCTAGGTTCTCTATTTCCTTTGTCTCCTAGGCCTAATTCATACATAATTAGGGCTAGAAGACAAAGGTGATAGTGTATCATCTTAGGTTAAAGAATTTTAGCCTGAATTTAATTTTGACTTGTAACATGTACCTTAATTCACCGACTGATACACGTTTTAAGGGACCAGTCATAATTTAAGTTAGGGGGGGGGGGTTGGAGGAGAACTTGTTTTTTATCCCAAATTATTTCCAGACCCCTACTCAATAGCACCCATGTTTTTTAGGTACCCCCCCTTCAATCATGTTAAACGATTTAAGGGCCCCCCCTTTCTTACATATTAAAGAGAGCAGTTGCTAAGAAAAGTGGAAAAGAAAGGCAAGCAGGTATTCTTCCTGAAAAATCCTTGAAATGGCTTACCCTCTCCTGAAAAGTCTAATATGTTGGTTTTTTATCTCTTGACGGCTGCTTTCGTTGCTAAACCCCAACTTTCGGGAATTACTCACGTAGGCTTAAAGACGGGGAAACTTATAGGCTAGCAATAGACTAGACAAGGACGTATTCTGATTTTCGGCTGCCGAGCCAGTATACAACCTACCTGTCTTCAACAGAAAGCTCCTCCATGCTTTCACCGAGCAGTATCAGATTTGACATCACAGCGAGAGCATTTGTTAACACACGTAGACTACTTAAATATGTTTCCTTTTTACTAAAATTATTAGACCGTTTCAGCCTTGTCGACTTCAGATGAAATGAAGAACTAGGTGTCATAAATTGTCTCTCGGAACCACTTCTCCCCAGAGAATCACCTTGAAAAACAAGTGTAAGCACTGAAGTCAATTCAGAGGTGACTTTATTGGGTTTTAGTGTAAGCTGTTTGTCCAACTCTGTATCAACATCGCCGGAGGTTCGTGACGACTTCTTTAGAGGTGGAGAAGAGAAATTCCCTGCACTGTTAGAATAGCAACTTGCTTCTTGTTCCAAGTTTGCTTTTCCAGTGGCTACTTGGCTTAAAGCCGAAAAAGCGGATGTTCTGTCAGGGTTTGTGGATATATTCTTGAGGGCTGTGCTTGCTTGTTCTCTGAGGTGTCTGTTTAAAAAAGAGATTATCTTTAGAATATGTGAAGTTAATTTAATTTTGCACTCTTACAGTACAGCCTTATTATGAAATTTACCAAGTGCTTAGTTTCAAGACAGTTAAATGATTTCAGGAAAACGTTCCCTGGGTTTGAACTGAACCCAAAACGAGAAAGGTTCATGAGTGCAAATCAAGCGCTTGCCCTGGATTTTAACTCTGTGACTTCCACGTCTAACTTGTGCAAATTTTGACCTTTCTAGCGTCCGTGCAACGGACATCATACGAAAAGGACTTTCGGATAGATGAATGACAAAGTCAAGAAAACATCGCTTACATAATTCAGACCAAGGCTAAGCATTTTTCCCATTTGCTTTCTTACCTACACTGTGAACACGTGACTGCCCACATCAAGTGTTCAGTAGCATTATGGGATATAAGTGACGTAAGACCAGTTTTGTAATAAGCCAAAGTCGCTACGAAACGAGCACATTGCTGTTGTTGAGGACTGCAAGATACAAAGAAGAAAATCAGAGGCATTAATACATGAAGTAATTTGTACTGATTCACTGTATGCGTATTCCGCAGTCACACACGAGTCTTGACCATTCGGGAATTGCGTTTTACCAAACACAGTAACTCAACGTAATCAAAGACCTACCATGGGCTATATTGCAATAGATCCAAGACGTTTCCAATGACAGCATCGTGCTTTGAAAGAAACATCTCAACAGTAGAGGAGTCGTTGGATATCAAATTAGTCAGCGCCTGAGTAACCAAGCCCTGTAAAGAACGAGGTTTCATCAGATCACGTTAATAGCTAGCCTCCCACGTAGACGTTCTTAGGGCTTCGTCACGCGTTCCTGCGGGCCCATGCTCGTTAGGAAGGATTAGTCACTCAAACTATTTTTCCATTTCTGATTGGCTAAAAGCACACGCATAACTCATCATAAAGAGCTACTGTTGACCAAATTTGAAAAGAATTTTGTCATATTGAACCGATGACGTCAAAAGTGCAGCCCAAGGTGCAGATTATTGAACCGTTAATCGAGAAAACCTGGGGACGAGGTTAAGTTGTTTTTGTACTGAGAACAAAATGGCTGAACAGTCGGCGAAACATTTTACTCGTTTCACGGCGAAATATTGTCTAACATCATAGCAAGAACAGCAAGAAGACACCTCGACGGACGACATTAGTTATTCGGAGTAAATTTGCAGACTTGAACAGACCTTTATCTCCTAAAATTGCCGATAAAGATGCGCTATCGATATGAACTTAACATCGACTGAGGTAAGCACGTTTTAGCATGTTTTGAACTTGGAACTATTTTGAATGAATAATAAAACAATTATTGCATTCGGCTTTCGTAGGATATGAAGAATTCTGCAGATCTCGGAAGGTGTTATCCACCGTAGCCTTCGGCCTCGGTGGATAACACCCTCCCCGATCTGCAGAATTCTTCATATCCTACTCAGCCTCATTCAATAATTGCTGATTATGTCACGCTCTGTGTCCCTGCACCACCCTCACCCCCTGTAATTAAGGTCCTGTAAGGGAATCCTAGACAGTCTTGGATTCTGGATTCCAGGCCGTGGTTTATTGGATCCGGTTTGTTTATCAGTGGAACTTGGGTTCCGGATTCCTCGAGCTATATTCCGGATTCCAAAGACAAAAATTCCGGATTCCCTTACATAAATATAACCACCCACACACGACGTCTACAGCAGTCTACTACTGCGCGCTTTCGCTCAAGCTCGTATAAAGGCTAGCAGTTTCACTAGACCCTTTTTAGTTTGATTGTTTTTTCCGTGCAAACGGTAAACGATCCGTCTACCTATGGCCCTCGATCCGTCTACCTATGGCCTACAGAGACGACCCCATAAGCTTCATGATCGTGCATAAATAAATCTATATCTATATACCTACAGTTCGCGATGCGAACTTGACTATCGATCGGAACGCCCGCACCCACCTGAATGTCCGTATCACCAATGTATTTTCCTTGAGGGTTCTAGATAAGAGAAAAAAGAAAGTCAAGAAAGAAGGCAATAAGCCGAATGAGATGAGTCAGTTATGATTGACAAAAACCCAAACTTTTAATTACAAGTCTGACTGATCCTCAAGTAGCAGTGGCTAATCAAAGCGGATCAGTCGTTATCGAGGTCATACTACATACTCAACACGTATTGCTCATTAACTTGCCCCGATACAGAGCTCTGTGACGTAATTCAAATGAAGACCAAGATTGTAGTTATCATTTTACCCCGGCAAGGGACTCTACTTGGTTTCAAACAACAGGGCAAAACAAAAGTAGATGTTAGCCTTGGATTAGGCTCCGCAGTGGGGAAAAAAGGAAAAATCGCAGTAAAACGGCAAAAAAAGCGAGAGAAGCGAACCGATCGCTCATCGTTTTTTTTTGTTGCCTTTTTCCCCCACTACGGAACCTGGTCCCACGCTAGCAGATACCCACCTTGCAGGTTGTTAACTGCACGACACCATCAAGACCATACTCCAGAAAAACCTGCGCCATTTTTGGATGAGAAGCAAGGTTCTTGATTGCAAGAAGTACCGCGTGTTGTAGAGAAGGTGATGAATTTAGCAGACCAAAGAGTGCTCCAACTCCTGATATGGTCATTGCTTCCAACCAGAGATGTGCGTGTTCAGATTTTTCCACAACCTGCGAAAACATGTTTTTACTGATTCACCCGCTTTTAGCATCAAAGAACAAAAGATTAACGTTCAAGAGTGTTCTGGACGTTCAGATAGAGGAGTGTGAGGCGATTTAAGAGAACTGGAAAAACTTAAGGAGGAAGAGAGGGAGAGAGAGAGAGAGTTCCTTCGCTCTCACTCCAAATCACATCACATCACGTCACATCACGTTTTCACTCCACGTCACTGCTCACATCACCACATCTCCTTATTTTTTTTCCTGTTCACGTCTTTTTGCCCCGTCACCACAATCTGAACGCCTGGAACAGACCAAGCGATCAAAAGCCCGCTTCTCACAGTTGAGTTAAAAAAAAATAATAAACAAACCGCCATGCCTTATTCGGCGATTCAAAGCTCGAGGCAAGAAAGTAACCCAGGCGTAACAATTCCGCCAGCTACGCAGGCTAGATTGTCACATGCTTACTAGTTTGCGTCGAAAAATAGAAAAGTGGTAAACAGTCTAAATTTCAATTAGAATCAGAATATTAAAAGCTATACAGCCAGCTAACCTTGCTAAGACAAACCACCGCTTCCTTCTTAATATCATCATCTCTGCCCAACAACATAAGATTTATTAACTCTGCCAGTAATCCATTCTCCAGGAATCTTTTGACATTCACCGTACTGGAACATAGTTGGCCTATCGTCAACAGGATACTCTCCTAATTAAACAAAATTAGGAAAGACAGTTTCAACCAATACCTCCATGATACCCACCATCTTTGCACCCGCTTAACGATTGATGGGATAAATTCCTTGTTATGCGGTTTCTCACGAGGCAAACTGTTGATAAAAGCTGCTAATGCAAGAAACAGCGGGAGAGTTTGTTTATTTCGTCAAAATGAGACAACGAACTTACAGTAGTCAAGCAAAATTTACAGATGGGTTTTTGTCGGGTTTTACATCAAAACTGCTTGCGGGTAAGGATGTGCACGGTCGTAATTGCATCCAAAAAGTCACGGTAATCACCTCCACCCATAATTTGCCGTCATAGTCTTTAAGATTAAAAGTCCTTCATTTTTTTCCCCTGAGAAACTACGTTACACTGCTTTTATGCGATCAGTCCTTAAGGTGATGTTACACGGGGCGATTCGCAACGACGATTTTTAGCGCAACACAGCGTTATAACATTGTTGTTACATTGTTTCGAATGGCTGCAATATGGTTCCAACATTTGAACCCTGTGTTGCGCTAAAGATCGTCGTTGCGAATCGCCCCGTATAACATCACCTTTAGTGAGTACAAAGATTGCGGATATCGTGTGGAAGGTCCACTACACGATAAGACTGCATGGTTTGAGATGTTGGGGACGCTAATGCTACTCATTTTATTGATTATTACGAAGTTGCGCAGGAACCGGTTGGTCAAAAAATCATGTCCCCCAAACAGTCCCATAGTGCAATTCGACACAACACAGACCCAGTCTCTTGCGCAGCCACAAAATGGTTAATGAAGCTTGCATCTCTTTAAGAGCACGCGCAGTGGCCGTGTTCTTGAACATGAGTGCATTTAAACGTTGTCAATGAGTAACTAATTTCTCCTTGCAAGCTAAAATCACGTAAAAGATTGATGATGTGATCTCGCGCATCTTAGATGGGGGCGACTTTCCCCCGTGAGAACATTACAGAAAGAAAACAATCAAAAACCTTTCAAGCGGCGTAGAGATTTACTCTGGAGCTCGTTCAATTAGACACTTGGGGAATATTGAAACAAAAAGAAATGCGCACGCTCTCATCACAAAATCTCGTAGCAGTTCTTACATCTGTGTTATAAATCATTTGTTCTTGTTGTAATGTAATAGTGGAAGATAATATTTTTCCCAGGCCATTGTAGCAACTGTCGTGCTTAGTTTGACAAGGCACCCTATATATTAATCCCTTCAAGCAATTAGCCGATAATAAAGCTATAGTCACCGCTATGATAAGTCCTACCAGCATTATTGTAACAAACAACAACAAATGTGTCGCTAATGGCTTTCTTTACAAATTTACTCATTAAATAATTAACGATTGTAAAGTAGCTAAGCTGTTAACTGAAGTCTTAAAATTCCAGTTATGTGAATTTACACCAAGGGCAGCCATCGTTTTACGCAACACGAAAACACGAAGACTTACCTTAACTTCCCAGTTGTCTGTATCCAGCAACTTTAACACCTAAATGAAAAACAGTTTCATTATAAACTATTTATCACTTATATACCCTGCTAATAGCCATACGTGTGGTACGATCTTTTAACAAAGAAGCCCCGCCTAATACCTATAATAAGGAACTGTTATTTCCAAAACGTTTTATCGATAGCATTACTTTAATGTTGTCGGTACTTGATTGCTTATTTGTTCTCACGAGAAAATCGTCTGTTCACAACACTTTCAATCATTCCGGAACTGTTCGAACAGTGTTGTAGTTAATCAGTTCAGTCTGATATTCTTCGATCCTAGTACTTGACTATGGATTTCCACTGTCGCATAATACTTACCGTGCCCCAGGAAAAAATTACATGACAGTGGAAATCCACCCTACCCTGGTAAACCGTACGTACATGAACCTCTCGCTAACACCTGCCTAAAACCCTCTCTCATTTTACTGTTGCAAGGAAATCCTTTAAAAATCCTGTATTCCTACCTGGGAACTAGTAACAAGGTCAACACAGTCTCTGTTAACGGATCAGAACGATATATGCCCTACTCCTTTTGTGCTCTCTTTAAGACTTGAACTCAGTCAAGGTCGATTATAAAGCCATGTCGCGCTGTCTTTATAACTTAACCATCAATAACTCGAAACTCTTGATATAAACTTGAACAAAAAAACAAACTATACAGAACCGAATGACAAAGTGTCAGATACTGCCATTTGAATGTTCTCTTGGTGAATTTCTCCACTACTGACAGGACTGAAGACTTACTAGATACATGTATAGAGCTGGCGCGAGGATATAAAACCTATGTAGAGGTAACTATCGCATAAACTCAGTGGTTGAAAAAATAGCAATAAAACCACGGCGAAGTCTCTGCAAAGTGGCAAAGTCATGCCTAAAATCAGCCACTTTTATATTACATAAAAAAAATCGTCGGTGTCAGCGATGGCAACCACATTGTATGAAGTCGTACATGAAAAAAAAAGACCACAAAAAGAAATCTTTTTTACTGTAATGACAAGATAGTACTTGTCAGGGATGATGGCCGCCAAAGCGCCGCAGAGACCGTTTTATAACGTACTGTGAAACGAAAATAAATTTGAACATTTGAGAAAATGGGCTAAATTCCAAATGAAAGACAAGAATAGCTGAAAGGTCGATTTTATTCGGGAGATTTTGTGACAAAGTGATCCGTACGGGAAACCGAGAGATTTGTGCCGTGTCCACCGGGAAGCTACCGCCACTCATAATGACGGGGGAGAGCCGACACACTGTACATGACCATACATGACAGGAATGCCGAACCCTTCAGAAAGTCTGGTTTATATATAGTAGGAAGAACTGAAGAAGCACGGAAGGAAAGAAAGCAAACAGTGGTGACACCAATACTAATAGCGGAAATAGGGATAGGGGCGACTACAACTGTAAAGGGGCTGTGTCACGTCCGGCAGTTTTCTGTATTTGTTGTATTATTTACTATATCTTCTCTTCATTTTTTGAGCAGTTAGTTTTACGTTTCACTTTGTTTTCGGCTCCTGGTGACACAGTGTGGGCCGCGCAAATTTTATTTTATTTTCGCGTGATTGAGAGCTATGTTTGATTTCTGCAAAGAGAAGAGAATGAATTGAACTTGACAAAAATACATCTCGGTACTGGCAAAACATTGAGGTTGGTGTTTGCTTGAAGAGATACCTACTGATAAATTCAATGCGTTTCTTACAGATCTTCCCAACGGGAGGTACATGTCCAATTAAGTGACCCACTAAAGCGCTTCTTCACGGTATTTAACGCTGAAAGGATGATTTTTTCTACCAACTGGGAACTGGAGATGATAGTAATAAACAGAAAATTAAGAACAAAAAATAAGTTGGATTTCCATTTCCGATCCGCGTAGGTTGACGGATGCGAAACCGTATTGGTGTGGGAGATTTTTTGTCGGGATTAAAAAGCCGAAGGTTCCTATACGATTGCAGCACGCAGAGGCCCGATCAACTATTTAATAAGACCCCACTTAATATTCAAACCAGATTTCAAGCACAATATACCTACAACAAAGGAAACGTAAAAAAGTCATAATGATAACTAGATTTAATTATAGGCCTTGCTTAGCTAACTGTAATCCTTGACCTGTTCAGACAGATATTGACCAAGGTCTGGCTTGAACAAATATTTAGTCGACTCGACACAATGATGAAATTAAGCGTTAACGCGTTTAAGTCAACAAAATCGTGAAATCAAAAGTTAATAAAGCCAATTGACACTTCATTACCCTCCGATAAATGTCCGAAAACTTAACCAGAACTTGCGATGTAGTCACTTGCACAATGTAGGTTATAAAACCGAAACTGTAGAGACGCACAGTCTCTTGCCTTCAAACTACCCAACTCCAAAACATGATAAGATATAAATTTTGTAAAACTTCGAAGAACAAGCAAAATCTTCCAAACGTGGACGTTAACAGTTTCATGAGTTATTACACTTAAAGATTTAATCGCCGCGAAACAGTCGACTACAGAATCATAGTACTGGTAAATTCTGACTTCACTCCAGCTTACCTTTATTGCTTCGTCGTTAGATAAAATTCTCCTTTCATGAAAACCCCTGGCGATATTGGTAAGGTTCTTTATATTTGTGCGTTTTTCCTTGTAGTTAGTAAAAATGTTCATAAGTTGTGAAAAGTCGATGTCACACTCGGCTTCTTTCTCTTCGTCATTTGAGGACCCGCTGGAATAGCGTTCACATGAGCATAAATAATTTCTCTCAGTAATTTCAGATTTCTTCTTGGGTAGCACGACTTTCACAGCCACAACTTTTTCTTTCTTAGGTTTAAAATGCAGCAAACTTTCTCGCTTTGCTGGAGAGCGAGGCCTCCTCGGTTCTGTTTCGGGCTCCTTCTTGACCGCGATCCGTTTACGCGTTTCGACTTTCAACTCAGGAATTCTGCCTCGAATCTCGGATAATTCGGCTGGGCGCGAAACTCTAAGGCCAACGACTTCTAGATGTTTGAAATCCCAGGGAGAAGTGATGCTAGTCATTTTAGATGAAGGTAAAAGACAAGTCTATTAGCTCATGGCAACAGTAAACTCAAAACAATGCACTGTTTCCTCTAATTGCCGGATAGATTCCTTGCATGACATGACGGAGATGGATATACCGTACTGTTGATAAGCGGGGTCATCATTCTTCATCATCTTTCCCTCTTCATTCTAACTGTCTGACGCAAACACAGTACTTAGCGGGCAATAAGATGTCAAACAAACTTGTAAATAAAAAATGTAATCATTGCTCAATGCCGCGGTAAATGCCTTTAGCGCAACATTTGCATCACAATTGACAAAATTGCTCGCGCAAAATGATTAGCGGTTAATTGACCCCAGGGACTTGGAGGTCGAGGCGTGCTGAAAGAGTGCATCCAAATCCGAAAGAAAGAATGGTAAGTGGGTTCATAGACTGCGAGCAGTCTCTTATTTTTCTTTGCAAAGTTACTGCACGCGAAACCTAAGCACGCGAGCGGCAAAGCCGCGAGAAACGAGGGCGTAAGTCTTTTCTCGTCTGGTCTCAATCTCAATTTTTGAAGCTTTTAACGTATCCAGGGACATACTATGAACAGTGTTTTGCATTTAAAATGTCCAAAATTAGCCTGGGCCAGGAGCCCACTGGGCAGGTTCCTTAAGAACTAGACGGATTTTAAGAGAAAAGGGGGACTGCAAGCAGTCTAGTGGGTTCCCGGGGGGGCACTTGGGTATTTTTTAGGTGGGTATGTGCCGCCCGGGACTCCAAATTGGCACCCCGTTCTAAAAACAAATTCCGCTAAAATTGATACCCCCGTTCTAGAAATGGGCCAATTTTTTATACCCCGTTCTAGAATTCGCCCTAAAACTGATTCCCCGATCTAGAAATGGGCCAATTTTTTATACTCCGTTCTAGCAAGTTTGTTAATTGAAATACACTGTTTTTTTAAAAAGATATTTCTTTATTTGTTCGACTTATACATAAAATAAATGCTTCTTCATAATCAGGTTTTAAGCAGAAGATAAAGCCGTGATCCACAATTTTTTATACCCCGTTCTAGAAAACGCCCCTGAAATGGATACCCCGTTCTAAATCAGGAGCTTCAAAATCACGACCCCGCTGGGCGGCACATACCCGTATAGGTAATGTATGGGAGTACCCCCGGAGTGGGTTCACGCAATGTACCTCTAGGTCGAGCTTTCGTTAAAAAAAACAACAACAACAACAACGCGGGCGCAGGCTTGGAGCCTATGATGGGCTCCTGCTGCAGGCTTTCGCGCACCGTACAGTAAACACCCGCGAATAAAAACCTTGTGGATTAAGAATCTCTTGGCAGAAATTTGCCACCTTCATACCCAAAAATACAAGAAACCTGTTTAGCCGAGTAAGGTCAAGCAGGTTCTTATATGTGGGCTTTAGTTAATTTATGATAAGCAATTTTGAGATTGTAAATTCAAGTATAAGAAGAACATACTCTACCAAACTGTATAAATTTGGTAATCCATTATCTTCTTTCTAAAAATTAAAAACCCAGCCACCTAGCCTAAATTGAGATCTAAATTGCCAGTAAGTACCCCCAAAATCATAGACTACGAGTAGTCTCCCATTTTCAACCTGACCTCCAAAACACAATAGTTGATATTCATTCATACAGAAGTTAATATTTACTTAACTTTTGGGCTAAATTTTCACTTAATAACCGTTGACCGTTAGAATCTGTAAAATTTAATCGTCAACTTTCAAAAATGGAAAAAAAATTGACCGTCAACCGTCAAGGCTACCACCCCAATGAGACACTCTGATAAATAGTGCTAATAATTAATTAATCAAGCCACCGTCATCAATTCATTGTGATAAAAGGAGAAGTATCCTGTTATACTACTATAGATTACGAGCAGTCTCTCTTTTTTCTTGGTCCGTCGAGCAAAACGCCCGAGACACGAAAGCGACCACGCGCGTGACTAAAGGCGCGAGACGGGAGAGGCTCTCCTTTTTCTTCTCGGGCTGCCGCCCTCGTTTCTCGCGTCTCGCGGCTTCGCCGCTCAACGCTCGCGCGCACGTGCACTAAATCTGAAGAAAAAGAAAGACTGCTCGTAGTCTACTACTACTAAGATTAGTAATTCTTATAGTGTTTTTCAATGTAAGAAAGATATGAGCGGTAAAGTAAGTGAGAGGGATAAGTGGTATCGAGTGACCCAGATCAGTCAGCTTCATTGTACAGCACCCACATGACCAAGGGCAGGATACTGGCCACAAAAAGTTAGCCTTCTGGCGAGGGGTATTAGGTGCTTAGGCCATAACCCTAGCCCATAGCCCGTCTTAACGGTGGCTAACTTACTATACAGTGGAACCTCTATTCAGGGGACACCCTCGGGACAAGCCTCGGGACCAAGGGAAGTGTCCCCTGAATGGAGGTTGGGCTGGGGTTTGTTAATAATTAACCAACAAAAAACATATTTTTTATTTCATTCTGCCTTGGAATGTGCTACAGTCATTATGTGTTCAAGGAGCTAGATAATGTGTAAAAAATCGTGATTCGGACATATCTCTGCTATGTTGTGTTTTGAATATAATCCCACAAGTGTAGCACACCGCTTTACTTGAGATAGTTCGTGTTTTGAAAGCTGTCCTCATTGTGACTAGCTAGTGTAAACTTAAAATTATCAAAGATTTTTGTGGCCAGTCATGTTTTGAGTGCTAAGGTGTCCACTGGAAAGAATGAAGGTTAAACCAGGGCTTCGGGACCCAGCAAACGTGTCCCTTGGTCCCTTGGCGGGATAGAGGTGTCCCTTCAATAGCGGGTAATAACTACAAAGATTATTCCGGGACCAAATTTTGTCTCCCCTGATTGGAGGTGTCCCAGAACGGAGAGGTTCCACTGCGTCAGAAGGTTCTTTTACTTCATACGTTCTCTGATCTCACGGACTGCAGTCAACCAGGAAGAAGCCGTCGTTTGGAGGAAAGAAACAAGCGTTGATTTCCCGCTACCAGATGAAAAAAAAATGAATGAATGAATGAAAATTAATGACAAGAGCGCAATGATGAGCTATTTTTACTGACTTCCTGCATGTTTACGCTACTTTGGTCTTCTTTTAGCCTTTTACCGTGGAAAAATTCTTCGCGGTTCATTCTTCGCGGCACTTTTTCCTTCTGGATCGTAAAAGAAATCTGATTGGTCCACGTCTGGGAATACCCCAGAGTAACGCGCAGGCGCTGCACGCGATTGATTTCCTCTGTAAAATTTTCCTCTGTTGGGAAAATGGCTTGTGGAGTTGTGTTTTTCGTTGTCTTGGCTTTTGGACCCGCTGGTATTTTCGCCAACAAGGTAGAAGACGATGAAGAAACTTGTAGACGTTATGCTAATGGCCAAGTTTATCCGGAGAAGACAACGATTTCTGAACATGCTGTGCACTGGAGTAAAGCACAAAGTAAGTCAGAGTTTACAAATCACAATGTCGCGCTTTCACCGTTCAGCGATTATCAATTCCTTGTGTTTGCATGGACTCTGAAAAACATTTTGAAAAAATAAATTTCCGTATTCTTGATTTTTGGGGGGTCGGAATGAGGCAATGATGGAGCGTTGGATTTAATTTTTTGTTGAGATTTGCGTGATTCATGGCCTTTGAAAGTCCAGCTTTTTGTTAATATTTTAATCGATATTCTTTGCGGATTTTGCTGAATTTATGTCTTTGGTTAAAGGAAGTTGCAAAGACAAAGATGTCAAAGCCGACATTGCTTGTTTATTTCATGAGTACTTAACTATCAAAGGTTTAAGCCGACCACCGATGTTCGCTTTTGTGTGGGAACCAGTGAGACGGAACGCAAACGTGGAATATTACAGCCGTAGAGTTGGAACCACAAATCTCTTTGTCGTTAGCTTTTGTGGGGGAGAAATGCTTCGCTTTTAGTGTTAAAATTGATTAGATTGACTTAATGTAGCGTGTAGTCGCCTGAAAGGTCATGGACATCGATAAAGGCCAACGAAAATCCAGAAAAAGATAACTGTTCGAGAAATCGTGTACGGTACGGCGATCCGTTGCGTTACATAGTGTCACGGGAACAAATGTAGGACACATTCAAATCCTATCATTCAAATAGTGATTCTGTTTAAAAAATAATGGTGAAGAAAGTGTGTAACTGGTGTTTGAACTTTTTCTTTTTTAGTCTCGAAGCCCGCTCCCCACTGGGAAGGAACAGCTGTGGTAAAAGGAGAATTCAAAGAACTTAAGCTTTCAGATTTTAAAGGTGAGAGTATAAACATAGAATTTGGTAAACAAGCCCCTCCATTTATAATCTCCTTAAAATATTCATGGACACTGTATGCTCCCAAATTTATTTGCATAAAAACGTCTTTCAACCTTTTCACTATTAAAAGTGGTAAAATTCATCAAAAAAATTGCAAAATAAACAGTTCTTTGCAAAAGTTCTGCCAAAGAGGTTTAAAGTGAATGGTAACACCACAGGATTTCATCCACAGACTCAAAAGTTAGAACTACATACTAAATAAATAGTACCATGTGAAAGTACAGTTGGTAAACTCCATCTACAGGTTGCCCAAAGGACCAGCAATTTTTTTAAACTTTTCACCTTACCCTGCATGGGTAAACAAATAGCATTTGGTAATTCTTGTGACCTTGTTGGTTGTTTGATAAATGCTGTTGGAAGGAGAAATTTGATGTACTTCAGAATAGGGGAATATAGAGGGCTAAGCAAACAACCACTGTGCACAGTGCAGTACAAGTACTTTATTTATCATTTACTTTATTTATTTACACAGGCAAATACCTAGTGTTCTTCTTCTATCCACTTGACTTGTAAGTGTCTTGGTTGTTGCAAATGTAATAATAATGATCTTAGTAAATAATAATAAATTCAACGTTCTCTTAACAGAGACCTCTTTTTGGTGGACTTCTCTTTTCTAGCTGTTTTCTTTGACATTTTATAAGGCAGACAGCTCTCCAAATTGACCCTTTACATGTAGGTCCCAAGAGTGACCATCATCAATTATTTTCCCCTAAAAAACATCAGCAGATCATCAAGACTAAAGGTTATGAGAATTACTAAATTGATTACCAAAGAATGAATGCTTTGATCTTAAACCAAATTCTCTCAACTGGTCTTAAAAGAAATGTATGGAGATCAGTCATGAGAATTTGTGTGTGGATCTTTGGGCATAAAGGGTTAAGATAGAGACTTTGTGCCTTTCCCTATGATTTCCCTCATAAAGAGAGTTGACTGTAGTTAACAATTATGATAAACAATAATTTTTAAGCCACTCGCAGAATTTGGTACATGGCAGTGAGGGTCCCACACTTACCTATTATCTTTTTCAAATGTTTTAAACAATTTGTTTTGTCAGCATGCATCGAACGTCATGTACAATACAGTGTACAGTGTGTTTTAGTTAGGGCTAGTGAATTTTGCAATCAGGCTAGTGAATTCTGTTCTTTACTTGCCCGATGGCCAAGTGAAGTTTTTTGGGGAAATATTCAATTTACCTTAGTACTGCACAGCAAATTAAAAATTCCCAATAAAATTGTGGAACTGAAGGCTGCTTTTCAGCTTATCTGACAAAGTGAAATCTGCAGTATCAAGTATCACGTTACATTTCATGTCAGACAAGATGTTGTGTGGTCTGCACAATCTTTGGGTAAAAGCAATTAAAAGTACCTAAGAAGTAAGGTTCATGCAGCTCCTAAAGCATTCACTGATTTTTAGCCTATGTTAACTTATCGTGTTATTAATAAATAAATAATAATAAATAATTCTTTTCATCAAAAAAATGTTTTGGGCTTGTCAAAATGACTTTCAGACAAGTACATACTGGATTCAGCTTGCCCAAGCTTTAAAACTGACTTAATTTGCACCCTGTATGCTCTGCAATTGGAAATGTTGGTAATCTTTCATAATACAAAGTGTATTTTCCTTAACTAAACTTACATGTCTCTGAAATTGCAAAGTAATGCTCCCATTCTTTAAATTTAAGAAATAATGATGGTTCATTTCACTCATATGATGACCTTTTGTTTGTTTCCAGTACATTTGTCTGCCCAACGGAGATCATAGCCTTCAGTGACAGAATTGAAGAGTTCCGTGCAATCAACACAGAGGTTGTTGGTTGCTCGGTAGATTCAGTTTTTACCCATTTAGCTTGGTATGTATCTTAGCTTAACTTAAAGGAGCTGTCTCCTGAAATTCATCAAAATTCGAACATGAGTGGGAACTTCCACCAAATTGAGTGAAACATCAAAATAACCATTCAGAATGTTAAAAGAAGGTATAAATGACATAATAAATAAACAAGGAAGTATGTATAATTATACAAACTTGAGGAAGATTGAAACGGATTGCAATAAATAGTGAGGTTTTTGAAAACTTGTTAACTTACCAGTTTTCCAAAGTTCAGTTTTGTACATTTTTATTTTGTAATGTTTGATATTATGTCTGGGAAACATATTTGCTTGACTCAAAGCAGTGATTTTCCCATTCAATAGAAATTTCTCAAGTTTCTTGACGAATAAGGATGCATGCATGTAACTGGCATCGATAGACGAAATGAATTAGCTGTCCGTGACACAGCCCATTTGAACAGGTGTAAAGAAGGAAGGAGCAATTAAATCCAAAAAAGGACTCTCAGTCACTGAGCTACAGGGGGGCTCAAAACAACCTACACTGGGTGTAAGGCATAAGCCTAAGGTTTCAAATTAGATAGTGACATTTTAAAGAAATTAATTGAAAAATGCGTCCGTACACAGACATGTATTATATTGGGTCTCCAGGTTTTTAAGGGGGCTATGACATGAGGATATTTTTGTCTTAGGTCAACTCTGTGCTGAAGTCACTACTTAGTGGCTTTACCCATACACAAAATGCTCCTGTAGAATTATGAGGAATTTTAAACTGAATTCCATCTGGGAGCACAAACCCAAAGTATTTTTTTTGGTGATTTTTGTAGGCATGGCATTTACAGTTATGTAAACTGGAAACCATTGGCCCAAATTTTTCAAATTTCAGTCCATATCCATCTTTGTCATCCATGGCAACAGACAAAAGGAAAGAGTTTCAGTGCCTAAATAAAGTCTTAAATAACAAAACTGGGCTGTTAGGTTTAAAATTCAGTTGATGTGAAGACACATTTTAGCTTTTCAAACAGATAGCAAAAAGAATGACAAGTCTCAATAGTGACCAACATCAGTTTTCTCCTGACAATATCCACACATTGTCAAGAGATTACGTGTAGGTTATGAGAATTAATTAATGATCCCCAAAGGGAAAATTCCTTGATCTTTTACGTGTATCAAATTCTCTAAACACATTCTTTATGAAAATGTATAGAGATCAGTTTGGAGAATTTGTATCTGGATATTGGAGAACTACAATGTACACTGTAACTATAATTGTTTTTAAATTGTTCCTACTGTCTTTCTAGGATAAACACACCAAGGAAAGAGGGTGGTCTAGGAATGCTTCAGTATCCCTTGTTATCAGATTTAAACCATCAGATTGCTAAAGACTATGGAGTGCTACTGGAAAATGAAGGTCATACTTTGAGGTAAGGCCATCTACATGTACACTGTTAAGTTGTGAACGGATTGTTTTGGCAGTGATACGCGTTACATGTACATTGTGGAATAATACTCAGCTACTTTCAGTACAATCTGATATTGTTGTTTAATTAAGACGGCCTGTGACTAGATGAGGTGAAAGACACTCCTTGTGGTTGTTTTCAAAATACCAGCAAAGATTTGCCAAATCAGCATTCTAAATGTCTTCACAAAGCACTTTTACCGATGTAGCAGAAAAGAAAGAATGTTACATTAATTCCTTACTCTGACAGCCTCGTGGTCTAGCCCCTCTGTTACTGTTTCTAATGTTTTGATAACTGCAAGAACTACAACTTTAGAAACTAACCAAAGTTGCCAGAACTGATACATCACAGATATTGTTAATTTTAATACTGCCTTTATTGGTTACATGGAAATATCTTTCTTTGCTCATGAAATATTTCAGTTTGCCAGTTCCGTGATCCCAAACCTTGCGGCTCTCCAAGCCGCGACCGTTTTGGTCACCATGGCGAGGAGAAAAAAAATGGTGACTAAAATAATAATTGCAGTAAAAGTCGCGCATTTGACGACCTGTGATCGGCAGTAATGTGGCGAAGGCGCCGCATTTTTAATAGTTAGTGTTTATGGTCTTCCTTAAGTTAAAGGGAGATAAAGAAAGCATCTGGAAAACACTACTTTCTTGTCCAACTGAAACTTGCGCAGGCTCCTTCTGATTACAGAGTTTAAGATTCACTTTTACGCCAAACGGCAGACGTGAATTTGTACTTCGTGACCAAGTTTTCCCCGTATTTTCCGTTTACTCTTTTTTGCTTCCACACAGAAATAAGTAGTTTTATGCCAGTTTTAACCATAGGAATCGTTCGGAACTGTTTTTATCTGCTCATTTTCTATTCTGAGAAATTCTCAACTTGATTCTGACGTTTCCCGTTTGCGGTAAACGTGAATCTTAATCTCTCTAATATCTCGTAGCGTACAACTGCGCGTGTATTAGATCATCCTTAAATCGTGCATGCGGCCAATTTTCCACTATGCGTTACCCAATTACCTGCAAGTCGAACTTGGAGGTGTTCAAAAGAGAGCCCTCTCGTGTATCTTCCGTTGGGTTTCTTACACTCGGCGATGCTTTAAGTGTCGCTGGTGTCGATTGCATGAGAGCCCATCACGAAAAAATAACCACTCGGCTTTTCCAATCAGTTGTTAACAACCCATCCAACAAGATTGATGGTTTGTTACCAAAAAAGTGCAGCAGGCCAACTAATATTATTTAAGGAGACAGGAGATTCAGTAGTCGACCTACACAAAACCAAAACAAAGGGATTCGCGGACACTTGTATCAACAAGAGTAGCTCTGTGCATATATATTCATGACTTGCAGTTTACATGTACATTTTAAGATTAGTTACGTACATGTATTATATATTAGCTTATTATATTTTTAGATTTGTAAAGTTGTGCAATTCAGTTTATTATGCAAAGAGACTTATGAAACCCAGTCTATCTCTCTATGTCTATCTCTAAGCATTGAATGAAATATAACTTACGCTCCATTTTCTATATAATTTGCCTTTTTCACCCTTGTGTCTGGGAATAAAGTCTTGAGATGTTGCATGCATTCTTTAAGCACTCGATTGTGATAGTTTGGCAGCACTGAATATTGCACAATGTGTGTTTTTTGTCTTTTCTGGCCACCAATATTTACTGTCAGGCGACCATTTTATGCATGTAAATTTAGGTTGCCAATGGGCGACTTTGAAAGAAGTTTGACTTGGACCACTGCCTTCTCCTTAATTATGAGGCCAAATGCAAAATCTTTCCTGTGGAAATGAGTCATGATTACCCTCGTTTTGAAGTAGACTACGAGTAGTCCCTCGTCTCACCTTTCTTGTGTGGAGTGATTTTCACGCGCGCTCGTGTTTCGCTCGCTCTACTATCCCTGAGGAAAAATGGGGGACTGGTCGTGATCTAGGTTTGAAGCACTGGTTTGGGGCACGTCAGAAATGGCTGATTGTCCTATTCTAACCACTGTTTTCTATGTTCTTCCTTTTATTACTTCAGAGGTTTATTTATCATTGATGACAAAGGAACTCTTCGTCAAATTACCATGAACGACCTTCCGGTAAGCCAAGATAATATAAACTGTTGTTCAAACCATAAATCTCGCTTGCGTAGCTGGCTGTTTGTTTGGCGAGGGCCGAAAAAACGCTGTGAAAACGCGCGCGATCGACAAAAAAGAAAACCTCGATTTTTCTCGCCCCATTCTCCTTGCGGCCTCGCCACTCATTTGCGCGCTGGACGAACATAACCGCCCGTAATGCAGGCCTCCATAAATCCACAGTAAACAGTTATTGCTATTCACGTCTTGTTTTGAATCTGACAAATGATTTACAGTACATGTACATAGCACACCTTTTCTGCGTTACTTATTATTACGCTACACAAGTTTTTTGTAGTTGAATGTTATTCGACACTTTTTTCATCAGCAGATTTATCTTTAGTAAACGGTTTTTATTGTCTAGGTCGGTCGATCTGTCGATGAAACTCTACGTTTGGTCCAGGCCTTTCAGTATACTGACAAACACGGTGAGGTATGCCCGGCTGGCTGGAAGCCTGGTAAAGAGACAATAATTCCAGACCCAACAGAAAAGAAGAAGTACTTCGCCAAACAAGCGGAAAAAGGCGAAAAGGAAAAGGAATAATACTTACTACAGAAAAAATATTAGTTTAAGTTAAAAATTTTTATTGAATGAATAGACTTGTGGCTCCTGTCTTGTGCACAATTTATAAGCGAGTCCCATCTTGAAGTGTTTCTTTCTTTCTTTCTTTTTTTTTTTCAAAAAAAATGTTGAAATAACGTCCTTTGCATCTAACGCAAGTATCTCTTTATTGTACTTCTTTATTCTAGTAAAGAACTGCTTACAGTGATGTAATAAAAACATTCATACAGTCTGTTCCCTGCTTGCCGTGGCACTTAATGTCCTCGAACTTTCGGAATAGATAAAGAGTTTCTAGGACAGCTCCAAATTTAACCAAACAGGTTTCTAAATCATGGAGAAAACCATTTATAACACTTCTGACTAATTTGAAAAAAAAAACATTCGGTCGTCGGTTGCCCATGGCAAATGGTTAGCAAAATTCGAGACTGGTAAATTTCGCCCCGGAATCGCGTTTACCACTTGTGCAAATCATTTCTGAAAAACGGCTCCGAAAGCCTGAAACTGATACTAAAGATTGCGTTCAAGGAATTTTACTCGAATTTCCGTTTCGAGCAGCACACCTTTTTTAGATGTTCCGGTGCTGACAGAAATTTTCCACCGGAACGACCCGAAAGTCTTGCTCCTTTTACTTTGCAACCGTTTTGTAAATAGCAAACAACCCTCCAGTGGCCAGCCGTAAATTAAACTCGTTTGCAAACTTACGTTATTTTATGATCGTGTCTTTTTCACTTTGTAACCATTTTAACGAGTTTTTTTTTAAATTTCGCAATGTACTTTCTGTGAGTCTGCGCTGCCTTTGATTGGCGCTGTTGTGTGTTTCGCGGGAACAAATTTAGGTCAAGGCCAAACGTCGAACTTTTCATAAGACGAACCAAACTTTACAGAAAATTAAAGTTCATGAAAAGTTCCACGTCTGGCTCAGTTTGGGGAGCAAGGGTGGCGCAGTGATGAGAGCACTCGCCTCCCACCAATGCGGCCCGGGTTCAAATCCCGGCGTCGACGCCATATGTGGGTTGAGTTTGTTATTGGTTCTCTCCTTTGCTCCGAGAGGTTTTTCTCCGGGTACTCCGGTTTTCCCCTCTCCTCAAAAACCAACATTTCCAAATTCCAATTCGACCAGGAATCTGGTAGACGAAGAACCATTATGTGGATGTGCTACCTGCAAATCGTTATTTATTTATTTATTTATTTATTTTTAAAGTTAAGTTCGCCTGAATGAGTTTGGGTCGTCCAGCACGTTCTATCCGTCTGCTTCAGACGGATAGGACGTCTGAAGATCGTCTGCGGGACGAACGTCGATCTTCACATGCAACGAACTAAGCTAATAAATTAAGAATTGGTATGATAATGTATATTTAGCTTCGTTTGGGAGAAAATTTATTACTCATCTGATTCAGGTGATTAGTTCGACGCGTGCTAAGTTCGACGTCTGACCTAACAGACCATCTTAACTTAATTTAGGTCGAAACAAATTACAGTTTGGTTCGTTTCATGAAAAGTTCGACGTTTGGCCTAGGCCTTATTTCGTTCGCGATGAGTAAGGCCCAGTTCAAATGTCTAATTTGGGTCGACCCATGAATTGAGATCGAGCGGCCCACATGGGAATTTCGACTATGGAGCGACTTCGTTACAAACGACGAACTTCAGTTCTCATGTGCCGAACTAGCCTGCGCTCAGACGAAATTAATCTCCGGTTAACTCCGTCTGCGAAACAGCGCCGAAATCCTTGTTCTGGACATCCAGCTGTGTACCCAGATTTGAGTACGCGCCACGATTGGCCAGTTAAAAAAGGCCTTTGTTTTGTTTGTCGTGATCGCCAATCAGGTTGAAGGGGAATTCGAAACGCACTTCCGGTAAGTCGTTGAGTCCGTTGGGGGTCCAGAACAAGGATCTCTGCGCTGCTTCGCAGACGGTACTAATCAGAGTTTAGTTATCGTCTGCACGCAGGCTAGTGCCGAACCTAATCCATAAATTTGTAAAATTTATTTTCACTTGTAAGCGTTTTAGAGCATTGAACATCGTGAAAATGAATTGAACCTGACAAATTAAGTTCGACGTCTGAATCAATCGTCGAACTTTTTATTAGGTATTAAGTTCGGTGCATGAAAAGATCGACGTTTGAACTGGGCCTAAAATTTCTACTGGGACTCAATAGTTTTTGAGATTTTTGTTTGAGTAGCAATCTTCTATACTTTCAACTTTTATTGTTTGTTGAATTACTGTACATATCACTGAAGGATATAAATTTGTGTAAGTCGGGGATATATCTCTACAGATCAAAAGCAAAACGCAAAATCCAAAAACTTCATCTTACATGTTTTTAAAATCATTTAAAATTCTTATGTAACGACGTAGTCTTAAAGGGGCTAGGTGACGAGGATATTGTTGTTTAAGGTCAATTTTCGCGGGCACCCGACGACAGTTTTCTGTAAAATATCTGTTCGTAGAAGCAAATATTGCCTAGAATTTTTCTATCACTTGAGGACAGCTAACAATTTCTAGATGACCGTTCCATTCGTGTACAGCCTTCGAAGCTTATCTAAAAAAGTCCCTACGATTTTCTGAAGTTTAATGTTTCACATTTCACACTTCAGGCAAGGCTATTTTTCGTACTGGAATAAGGAAACCTAAAATTTTCGGATTCAAGAATGTGATGGAGAGAGGAATCAAAATTCTTTTCACTTTCGTAATGCGCCAAATTGCATCTAACATTTTCGGGAAAATAATACCGAAGCCCTTGGAATTTCGAAAAGACTTAAGTTCCCCTGGGATGACCGAACAGATATAATGCTTAGAATGCATTTGCAACGGTCTAAAAGTACCCTGGATAGTCTAAAAAAGTGTTTTCAATGCATTTGGGAGGAAATCGTCGTTGGGTGCCCCTGAATTTCGTGGTAAAGTCATTTTTAGTTCCTTTACCCATACACAAAGTGCTTCTGTAGTATCATACAAATTTCACCAGGAAGCCCTAACCATGACAACTTTTTTGGTGATATTTGGGGAGGCATTGCTTTAAAACTTGAAAAGGTTTAAATTTCAATCCGTGTTTATCTTTGCCATCCGTTGCAACAGGCGTTAGGAAACAGTTTCAATGCCTAATTATAGCCTTAAATAACAAAACTGGATCATTTTTTTTGAAATTCAATTGATGCGACACAATTTTTAGACTTTTAAAAAGATATCCAATAGCGTGTCATAGCCCCTTTAATAAGGCATGCCGCGATACGTATTGCTCCACATCTGGGGATCACTCATCGGCATGACAGCGGGGTGTGGATACGGCATGTACCCATAGTGGTACAAACAAGGAACAACCGGTCTCTGGTAATCTTGAAAATCTTGGTGTCCCTGTTGTGGATGATTCTCCTTTCTCCATCTTACTCGTCGGTTCTTGAACCAATTCTAGAATGGAATTTTAACCGTCATTGTAAGAAGAACATTTTTTAAGGACTCTGAAGCTTTTCTTGGTTACGTGATTAATAATACCGTGAAGAGTCGTCAAAAGGCTTGACGGACTACTTCGAGGACAACTAAACAAAACGAAAGTAAGAATTGAACACAAAGAGCGATGATAAACATTACCGGAACTTTCAAAGTGTTGTATCAACTTGACGTTTCGTATACTAGGTAAGATAAATTTTCATACTACTGGCATACGAAACGTCAAGTTGATATACAACTGCGAAAGTTCACAATGTTTATCACCGCTTGTTTTGTTTTATTTTCTATTAAGCTATAAAAAATAAAGTCTTTTATAAAACTATACTAAAATGTAGTAATTTACGTCCTCTGCTGTAACCGGGCCCAGCTGACCCAAGATCGAACCAGTACAGCATCCTGATCCAAGGACCAGAGCTCTTGCATTTAAATGGTATAACGGAGAATGAGAAGGAGTATTAAAACCAATTAGGTGGGTTAAGTACAGGTTCCCCACAAAAAAAGACATAAAGCAATGGCTAGACAGGGCGTTTCCCTCTCTGTCCGTTATTCTGTCTTGGTAGATGTTATAGCCGTCGTCATGCAGGCTACTCAAGCAACCTTCACTCACCTCCTACTTCTACGGAAGGAAGTCTTCCCGCCATCAGTCATGAATCGAATTAAACATTAAACAGATCATTCGATGGCCCTGCGATTGATGCGGCAGTTGAATGCAATCAAACTTAAACTTGTTGGCGAGGGTGTTCGTTGTTGCCGCGGTGTGTTTTGGGAAAAAACGAATTATAGCCTGCGTTTTGCGTGACAGGCGTCGAAAGGGGAGGAAAAATAGAGAGGGGATTGGGGATAGAAAGAAAGGGACCAACAACAACAATGGATAAACTTCCAAATTTCTTTAAAGTGACAAACCCAGATTGTTAGTATATTTGGTTGAGTGCAGGTAAATTGTGATACACACCTTTACAACTTCATCTGGTATCCCAATTCTTTGTGATAGTATTCGACGCTTTTTGGGCAAAAGATAATGAGACTCGTTAAAAGCTCTCTCCAGTTGGCGGAGTTGGTATTCATTAAAACGTGTTCTTCGTCGACGACTGACTGGTTCGTCTGCAGTTGTCTGACGTGAAAAGGAAAATGTGCTACCTATATATCGACAAAAAGAGGCCGGTTACTAATGCGTCAGCCTGTAACATTAGGGGCGTTCAAGAATAATTTACCAAATTGTGCTATCAAAGAAGATATTTTAATTTAATTCAAATAGTTATTCATTAAAAAATATTTCTCTGCTTCTGATTGACTCAAATCCCCCGGCTAATTCTTCATAACCAGTTAACGTTGATCAAGTTTTAAAGACAATGTGATAGCCAGTAAAATGACGTCAACAGTACATGCTATCAGCAGAGAAGGGGCGCCAACCCGAGAAGCACTGGGGATCGATGAGGCTGCTTTAGCTCAGTTGTTTTAGTAGAGCATGAGAAAAAAGCGGACAATTTCACACTTTTGCGAACAAGAAAGAGATGAGGAACAGACAATTGAAGAAGGGAACTAAAATTGATTGGTGAAAGCATGTTTGTAAAGTATGAATTATTATTTTGATCAGGAGCCTATGAACATGAGTCATATGCTCATATGGTCATGGGCTCCTGTGATGATTAAATAATAAATCACGAAAAACACAATTTTTGGATTCGGCTTTCTTACGATGTGAGGTTGCTATTCGTCGAGGCCTGATTAGGGTCTGATAATACAAAATAAATGTAGATGTAGCTGTATCTGAGCGAACTACACGACCATTATGAAGTTTGTTTTGCCCTCCAAGAAAAATTGTCCAATCACACCGTAAGGAATGACGTGGTTGTCACGTGGGGGTGTTATAAGGCCGTTTGTCATTTTTTTTTAGTTCCGAGATGAACCGCTATAATCCGAGGTGAAATTTATTTTTTTTACGTGCCACTCCACAACCCAGGATAACCTTGGTCTAAAGTAATTTTATTTGTGAGGAAAAGACAAGACAAGACAAGACGATTTATTAAACTCAGCTCAGTTCTACATGGCATAAAGGTCAAATTTACGTAGGCAAATAAACACAGTACAACTAAGGAATAAAAGAAAAATGTAACAACAAAACAGAGAGCGAGTTGGGATCATCCAAATAGCAAAGGCTAATCTAGTGGATGACCCCTGCAATAAAATACAGTTACAGATAGAATTAAGAATAAATTTTATATGTATATAAAAAGTATTTCTTCATGCGCTAAGGCAGATAATTAATTGGAATAACAATTGAAGATAGAGTTTTACGAAATATTCTAAGAGTATTTGAATTAGTTATACTTGTGGGCAAGGAGTTTCAAAGGCGAGGACCAGTGAATTTTACGGAGCGTAAGCCATATTGGGTGGTATTCACTGAGGCTACTTAAAGATTTCCATTACATGAACAATTACCAAATGGAAACTTTAACAAAAAAAAGTGATTATAATTAACCAAGAGAAGATAACCTCTGTTATATAAACTTACCCTTTGTTTGATCGACAGTGTCATCTGCACCATCCTGCATCCAAAACGTGTTGTCAGGTATATCAACTGCGTCCGTCAGGGTATGATGGACATGAGCATCGCCATCGATCACCTTCCCTGGTGAAATTTACATACCTTATTGTCACTAAATTTGAGGGATCTTTTTTTTCGCGATTTTCGCTACACCTAAATATAGGAAATTTAAAGGCCGGAGCAAAAAATTATTGAGTATATTTGATGCAAACGCGAAATTTTATACCTTTTTTCTAATGCTCTTTTTGTCGTACTGAGCTACGACTGGGCTATTATTTGCCTGGCGGAACTTTAAAGAAAGTGGTTGTGCATGTTTAAACGCAAACCGTGACTGAAAATGATTGTGTACTGGTACTTTCAAATTCGCACCCTGATTGTAACATTATAACGATACAACTGATTTCAAACCTATAAAAAGCAGTTTTCAAGTCATCGGTTCCATCTGTCTCTTCTATTTTCGCGAAGTTTAAGTTTCCCGCGAGACTGTGAGCATGTAACAATATGAGCTGTATACATTTTGAAAGCTTGGTAAAAACATGGCGTTTGAAGTTTAAACAGTTGTAGTTACGTATACTTCTGAAAAAATGAATAGCCTGTACGTACATACATGCCTCTATGTTTTTTATAGTATACTTCGTATGAAACTAAGATTACACACCGGAATTATCTACACAATTAGTTACTCGGTTATAGACCAATGTATAGGGCAAAACACTAACAAGTACTATACATGTCGGAGAAAACATCAACGCTAAAATTTTAAGAAAACGTAGGAATTTTAGTACCAACCTTGAACGGTTTGATCATTGCTGATCACCACATACAAATCTGAGCTTGTGGCATTTAGATGAGCTTGCTGTGAAAATGAGTTCCCGATAGTATCGTTTTTAACACCTGAGCTAGAATAAGAAAGTGCATTCATTTTGTAAGCTGCAAGTTGCGCACTTAAGAGTAACCAAAAATCTGATGATGAAAACTTTGCCAGATATGGGGAGTCCTAGCTATCTATTCTCAACTGCAAGGTGAGCAGAAGATTTCTTTTTATATTTCATTCTTGTTTTTTGCGATGTTTACAGATGGATTAGTGTTTGACGTTATTTTAATACTAGCAGTGACGCATCAAACGCCTTTTGTTGGTTTCTTTTTCCTGGTCGCATACTGATGGTTCCTTGTTGAAAGGAATGTGGGCGTTCCGCGTATTGATCGATCGAGTACATTAAAGAAACCCCAATCTCCACCCCCCCCCCCCCAAAAAAAACGTTTTCACTCACGTGGCCAGCAGCAATGCAAATTTACTGGAAAAAAAACCTTTCTTACATAAGAAAAAGGTTCAACTCTGACAGGACTGGTTTGGAACAGCCGATGACATGGCCGCCGTTTTATTGTTTTGGAACGGTTGTGACTAGAACGGATACCGTAAAATTCCGAAAATAAGCCCCTCCATGTATAAGCCCCTCCAAATATAAGCCCCCTAAAACGGTAACGCAAAAAACCCTCCGTTAAATCCCCCCCCCCAAAATATAAGCCCCCTGGGGGCTTGTACTTGGAAAATTGCCCTCAAATACAAAGTAAAACAAAGCTAAAACGGTAAATTTACTTCCAACCATAAGGCTAGCCCAATCGATTTTGAAACGCAAATATCCCTCCGTAGATAAGCCCCTCCGAATATACGCCCCTCCAAAAATAAGCCCCTCTAAAGGGCCTTTGAAAAATACAAGCCCCGGAGCTTATTTTCGGAATTTTACGGTACCTCAAAATCAGGTTTATTACACAACGCTATGGGAAATCAGAGTAGGGAGACTCTTGTGCAAGGAAAAGAGTTGAATACAGGGGTTAGCACCGAAGTACAGTGATTGGGGTTAAGCACTGCTTTAAAAACGGTTAGCTTTCAATAATGTAATGATCAGTGCTATGTAAAGTACGTTAAAATTAACTTACGTCGACAGTTAGCCCTTGATGGTGTAGTGGATACGGATATTATACATCAAATGACGCGGGTTCAAGTCTTACATACCCCCTACTATTTTCTTCTGTTTTCTTTGTTCTCTTTAAGTTATAAGACTCCTATCATGTATTTTGAGTGAAGATGACAATCTTACTTTGGGGTATCCATTCTAGTCACAACCGTTTTGGAACACCAACATGGCGGACGTGACGTCATGTGGAAAAGTTACTGACATACAAAGCTGAAATCGAACATATCGATATTTATCTATTTATTTTGAGTCCAAGATTCAATAATGAATATGGGCCATCGAGATATTTTCGATATGGATCGGTTCTCCATTTTGTCTAATATCTTGCTTGTCCAGGGAACGAAAAGCAGTTATTCTCCCTTCCGAAAAATATGAGGTATCCATGTTACATGGTAACTATTTGTAACTACATAATAAGCACGTAAGCTGCTGTAGGTTGAATAATCAGGGCTAAGAAACAAAGAAAATTCTGAAACAAAAATGTTGAATACTGGTTTATAGCGAGAACGGATTTTACCTGACATATACGAAACAAGTTTTATGTCATTAAAGTTAGTTTATCAACCGAGGGTTGTCGAACATTGCTAAACTGACGTCCACATAAAATGACAAAAGAACACAGACATTGGATGCCATAGGTCACGTGAGCGGTGAGTCTATAATCGGATAGGTCAAATCGGACAGTCAAACAGCCAATGAAAATCGTGTAGGAAATGCTAGTACCTGATATTCAGTCAAAGTCAATGATGAAAAAGTATTCTGTGAGCATGTAAAAATAAAACGTATTTTTAAAAGGTTCATGCAGTGGGACCGCCATATTTACAATGTACTTTCACACAACCTCGTTCCCAGGGCTTTTTCCTTAGAAAATTGGAGGGGCCGTTAAAATCCCTGGGAGGAGGTTGAGTTCATTGCCCATGATCTAAAACCAAGAGAGAATGCACCTCGTTTGCCTCCAAAAATTTGTTTTTTTAGGGTGGTGGTGGTGGGAAGGGGGATGGTAAACAAGTAAATTATGGGTAAGGGCAATGTGAAAAGTGGTGAATTCCGATATCACCAAAACTGTTGTTTTAGAAGCCGTGAGCTGATGTGATAAGAACATTAGACTTACATTAACTCCAATATTGAGATTCTCGTATTTTGCTGGGGCGGATCTAGGGGGAGGGTGCAGGGGGTGCGCACCCCTCCCTGAGATGACCTGCGGTTTTCTAATACAACTGGTATTCTGCAAAAAAAAAAAAAAAGAACTATGTGGTTTATTGGTGTTGAAGTAGAGCAAGAGACGAGTGCACCCCCTCCTAAAAAAAATCCTGGATCCGCCCCTGTTTTGTTATTGACACCGTGATTAATAAGTGGCAATAGGATTGAGTGGAGTACAATTCAGATGAGTCTCAGATGTAATCGGGCAAGTAATTCTAATTTTTTATCTCAGGAGCCCATCACTAGGCTCCTTGTCATAGGCCTTCCTGTTGATCTCTATGAAGAACTCACATGACTCTTTTCTTACGGAGGTTCTTGTGTTGTTAATAATTTGCGTTTCTAAGTTGGACTCTTTCAAATTATTTTGCCACCAAGTGGACTATTTTTAAAATAGCAAAACCTGGGGTGCTTCCGGGCCTTACCATTTACACAAATCACCAGGATCACCTGAAATCACCCATGTAGAAATCTGATCCATTTCAACTATAAAATTTGACGTGATGGGTGAGCGACCCACTACAAAGTACTGTATATCCAAATCAGCTGAACAGACTATCTTTAAGGAATGGAAAAATTGAATCGCCATACTTGTTCTCACGATCGCCTGACAAGCCCTAGTGAGCGCAGGCTCGTATGTTCGAGACAGCGGCTATTAATTTAAGGCTGAGTCACGCTGAGGCTGGTTCATTTCACTGGGGTTTTTAGGAGGCCGGAGGTCTGTTCACCTCTTTGTTCTGCAAACTTTTCTTCACAATGGTAAGTGCAGTTTCACACTGAGCTTCCATAATATGTTTTGCGTGAGAGTGTGAACCTTGCCGCTCCTAATTAACTCAGTCAAAACTGCAGAGCAGTTTGCACGTAGCAGAAGACCGCCACATCACATGTGTGCTTTTTTATGCAATTTCACAATACTCCCGACATATTTCTCCGCCAAAATGTAATTTATAAAGCAAACTTTCCGGGTATCATCTTAAACAATTTGTAAAATATTGTGCATTCAAAACTCATAGAAGAACTGTGAATCCGATTTATAAGCGATGTTTATCCTAAAAGCAGGACTGGACCCTGGAGTCGTCACCAAGAACAAAAGAATTGTGGTCGTTTCGCACGAAAGTCGATTCGCCCGATGACAAACAACACTTTACAACACAGCTTATCAGAGATGCTTTTTTAAACTTGGATTCTATTGCTGCTATTGCTAAAAAGGTCGAGTGAGGCAAACTACCATCTGTTCATGTGGCCATTGTTGGGAAAACCGTGAACACCAGAAATATCTCTGGAATGTTATTGTGTTGCAAGAAAAAAAGCCAATCAGGCATGAGAAAACTGAATTGCAAGCAAGAACGTTAATTAGTTTGTCGTTTTGCAGCTAGTTCGCATGTCCTGATCTTTGCTGTGATTGGTCATAACACAATAAACATTCCTGAGATATTTCAAGTGTTCACGGTTTTCGTGGTCGCACTGTAAAGTCCTGGGGATGTGCAGTTGCGAATGATGGTGTTTTTTTAAAGTACACTGTATTAGTCAGCTGGCATACAATCAATGTAAGCATTTTATCAAGAACTTTAGAACAGTCAGATCCTCTATGAAAATCCAGGCACCTCTTAAGATTAAAGTCTTCTTACTGCTCAAAAAAGTTGGCACGTGTTTAAGGTAATGTGTAGCTTTAGAATTTCATGCATATCATGCAGAGCCCCTGAGACAATCTCTCTGTGATCTCTTGGAAACAACAGGAATTATCCTCATTTTCCTCCATCAGAATGCTTGTTATAGACACTGACAGTACATATACCTTTAAAGTTTTGTACATTTTATGCTTCCTTCAGGCATCACTGTCAGTGAAACTGCACCATGGAGCTTTAATGCCTTTAATTGCTTTGGGGTGAGTTGAGGCTTGAGTGTTGTCCTAGCTTTGTACGTGGCGGCTTGTTCCAATGTAAAACTGTATGAATTTGCCATACATGTATGTGTATGGCATAATATTACATATATTTCAGGATTGTTGTGGCATGCGGCGATTACCCATTTTAATATTTAGGCTAATGACTAATAGCACATTAAAAGTTCACGCTATTTAAATTTTATTGGTGGATAATTTTTAACTCATGTATGTTCTTAAGTTTCATTATTGTACTCACAGTTTAAGGCTAAGTTTATACAGCACCAGACAAATTTTTTTTTTTCGTGGTTGAAAATTATTTTGTGCTGTTAGGTGTTCTTTTTATGTGGAACCTGACCTTTATTTAACCATGAATGTTTAGACACCTAGCCGTTCAGAGTTCGAAGTGAATGGAGAGATTAATACAGTCTATCATTATTTTATTAGTGAAGAGTAATCAGGAGAGAGGAGGGGGGCTTATTTACTTTCTTTCGCTGAAAAGGGGGCTCTTATCAGAGGGAAGGGGCTTAATATTTGAGAGGTGGGGCTTAATAGGGGATTTATGTGAGCCTAAAGTAATAATTTTGTAATGTACTTATTATTTTTCTCCTGAAAAATCTTCCTTTGTTCTTGCAGGACGTGGAAATCTAAAAAAGGTGAAGTTGGTAAAGCAGTGAAGCTTGCACTGCAGTATGGCTACAAGCATATTGATTGTGCCCATGTGTATCAAAATGAAGATGAAATTGGTGACACGCTAACTGAAGTATTTAAAGAGGGAAAAGTTCAACGTCAAGATGTCTTTATTACCTCAAAACTATGGTAAATATCTTGCATGTCTTTTTACTAGTAATACTTGTTGTGTACAGTATAATGACAATTTATAATGACAATTTCCATGGGAGGTTTGTCTTAAATCTACAGTTAGCTAAGTGAAATAATAATATTAGGAGCTATTAGTTTCTCCTTTCTCGCTTCTTGAAGGAGTGTTTGGAAAAAAGTGCTAGCCCAGTTGACTTCTGGAAAACTATATTCTCCTTGTACATGTAAATGTAAATGTTTACTTGAATTTGGAACATTAAATACATGTTGATACTACTGATTTAATTTTTCTTTGCAGCTCTTAGTTTGCAATATTTATGGATTTGAAGCCAAAAATCCTTGAAATGTAGCTTAAGCTTGTGGTCTATTGAAGAGGCTAAATACCATTATTGTAGTTAGCTTATGGATACAGCTGTTTCTTCTCCCTCCTCACAGGGATGTTTTGTGAGAGGGACGTCTGTGTCGGAATGACAGAAATGTGCCTATACTGATGATGTAAAAATTAATGTGTCCAGAATCTGATCATGAGCTCTAGATCTGATTGACCAACATAGTAATAATTTATTGTATTTTTTTTGTTGGCTATTGTTTACTTTTATGAATGACAGGCAAAAGGCAAAAGGTCATATTAAAGCTCATAAATCTACTTCAAAACATTCTTTTTTCCGGGATATATTCTTCTTTATCAAACTTCTTCCTGTTTATGCTTTAACTGTGAACAGGTGTAACAGTCATGCCCCAGAGGATGTGCTCACTGCCTGCCAAACTACCCTGAAAAACCTCCAGCTGGATTACCTTGATCTATATCTTGTAAGTTGTCATGTCATTGTTCGTGAGCTGCTCAGGTTTACTCAGAATTATTGAGGCTAACACCTTTAAAGAAAGACACTTGTTAGCCCACAAGTAACAATATTTGCTAACTCCACTGTACATGTACACCTGGAAGGATGGGGGGAAGGGGAGGGGAAGGTACTGTAACCCCCATAACATAAGTTTCATGTTTTTTTAACAAACTATTAATGGTGAAAAAAATGCATGATGACACATGAAAAGTAATTTTGCCGGTCAACTTGCCAGCATGGTTATATTTCAAAACCTGTAGAAGTTAATGCTGAAAATTCCATGACTTCGTTGGCACTTTTTTGTCTAAAATCCTTGTGTTAGCCCCTAGATTATTTTCCTTTTATTGTTAATTCTTCCCATCTGTGGCATGTTATCACATCCACCCAAGTGAATGCTTTATAAGCAGCATTTTTGTTTCTCAAGTTTTAGTAGCGATACTTCAATTGCATTCTAAATTTAATTTAATAGATAATTAAAGTTAATTCAGTGTTTCCAAAAGAGTGTTATTAGACTATGGAGATAATAATAATGCTTGCCTGTTTTTCTCTCAATAGATCCATATACCTCTTGCATTTAAAAAAGATGTAAGTTTTCCTCATTGTGTAGCTGATGGGGTCATTGGTTACTCACCTGAACGGATCGCCCAAACCTGGCAGGTACTTAAGTGTACTGACATGTAACCATTAAACTTCAAAGAGTATAGAAATAGCAAATAGTACGGTGCAAAAAAATTATACTATAGAACTGCACACTGAGTTACTATTTAAAGATTAGACAAACAAAATAATTGAAATTATCATTAGTGAATTCCTCACTTTTTTGTCTCTTGTCATCAAAATGTTATGTGTGTCTGACTTTTGTCATTAAAATGATGAAATAACAAAAGTCAGACAAACATTGCGAATTAGTCTGTGTCACTCTGATATGCATTGTGCTCTGGAAGGAGCTCTCTCAGTACTGTGTCCCATGTTCACATATCAGAAATGCGTGAGCGTGCAACAACGAAGATCACTGATACAGTGTAGGGGTTACACGTAACCTTTGCATTCTCTGAGACTTAGTTATGAACACACGTTCAGATCTGAATTTTGAATCGTTGGATTTTTCATTTCAATGAAATCCCCCCGAACCTCTTACAGAACTGTTACAGGGATTGATGTATGCGCTAGATAGAACCTAAAGAATTGTTGTGATCTTCCAGGCCATGGAGAAGCTTGTAGAACAAGGCCTTTGCAAAGCTATTGGAATCTCAAACTTTACGATAAAGAAGACAAATACCCTTCTAGAAACCGCCAAGATAATACCAGCTTGCAACCAAGGTACGTACACGTCTTATAGGACTCTTGAACACGTTTAGCAGAGACACTTATTAACTCCTTAATTTCTTGCAGCTTTTCACACTCTAAAGCCTAGTCCAGACGTTGAGATTTTGACAAGTGTTCATGAAAAGTTTGACGTCTGGCTCTGAGTTAAGTTCGTAGAGTCTGAATCGTCCAAAACATTCTATCCGTCTGCTTCAGACGGGTAGAACGTCTGAAGATCGTCTCCGGTACAAACGTGGATCTTCACATGCAACGAACTAAACTAATAAATTAAAAATTTGTATAATAATGTATATTTAGACTCGTTTGGGAGAAAATTTATGAAAATTGCTTTTTGGTCTGATTCAGTTGTTTGGTTCGATGCTTCCTAAGTTCCACGTCTGGCCCAACAGACGGTCGGTCTAAACTTAATTTAGCTAGGTCGACCCAAATTAGAGTTTGGTTCATGTCATGAAAAGTTCGACGTTTGGTGTTCTGAATTTCACACTGGTAGTTCATTCATCTTTAGTTAAAATGTCCCGACTCTTTAGGTCGTGGGGGTGGGGGTAGGGGGAGGGGCGTAAAAATATCAAAATCTAGAGTCGCTGTTGCACAGCTCTGAAGATGTAATTAAATCATTGGGTTGTTTTTGTTTCGTTTCATGTTCAACAGTGGAACTTCACCCATACTTGCCTCAGCCACAGCTGTTAGAGTTCAGTACAAGCAAAGGTGAGTCAAATTTAGGTTGGACAAGTTACTAATTTAGAAGGTCTTATTGATAACTCTTCATAATTCTTGAGAAAGGTTTTCTTCCCTCACTGACACCGACGGCTTGGAAGAGAAAATCCGAATATTTCCAACAGTAGTCGAACCTAAGACCTTTAGATCCAGGTGCTCTACCACTGAGCTACAGGAGAGTCTACAGAAGTTCACTATTTAATGAGGCATTAGGTCCGTTTGTATGTAACATACTTTAGAGCACATCATTCAGGCGTGGACCTAGCATTAATCATAACTGTAACAAAATGCTCAAATCTGATTGGCTATCAACTGTCCTGATTTCAGCACTAATAGGACAGTACGCGTCATGCCTATGTAATTGGACAGAACGCGTCATCGCACGCGCACACTTAAATGGCTTTTTTCCCTACTAGCAGAAAACTCTTTTAATTTCTTGTGTTTTTTATTTTCAAGAGGGCTAAATCATCACAAATTTTGTCATAGTTATGATTAATTGGTAACAGAACTTCGTGTCGTTCAATTCGGTCTGTAATCATACTCGTGATTAAACAAATCGGACGACCGCGTATTTTGTTAATCACTCGTATGATTGCAGACCGAACTGGACTCCACTTAGTCCTGTTACCATTATAAAAAGTGACCGATTTCCTAAACAAGCACCGGAGGCACAAGCTTCTAGGGGAGGTCCAGGGGCATGCACCGCCGGGAAATGTTTTGGGATTTTAACTCCCTTAAGTTACCTTCCATGGGTTTCTTAGTCATTCAGACATGAAATTGGCCAGATTTTAACCTGGAAAGCGGTTACTATTTTATAAAAAATCTGACCGATTTTCGTAAAACGGTGGAAACCGGTGTGGATCCGCGCCTGTCGTTATTTATGTTGCCATAAAAATTTATACGTGAGACGACTTTAAACAGGTTTAAGGTGGCTATGTCACGAGGATATTGCTGTTTAAGGTCAAGACTACTTAGCCCTTTGCTCATACCCAAAATCCTCCTCTTCTTTATGAAGAAGATATGAAACACATTTCAACAGCGGGAAATAACCATAATAGTAGACTGTTCACAGTCCTCTATTTTTCCGTAAGATCGTCGAGATCGAAGACTTTGCGTTACTGGCGGCCATCTTGGATGAGTCTACCAATATGGCGGTTCGTAACGCCGTGCGCTCGATTCTGATTCTGTAAACAGTCTACCATAATAATATTTCTGGTGATTTTTGCAGACATCGCATTAAAATATGAATAAGTTTGCCCAACTTTTTCAACTTTCAATCCATGTCCATCCTTGCCATCCGTAGGAATAGATGATAGGAAACAGTTTGAACGCCTATTGTGGTCTTAAACAACAAAACTGGACCATTATTTTTGAAATTCAATTGATGCAAAGACACGTTTTTACTTTTTAAAAAGATGGAAAATATCGTGACACAGCTCATAATGCAAGACCAAATCACCTGACTGACAATTGTAATTATTAATAGAAACTAACAAAACTATTTTGGTGGTAAAATAGATGTTCGCTGCTGTCTTCTAAATCGTATGACATAATTATTATGACCAGAAGGCGGATAGTTTGTCGTTTTATGTTCTTATGGGAATTCCTATCAGAGAGACATACAATGGGTCACGGAGACTGCTTGAGAGAAGTCAGTTTTACGGTATTGAAGTAATTTAAGGGAGGCTATGTCCCGCAAGTGGCTGCTTAATAGGGAGTAATAGCTTCTCTTCGTACCGGTTTGACCGTATTGTAAATGTGTAGCTAGAAAATCGCTGCAAATTTTCCCAACAAAATTTTCTCTTTGTTTTATTTCAGGGATTGTAGTGACTGCCTATTCTCCGCTCGGATCACCTGATAGGCCGTTTGCCAACAAAGACGAACCTATTGTGTTAAATAATCCTCTGTTGAAGAAAATTGCTGATAAACACAAAACTACAATCGCTTTGGTGAGCCGTCTTTACATCTTTTATAGACTGCTCACAGTCCTCTATTCATTTCTCGTATGTTTACATCATGACGCGACCGTCAGAGTGGAGAGCGATGGATTTGGACGGGGTTGGGCGAGAGGGCCTTTTTTCGCTCTTCCGGCGTACTTCTTCACGCTCTCTAGCCTGTTCCATGCTTCAAGATTTAATGTGCACAGATTGTGAAAACTGATGCGAAAACTGACGCGCAGGGTCTGGAGAGAGAGAAGGTGGTTGAGCTTCTCTCCTTCTTTTCCCGCCACCTTCTCCTCCCCCAAATCACGCACGTCTTATTTTCGCTTGGTTTGGTGACGTCACAGGCTACACACCCTCGTGCTTCCCGCTCACTTCGCTATCGAGAATTATTCGTAATGTCGCGTTCTGTGTTTCGCATATTTGCGTCAAGAAAGTAGCAAGGCTGTGAAAAGTATAAATCTTTGTACCTTCTCTAAGTGGATGGCGTAGATTACCAAGTTGAACCGAGTTTTATGTTATAATCCTCTAATAATCTCCGCATGTTTCTGATTGGGTGCGGCGTTTATCGGTAATTTCGTCTGCACCTACGGCGATTCGAGAGCGGCGTTTAATCGAGTAAATAGGCATGTCGAAGTAGTTGTTGTAAATATCGCTTCAATTTTTACCTACAGTACAGCATACCTAAACAGAAGTTTCAATAACAACTTACCTATTTTAAATTGTCTTCTGAACAAACTCCTAAAAAGTACCTTCTAATACGGTTTTTACCTTTGAGCCGGTGTATTTCCAACTAGGTGGTATCGAATTCGAAAAATTCTCTCTCTAAGACGCTGAATTGTCGTACGCACGGCAGACGTTCTTAGGGGTTCGTCACGCGTTCTTGCCCGACGTTGAGGTGGGGGGACGAGCGACGAAGCCCTAAGAACATCTGTGTGGGAGGTTAGGCATTACCTGACTTTACCCAAGAACACCTATAATTTTTTTTCCCGTTCGTTTCGCCCCCGTATCCTGGGGAGAAAGGCTGCTTGCGACAATTCACTAACCCCGAACACTCTTTCTGGTGGTTGTCCCGCTGAGATTATAACAAGTAAAGTTGAGCCATGCATTTTTTCCCTGTTTTAACAGGTCGCTCTGGCCTGGGGTATTAAGCGTGGAACTCCAGTCCTTCCAAAAGCTGTCTCTGAGAATCACATCAAAGAGAACCTGGAAGCACTTAATGTAAAACTAGATGATGATGACATGAAGGCCATCGAAAACATCGGGATACGTCACCGATATCTGACTCAGACGTGGATGTTCAAACCGGAGGAAGTTCCTGAAAATTACTGGGATGGCGAAGAGTGACAGCAAAAAATTGTCTTTTTAATGTATAGCTGGATAAAAAATACAAGAAAATTTCTGAATGCAATTAGAAGAACCGATAAAGCTGTTTCGTCTAAAATTGTAGCTGGCTAATTTGAGGGATGCAGACAATTGAGAGCAAAGATTTGGGAAAAAAAGCTGTCTCTGAGAATCACATCAAAGAGAACCTGGAGGCACTTAATGTAAAACTAGATGATGATGACATGAAGGCCATCGAAAACCTCGGGATACGTCACCGGTATCTGACTCAGAAGTGGATGTACAAAACCCGAGGAGGTTCCTGAAAACTACTGGAATGGCGAAGAGTGACAGCAGACAATTGTCTTTTTAATATATAGCTGGATAACAAATACAAAAAAATTCACTGAATGCAATTAGAAGAACTGATAAAGCTGTTCGTCTAAAATTGTAGCTGGCTAATTTGAGGGATGCAGACAATTGAGAGCAAAGATTTGGGAAAAAAGCTGTCTCTGAGAATCACATCAAAGAGAACCTGGAGGCACTTAATGTAAAACTAGATGATGATGACATGAAGGCCATCGAAAACATCGGGATACGTTACCGGTATCTGACTCAGAAGTGGATGTACAAAACCCGAGTATGTGCCTGAAAATTACGGGGATGGCGAAGAATGACAGCAAAAAATTGTCTTTTTAATATATAGCTGGATAACAAATACAAAAAAATTACTGAATGCAATTAGAAGAACTGATAAAGCTGTTCGTCTAAAATTGTAACTGGCTAGTTTGAGGGATGCAGACAAGATTGGGGAACGCGCGAAGAGAAAATAAACCATACGACCACCAGAGCACATCCAGTGCGATTTACTTGTTGACTTTTTGCTGTGCCTTTCTTCTATATACCTTGATCAAAATGGAGGCAGTGGTGGCAAAAAATGGCTAACTACGTGAGTGAAAAAGGAAAGTAATTTTGCCACCATTTTCAGTGCAATAAGGCGTATTCTCCTTGTCTCGGATACAAACTGAACTTTTTCGCTTATTGCTTGCTTCCACTTGTGAACAGTCAAAAACGGCTAAGAATTTCCGATAAGTTCTCAGGGGATAAATCTCGTTCTTATGTAGGCTATAGAGACAATGGGTAGGCCTGTCCCGATGGTGCTCGACAACTTTTTGTTGCCCTCTGAGCAATTTTTGAGCAAAATATACGTTTAGAGCACATAACAAGCAACGATTTCATAGAAAAATTCAAGTCATGCGAATTGCTTCCGAGAGTTACGAGAGGATTGTATTCCCTTGTAAACGATTATCAATCTTTAAACACGTAACAACGTTTCGCTGGCCTAAAAAGGCAATTGTTGCCGTATGAATAATTAATTAGTGCCCTTAAAATTTCTCCCATAATTGCGAGCATCTCTTAAAGCTAACTTTCTGGACCGATGTTAGAAATTATTATGAAGAATGAAAAAAAAGGCTTTAAATTGACGTTTATATAAAAATATGCAGAAATTTCGATAGCAACTTTTGCAATTTAAGTAGTAACTTGTTGGATTTTTGGCAATTTTTTAACAAACGTTTTGGCATTAGTAAGCAATGTTCCAGCATTTTCCGAGCACAAACCGGACTGGCCTAACAACGGGTTTGTATACGTATACGAACTGAAACAGGTTCTGCTTTTTCATTGCCTCTGTAAGCTTGAAAATCAGCCCTATACTTCCATATTAACCACCTGCACAGCTAGCCTCAGGGGCACCCAACGGCAATTTTCGGGAAAATATCTGTTCGGAAGACGATTTGAGAACTAGAATTTTCGGAACATTTGTTGTAAAATTTCTTGCTTGCCTGCCTCTCCTAGGATTTTCGAACATCTACAAAATGGTATAATTACCCATTTTAAACGGATATTTACCCTAAAAAAGGCCACCTAGAATTTTCGGGAGTCTTTTCCTGGCTGAAATTTTCGAAAAGTAAGTTTTGACCCCTCTAATTTTCGGATAACTAGACTTTCAGCTAGGAAATCCGAACAGATGAAAAGTTTTTAGGGGATAAAAATATGCCTATATCTACCGTTTAAATACTAAAATACGCTCAACAATGCTATGTTAAGTGGTTTTGAACTATATCCTCGTTGGGTGCCCCTGTAGCCTGGGAATACATCCGTTTCTCCTCGCTCTTCGCCGCTGGGGACGTTAACGTCACCAGCGGCGAAGAGCGATGAAACTAATGGGATGTAAAAATAAAGAAATGTGACCGATTTCTGCTATATTATATATTTATTTACCGCACACAGAAAAGAAGGGGGGAAAAGCAACAACTACCTGCGATATAACTCCAACCCCGGTATGACCAATCGATAAAAACCGATATCGGAAAACCGTTCGATAAATCGATATCAATCGATAATTTTTAATTAATCGATATCGATTTTATCGATCAATCGATAGAAATCGATACTCACAGTCTTCCGCGTATTTAACGATATCGATTTTATCGAGTAATCGATATTAACGGAGTATCAAAAACCATACAAAATAAAATATAAAACTGCTTCTATGTGGACAGCGTTTTAATTTAATATAAAACAATGAACAGAAACATTAAGCAACCAAGGATTTATTTCATTCAGTCAACACATTAACTTCATTCTTTGTTTTTTTTTTTGTTTCTTTGGTTCTGGAACCATGTTTTAACCTAAAAGGAAAAAAAAAAAAAAAAGAAACCAAATTTATATGTTTATATGTTTATTGCATGCAACCGTATCCCGGTTAATCATTTTGACTCTTATATTCCCGGTATATTCTCGCAAGGTCTCTCGATGATTTTACTTTATATCTCCAGGAAAAAGCTTACTTGGTGTTGCTCTAAGTCAAAGTTCTCGGCCAACTTTTCCATTAGCTGTGCCGTCGGACGGCATTTACAAACATGTTTTCTGAGCTTCTTAATGTTGAGTTCCTTTCAAATTTATATCAGTTATTTTTGTTTCATTACCTCTCTTCTGCTTTAGTTGCGGAGTTCATCATTTACTCCGTTTTACTTATTTATAGAATGATTTTAGCTCTGATTTGTAGTATGATTTTTGCGGCGGCGAGGGTTTTGCTGACAAAACATTTACTGGAGACAATGTCTAGCATTACAACTACGCAGCTTCGTACTTCGTAGTACATGTATTTGTAGGATGTCATTACGACATTTAGCTTGAACAGTTTCTGAGTAAATACAAAAAGCGGTTATGTTATGTTGCGTTTCCCCGTTGAATCATGCCAGGGAATCGTGTTAATATTATTTGATTATCAGTATTCATTCAATTATCGATTTGTTAAATAAATCTTTAAATTCGTCCTACTTGATTCATTGAATCGTAAGAGTGTTTTTATGGAAGATTTGATACATTTTAGAAATTCGATAAAATCGATAACATTAATTTAAAAATCGATAATTATCGATTACTCACAACGTGTCCTTTTATCGATTTTAATCGATTTCCGATACAATTTACTAATTTTTATCGATTGTTATCGAATGTTATCGATTATCGGTTTTATCGATTGCACATGCCGGGCTCCAACATATGAGGACATAAGGCCGCCGGCAACAAGAAACCCCCAAGAAACATCGCAGGTCTTTACCGCCGGCATGTCTACGAAGTTGAACTCGAGTCCAACTTCGCAGGCATTCCGGCGGTAAAGACTGACATGGCCTCTGTTGCCGGCGACTTCTGCTCTCATATCTCATATGTCGCAGGTAGCTCGGCAGCATCTAGGCCTGGGCGGCATCTGAGAACAAGAGGCGGGTACTGCTGGCGGGCGACAAAGGTGGCCCCGTCAACCGGCACCAGGGGAGGAGGGTGGGGCGACGAAAGCTTCTTTGACCAATCGAGCCAAATGATCACCGATACACGTGTAGATGGAAAGAACGGGAATTTAAACAGACGGACATCAAAGCATCATGCCCGCTTCGGACACATGAGAGTACGGAGGAATCTAAAGGTTTAGAGTCACATTCCGTGTTGCGCTACTTATGTATGCAGTGAGAACTTTTAATTTTGTTTCAACTTCATTAGCATACATTACCATACCCTAAAACAAAGAAAAACAAAAATGAGCTGAGATGAAAAAATTAACTTCAACATAAATATGGAGCATCAATTGTGGCCGATTCTTCAGAAACCCTTTATTTGTGACAAGACAAGACAATTAAGACAAGACAATGTTTTATTTGGAGTCTTATACAGTCCTATGTATATCGACTTTATCCAGTCCTATGTATATCGGTGTAGGGGGGGGGTGGGAGGGGTACTCGACCAATATTTGGGTGTAGGTGAGCCGCTGAGGGTTTGAAACCCATACCCTGTTTAGGATAACACCCTCAACTTTAGTACCCAGATAGGACAACTCCCTCAGATGGGGACAAGGTTATATCAAGCACACCTGTCAACTTGCACTTATCTTATTTAGACAAGGGTGCCAAGAACAATAACATTTATATTTATTCCAGTAAATCCTTTGGGTGATGACGTACTAAATATCTGCAAACATTTGCACGAAGACGAAATCGATCATGCATGAGACACCCCGTTTATAATTAGAACACACTCGCACAAATCATGCACACTGTTTAGGACAGTTGTTGAATTTATGGCTCAACATAAACTATTTCTGTTTTCTTATATATTACGGTTGATTTTTTTTTCACTTTTAAGTGGTAAGTTGCTGTTTAGTTTAGTGTGAGAAGAATGGGTACTTTATGAGATTATAAAAACCAAAGTGACCCTGAAGGAGTTTGTTGGACTTTGAATTTATAAGAGAATGTATGACAATAAACAAAATACGTCCTAAATTCCATTTTTTGACAAAAATAGAAACGAGAATGACTTACCTTGTGTTTTTGTTTTGTTAAGCTAAAACGGCCTGGATATACCCTACTTCAATAATTATTATTTATTTATCAGTATTTTAGTTATTCATTTTGATATTTGGCAGGTACCACAAGGAAATGATTTGGTTGTTCCTTTTTAATTTAGATGATAGATAACTTTGTAGGTGATAATTATTTGTAATGCACTAAACTGGGGGCCTTTCTCTGCTACCAAAAGAAAATCTTTAACTTTTAAAACAGAAGGGTCAAGGCTTCTTTGCTGAATCAAGGCACTGTATCGTGGAACACAGTGCTTTTGAGAATTACCACCAAAGTAGCAGCTTTATTTCCTGAAAGAATGATTATAATGGAAGCTTTATTTAATGCATGGCTAATTTCAAATTTTCAGGTGACTTTCCACCCCAGGTATAGAGGGTACATAAAAGCACATTGTGGAAGTGGACAAAGAGTAAGAGGAAAGTAAAACAGAGGAAGGAATTATGGGAAAAGGAAGAAATGAAAAAATGGTTGTAGAATTGTAAACAAACAACTTTATTTTTATAAAAGTAATAAACAATTTTTTTTACACATTTTATCAAATTCTTAGAGTGGTTTGTTTATGGTTTTGAGAATTTTATTAACCAAATGGTCAAGCTACCCAGACATGCAACTGAGCAGCCAACTGCTTGGCCTCAATGAAAATTTTTTTTTTCCTGTTTTCTTTTTTCTTTTTTTCTTTTTTTTTTCATTTTATTTGCTATTTCTCTTGAAGCCTTCTCCAATTTTCTTCATTTCTTCATTTCTTTCTCCAACTGGTTTCTCTGTTCCTCACAAGCATTTGACTGCAACACCCTCCGGATCTCCAACTCCTCCTCCTGTTACAGCTGCAACATGGATATACCTGCATGATCATTTTTATTCCATTTTAAATTTATGATAAGCTCACCATACTGAGTGAAAAACAAAAAATAGCCCATAACCAGCTTAATGCTGAAGGTCTTGTCTCATCAGGAGCTCACAAGGCAATCAAGGAAATAGGTAATAGGTCACAGGGAGGGGAAGGAAAACATCTTCCCCCCCTCCCCCCTTGAGTGGAGGAAGGGGGAAGAAAAAGAAAAATAATTCATCCCAGGATCAACAGGATCTATTTCCACACTTTTCAACACCATGATGGTACCACTTGGCTGAGGACTGTTGTCAGAAAGTTCAGTGTGGAATAGGGTATGGAAGGTAGAGAGTTTTGGTGACAATGAGGCTCCTAGGATTTGAAAAAAACAAAACAAAATACAAGTGCAAAAAAGGAACTATAAATAATTTTGCAAAAATCCTAATATTTAGGATAAATAATTTGAATTGATACTAGAGTTTCTAGTAAATGTGAAAAGATAGCAGGTGAACATGGGCGGGCTGGAAGAGGCCAGCAGTAGATCTAGGGAGGTTCCCGGCTCTCCATATTTCTAGATCAAATTGAGGACAACAGTGCCGAGAAAATTCTTTTCTAGATTGAGCTCCTCCGTACCTTAAGGTCTGAATGAGTGGTTCCTTCCCGCCACCTTAAGGTCTGGTGAGAATCCTCCCCCCCCTGCTCCATCCCTCTTCTTAACTGAAGGTTCCGATCTGCCACTGTAGGCTCCAGGTCCTACATCAGAGCTATACAGAGACACTACACTAATACATAGTTAATCGAGTGGAATGGTTATGAAACCCATCAGACTCCTTTGTTATATGTTTTTGTGGACCTGAAAGTGCACAACGCTCAAAAGAATTCCTATCATTTTGATTGTATTGACCAATAAAAACGTTGCATTAATTTATTCCGTAACAATTTGCCAACGGAAAACAAAGGATTGTGCACTTTCACGGTACTTCCAACATAAACTGCAGCACTGTTGTTTTTATCATTGATGTTTGCCACTTTTCATAACCAGTCTCCTCAAATGACTATGACTAATACAATCTGCAGGACCATTTTTTTTGAGAAACTTTCAGAGCATATGTCTGCCTGAGCTTGTAATAATGATCACCAAGCTACAAGAAGTATGACCTGAAGTAAATTAGGGACCTGTCATTTATTAGAGGGGGGGGCAGGGCTGGTGCAATTCTTTTTTCCCAGGTGAATTTTTTTTATGCCCTCCCCCAATTTCCTGCAGGAAAAAATGTAACCCTCCCCCTTGTATGGCCCAAAATAGTTATAACCCTCCCCACGCTAAAAGGTATGACAGGGATTATTAAAAGAGATCAACTTTTTACCTTGTGATGAAGGGAGGGGCCAATACGACATTCAGGAACAGGTATCTAAGATCACCTCATGCACTGAAGCAATGTTGAGCACGGACAATCCTGGTGCCGCTGGAAAATTTTACACGACCGACTATGTTCTTGTCCCAGCTGATTAGTTAATACTGAGGGCGAACATTATGAAGCTCAGTGAGTTACTAGAGAACATATTAGATATGGATAGACTCATTAAAGCTCACCTTAACACCCTGTTTCACTCAAAGACTGGTAATTTTATACGAGGAGAAGAGTATTCTAAATCGTTTGATGAAGCTGTTATTACAAGGCTTGATGAAGCTAAAAAAAGAGTAAACAGTGAATTGAAATATCTTAATGAGAAACTTGATCAATGCAAAGACATGTTTTGCAGAGTGTTGCTGTTGAAAAACAAATCAAGAAAAAGACATACATGTAGGGTTGTTGGGTAGTTCAGGTTGATCATTATGAAAGTTTAAAATGCTTAAATAATATATTTTATTTGTTGATTTATTTTTATTTTAAGTGAACAGCAATGTTTGCTAAAAATGGTATGGCCCTCCCCAAATCCCAGCTTAAATTTTTGGTGACCCTCCCCTTTTTGGCTACATAAAATTTAATGACCCTCCCCCCAACTGCACCAGCCCTCCCCCGCCTCTAATAAATGACAGGCCCCTTATGTGTTTTTTACTATTGTTAACACTTGGAATCAACTAACCCATAAAATTACAAGATGGTTAACTGACCTTAACTGTATTTGTACCCTCTTTGTAAAAGTAACAATCATGTTTGTATTGGGAAGTTCAGTAATAATAATCCAGATGGCCAAAACTTCCATATTTTGGCCATTCTTATTCTGAAGTATCCACCTTATTCTGAGCTATCCAAACAGATACTTTGCTATGAATAAGCTTTACACGGCAGTCACGGTAGTGGTACTTTAATTAAACAGACATTGTTTGCTCCTTGCACTAAATTCTTACAAAAAGAACGTGAAAAACAACTAACCTCTATGTAGGCTTTGATCCATATTTTGGAGTAACCATTCTCATCTTCGCCTTTTCAGTCTTTGTATACTTAGTCTTTCAACACCAACAAGGTCGTAAAGAGTCGGAGCGATTTGCCGAAAAATAATTTTATTCAGTTCCAGTCTCCGAGCGGATACCTGATTTTGGAGTATCCATTCTAGTCACGACCTTTTTCTGCCACTCCTAAAGACGGTGATACGATTGCGTGACTCTCGATTTCGCTGAGTCACAGTGATGGTGACATTCGTTAGGGTCTGTTGGTCTACACATTGTTCTCTATTCTCAGATCGCTTTATTCAAACCCGCTGTTATCACGATGGTGAGTAAAATTTTACACTGAGCTACAATATGTTTTTGGTGAGAGTGTAAAATTTCCCGTCCCATATTAGCTGTCACAAATCAGACAAATGCTGTGTGTCAATTTAATTTGCACGCACGCTAGAATCGTTTTCAATTTTATCAAAATCAGCTCCTCCTGGATATGAATTTTGGATATGAATTATTTCCAGTAGTTTCCATAAATAGCGGGGAGCTAGTATTTACAGACAACCCAACATTTCATATCCAGTCAGTTGAAGAAAACCAGAGAACGAAATTAAGCCTTTGTTTAAATTTAAGGTAAATTCCGGGGGCACTTGGGTATTTTTTGGGTGGGTATGTGCCGCCCGGGACTCCAAATTGGCACCCCGTTCTAAAAACAAATTCCCCTAAAATTGATACCCCGTTCTAGAAATGGGCCAATTTTTTATACTCCGTTCCAGAAAGTTTGTAAATTGAAATAGCCCTGTTTTTTTAAAAAGATATTTCTTTATTTGTTCGACTTATACATCAAATAAATGCTTCTTCATAATCAGCAACAATTTTAAGCAGAAGATAAAGCCGTGATCCACAATTTTTTATACCCCATTGTAGAAAACGCCTCTGAAATGGATACCCCATTCTAAATCAAGAGCTTCAACATCAAGACCCCGTTGGGCGGCACATACCCGTATAGGCAATGTATGGGAGTACCCCCCCCCCGGGGGGAAATTGGAGCAATAGGAAAATTAAAACTGAATTTAACAGAGGTGGGTCAATTTAAAAATCCTCTAGAGGCCATGTCCTATACAAGGTCAAAAACACAAGAAATAACTCAATAAAGCACACATGACCTCCAGATAAAAGATAAGATACCTTCAAGCGATTTGCGTACGTCTGCTCATGCATTCAACTCTGAAATTGGTTATGGGGGAGGCCTTCCGAGGTGGGGGTATACTGTTGCTTTGTTGGTCATTTCTGAGACTGCTTGTCACCAGGTAGGTAAGGAACAAATGTCACTGTCACACTTTGGGTAGGACAAAAATAATCCTGTAGGTAATCAGCACAAATTTTTGTGATACTCAATTTAGAATATATACAATGCCAGGAAAGAATTAATATTGTAAGAAAACATTCTAAAGAAAATTAATGACAGAAAATCTTGGGAATATTAAAGGAAGAGAAGGGGCGAGGGGGAGTCTCGTCACGAGTTCACAAACAACAATTTTGCATTTCATGACTCGTGAAACAAATAGTGTATTTGATCTTGGCCACGTGTTTGGGTGATCTCTGCATGGCTATACATTCCCAAGAGGAGCCAGCATTAGGCAGGTCTTATATAGTGAACTGTGATGTTACATCAAAAGACTCAAAAGTGAAGTTAGTCAAGCTGCCAAGCCAATGCTAGTTAAGATCGTTTGGCCAAATTAATGATTTAATATCTTCAATATTCATCTTCAGTGTGAGATGTGTACAGTATAGAGGATTTTGGCAGTTCACGTTTCACGGAGTGTATTTCAATCAGAATTCACAGAGCAGTTTTTCAGTACATCCAGAAGCATATAACCCCAAATTCGAAGTTATATGCTTCTGGTACATCACAATTCACGGACACCAAAAATGGTCAATCACGGCTTCACGAAAATATGCTTGCGCCCCCTCAAGGAAGAGATTTTGTTACGTACTTCACTGTCGAAACAGCCAAATGAAAAAGTGAACAGATGTCGCTTTCAGTGCGTAAAAAATGGATTGTTGCCATCACAATTCTTTCCTCCTTTTCTGTCAATTGACTTACTGCTTTCTGAGCTGAGGATTGTTGCCAGTTTGAGGGGGGCTGTCTCGCCTGCTGCTCCCCTTGGGAGGCCTCTGTTATATACCTGCCAACTTTTTCCGAGATATAAGCGTGAGATTTTTATCCTGGGAGTGCTGGGATTTTTGAAGACGACACGATCATTTCCGAAGATTCCCGAAGAAGTCCGAAGTCTTCCGAAGACGTCCGAAGTCTCCCGAAGTCTGCCAAAGGCGGGCTCGCTCCCAGTGCTTTTCACTTCAAAAATCAGAGATCGCAAGGAAGGTATTGCCATTTATTCATTTTACACATGGTTTTAGTTCCTTACATGGGTCTGAGTTAACATATTTTTGGAAATTGTGTCAAGCAGGACGGCAACAACTCACATTTTTCAATCAGGCGTGAAAAATTGGCCCGCAGGCGTGAGCCGGCGTGAGATCGAAGTTTTCAACCCGCAGGCGTGAGACTCACGCCTAAGGCGTGAGAGTTGGCAGGTATACTGTTAGGGTTAGGTGGCTCATGATGCATTTATATCTCATTTACTAAACAAATATCAATGACGATCTTCCATGGTCTATACTCTTACAAAATGATGTCAATAATACGTTCAAAACTCAAGTTGAACCAGTTGGAATAAGGTGTATATTTTTTTCCTGTGACCTGCTTTCTATGACTTGCAATGTGTTTTGACCTCAGGTCATGTTTGTGTGTTTTTTGGAGGGGGGAGGGGGCTCTCCACAGAGGGTATGGATATTTTCTTGAGAAAAAGAAAAACATTTGGTTTCAAAATAATTTGATTTTTTTTTTCAGGCATCTCCAGTAAAACTTAACAATGGTGCTTTTATGCCTTCCATTGCTTTGGGGTGAGTTGAATCTTTGTATAATATTGTTGCTTGTTCTAATATTTTGATTCAAAGCTAGAGTTGCAAATAACCTGGCTCAGGTCAATTTACGATGTCTAACTAAATTTGCCCATGCCAAGTGTTTGACAAAATCCTAACCTCTGCAACGTTTGGAGTACTGGAGGTGGAGTACTTTTTCTAATGATTACAGCAATAAAACTGTGAACATTATAATTTACCACCCAGATATGTGCAACAAATTTCCTGGTTTGTCCACAGGACTAACATGGTGACCTCTCTGGTCAGACATTGTCCTTTTTCAAAAGAAAAACTCTTTGCGGGCAGAGATTCAACATCGATGTATTTCCATAGAATTGGGACGGTATATATAGAGAGTGATCATGTATGAGAGATACATCACTCCTATGGATGAAATTATAAAGACTAGTCAGGTTTAGAGATGGTGGTATTTACCACCTTTTCATTATGGTGGGGGTCTGTCAGTCAGCAGGGTACATTAAGACACCATTCCCAGCTGGAGGGCACTGCATCTCTTTAACTGCTGTACGAATACAGTTGAATAAATAACTAAACCAGAAAGTTTTCTTGTCTTTATACAGCCATAAAATGCTCCGGTTCTTAGCACTTTTAGGTCCTTTCACAGACTGCAAAGACAGATTTCCCTGTTCATTAATATAATTGAAGCCTGAGAATATACCCGTTTTGGGCGGAGCTTCACCATATAGGCCATTATCAGGAGCAATATTTACCCCCAAAACAAAGACAACACCCTTCACAGGGGTAAGTATTGGCACCTACCATTATAGGGAGTACCCCCAGCCCCATGGGACACCATTAGTCCTTCCGTTAGGACTGGTGGGTCCTGTCTGTGCACAGTTATTTGGAACACTTCCCTAAGTTATACCCCATAACCATTTTTCTTATCACTTATCAGTATAAAATCTATTTTTAATAAGCCCTTTCTTGGATATTTGTACTTAAAAACTTATATATAAGTTATGCCTTTTAGAAAATGAAAATTCTTGAGGGCTTTTTGTCCTAGACTTGTCTCTCATACGAGAATGAAATCTTCATGTCTTTTGTAGAACATGGAAATCTAAAAAAGGTGAAGTTGGAAAAGCTGTAAAGCTTGCATTGCACTATGGCTACAGGCACATTGATTGTGCTGAGGCGTATCGAAATGAAGATGAAATTGGCGACACTCTAACTGATGTATTTAAAGAAGGAAAAATTAAGCGTGAAGATGTTTTCATTACATCAAAACTCTGGTAAATATAGCAGAACTTGTTAATTTTGTTCTACAAAACTATATATAAGTTAGTCCTTAGGTGGAATGTACATATAATTAGATACTTATATTACGCTCTGTAGACTGCTATTTACAAATTTTACGTGTTTAATTTGAAGTTCTCCTCCTAGCTTGCGAATACAGCCGTCTTGCCTCATTTTTCGCTGTTTTTAATATAGGAATGTTTCGCGGGAGAGACATCTGTGAGACGTGACGGTGTTACGGGCTTCTGTTTCACACTCGGGTTTGATAATTTTGTCTCTATTGGCCATTTCAGAGTTGCGTAGGGAACTGGACGAGTTTCAAATTCAAAGTAATCAAGAAACTGACACCACCATATAAAAGGTCATGTTAAGATTGGTTTTTTGAACAAGTCTGGTGCTGTAAGGCTGAACAGGGATCAAGTTATGACTCTTGAAACATGTTTATTATAAACAGGGCTTCTGATATTTCGCGGAAAAAAAAGCAAAATTTCGCGGGATTTTCCGGGGCAAATTCGCGGAAAAATCGGCCGATTTCGCGGGATTTTCGCGGGAAAAAAGTCAAAATTCGCGGAACAATCGGCCGATTTCGCGGGATTTTCGCGGGAGAAAAGTCAAAATTCGCAGAAAAAGCGGCCGATTTCGCGGGAAATTTCGGGGGGAAACTTCGCCAAGAAACAATCAGTAAAAAACAGCCGATTTCGCTGGGTTTTTTTTGGAAAATTTCGCTAAAATCGATCAATATTGCGTCGATATGACCAGCGTTGGTGAACGTTTTTTTTAACAAGGATAATCATTTGCTCTTTCAACAACAGTTCACTCGAGAAATGAGCGACTGTTAAAGCTACTAACATTATGGTTAGTGCCCAGTTTTTCGCAACGCTCATGTAAAAACGCCTGGTAGTTTTGGGACGTTGTTTACTCGTTAGAAATGTTTTGCCGACATGTATTTGGAAATATTTCTGGCGGATTTCGCGGTATTTCGCGTTTTTTTGGGAATTTCGCGGGATTTCGCGGAAATACCTGAATTTCGCGGGTCCGCGACCGCGCGAAATATCAGAAGCCCTGTATAAAGATCCATACAAACTTCTGTAATTTTGTGACAGCGTCCCCCAAAACCATATAAACCCTTAATTTTTTTCATGGTTTCTGTGATATTCTTAAAAACGGGCAAACACAGTGATTTTCGAATTAGTTCCTTCCAATTAGTAGATGCATGACGAATTTTACAGTTTAAAAGAAAAACTGAAAAATTTTAAAGAGTTTATATGGTTTTGGGGGATGCTGTCACAAAATTATAGAGGTTTGTATGGATCTTTAACCATGTTTCAAGAGTCAATAACTTGATTCCTGTTCAATTTTAGAGCACCAAACTTGGTCAAATAACCAATCTCAACATGACCTTTCATATGGTGGTGTCAGTTTATCGATTAGTTTAAATTTGAAACTCGCCCCAGTTCCCTACGCAACTCCGAAATGGCTAATATAGCCTGAGAAAACAGCCGATATTTTGCGACGCTACCGGTTGTTTCTCCGCAAAATAACGTCTGAGAAACAAGTGCAGAGATTCCTTACTAATGGCGCGACACTACCCAGATCTGGGTCGTGCTTCTGATTGGATGAAGCCAATTTCCAACCAATCAGAAGCACTACCCAGATCTGGGTAGTGGCACGTCACCAGTATGGAATTTCTGCGCCCATTCCCTCAGACGTCATTTCGCGGGGACTGACCACCGGTGGCGTCAAGAAAGCTCAGCTCTTTTCTCAGGCTAATCTTTATATTATGGAACAAAAAAGCCCGCTAGGAACAAATAGATCAGTTCAACAGTATGCATTGGTGTCACAAAAACAGTCCTTTGCCTAATTGCATCTCAAATTGACAAAATGCAAGTGTTTGGAAACGATAGAACGAGGTTGGGAGGGTGTTTTTTAATTGGAGAATGAAACGATAGACAACCCAAGCAATACTGCTAGCCCAGATAACAAAAGAAGCGGGCGAGCAGTCTCTCTGTGAGAGCGCGCGCGCGAAAATGCGAGCTCACACTAAAAGAGGTTTAAGGACTCTTCCTCAACAACTCTTACGCGTTCGTAATACAGTCGTTGACTTGTTGTTCTGACATTAAGTCTGCTAAGAGCAATAAACGGTTTATTCTCCTGTATTAAGCTTTGCGTTTCTGCGCACCTGAGTTACGTTTTAGCAGTTGTTTCACAAGAACTGAAATAATCTGGGGTTGATGCGGACCGTTTTTGTTGTTGTAGTTGTTGTTCTTTTTCTTAAATATGGGTAAAACGGGCAACAAAAAACGTGCAACTTGTTTTGCTAAGCATCATTGCTGCAGAACGAGTTGAATAGTGATGTTGCGCGTTTTACCACCCACGATAAAAAAACCCTTGCAACCTTATTATTGTTCGAACGTGGGTGGAAAAATGTACAACATCGCGATTCAGCTCGTCTTGCAGTGATGTTGCAAAACTGTAGCTAAAGTCTGCGTTGCATGCTGGGTGCCAACTTCGTTCCCAGAGGCTGCCATCCTTTCAGTCAGCACCAAGGATCGTTTGTTGCCCGTGGCAACCATAAAAGGCAGCGAAGGCTCTAAAGACGAGGTGGATGGCGGTTAGCACCAGCGGAAGAAGCCTTGCGGTCGCCCTTCTCTCTCAGAGCCTCGTTTTTCACGCGCCGGGTGTAGGCTAGCCTACATGATAAAGACGCATTTTTATCTGTCAAAGCTAATTAACCTTCGATCATTCTACAAAGATTTTGGTAGGAAGATGTAGCTTGTCAAGAACCTGGGGGTGTGGATTGACTCCAACCTAACGTATGATGAGCATATTTCCAAGTTGTCTTCAAGCTGTCTCTATAAATTTGAGCCGCATTAACCGCATTAACCACTTGCCCGATAGAAAGACACTGATCCTAGTCATTAATGCTGTTGTTTTCACTAGGTTTTTTTATTTTTCAACAGTGTGGAGTAACCCCTCTAAGAAAAACACTCGCAAAGTGCAGCTCATCCAGAATTTTGCCTGTAGGTCTATTCTAGGGCTTCAGAAGTTTGAATATTTTTTTAAGGCGCTCAAGTCGCTTGGGTGGCATAACGTCTGCGACAAACTCTTTCTTAACGACTTAGTTATGGGTCATAAATGTATAAATAATTTAGCGCCACCTTATCTATCCACTCTATTTAATACAAGATTCAGCGTCAGCAAAAGATCTAATATAAATGACTCTGACCTTGATCTACCAGAATGTAGATTGGCTACAGGTCAGCACCCGTTTACTTTCCGTGGCTCAAAGGGTTTTAACACCCTCCCTAAAGACATCAAATCTATCAAGGATCCAAAGGCATTCTGGTGCAAGGTGTCCACCCACCTCAATACGAAGGATTAAGATTTTTAGACTCTCGAAATATGTAAATATATTTAATATTTCCCCCAATATTTGCACATAACCATTCACATTTTCTTGTGATAGGTTTTCGCATCTTCTATTTCTAAAACTTTTTACTATTTTACTCTATACTTTGTAAACCTATTTTATAGTGGAGTGTATCTCTATTGTAATTAATTACAGCAGCCGAGAATAGCCATACAAATGGAGTCCTAATAAAGAATATGCATGTATTCTGGTATGTATGTATGTTGATTTAATATTAGAGGTATCTCAAGTGGGTTAGTTTGAAACGCAGGCTCCAGTGGCTTGTTCTTAATCTCATCGGATCCTTAGTCTTTGCTGATAAACATCTCGAGCGAATATTTTTTGTGTTGTTGTTTCTTTTTGGTACCATTTTTCAAGCCAGTATTTGTTAGGACATTAATTTTTGTACAGTCGCTGAGATCTAAAGCACAAAAGCGGCCTTACCCACGTATTGGGGCAAGTATAACTCGTTTCTGAAAGATGTGACAGAAAGTTTTGCTTGCCTGCCCTTTCGCATTTGTGAACTAGAAATTTGCAGGGAAAAAAGGCGCGCGACGATTTCGTTACAAGGGTTAACTCCTTCGGACTATACGTACAGGACAATAGTTACTCACAATTGCTGAATCAAAAGCTTTAATCTCACACACAGTCTACAACAAGAATACAAGCGAATAAATACGATTAAATGTGAGAACGTGTGAATGTTCCTAACTAGACAATGCCTATTATCTCTTGAATCAAATGAACAACCTCTTAGTGTTCATGCAAAAAACTTGTATTTCTAAAAGTCATTACATTAGGAGACAAAAATCGTGAAAAAAAATTGAACAGCCTTTTTGTTTGGCTGATTGCGGCTTATTGTACTCATTATTGTTAACGCGGAATTGAAAAGGAAAGCGACAAAAATCAAAGCTTTAAACCTAAGGCGAAATTTGAAAGGTATTGAAAAAACATAACTGTCTTAAATACAAGTGGCAAAACTAAACTGCTAGTTCAATCATGTCGCTAAACATTTATTGAGTTAAACACTCCTTGACTCTCTACAAGAAACAAACATTTCGAGTACAATTCTTCATAAACATTCGGAAAGAGTATGAAAAGATCAGGAAGACTGCTAATTTTGAGGACTCCAGCTCAATAAATGTCGATAGTTTCAAAGAAAACTTTTCCTTACAATTCATCTCCACTCACGGAAGTAGCTCCCTGATCATTGCCTGGTTCCTCAATTAAGGGAAAGATTGGCGCCAACAACCTGCGCGCAAACTCAGCTTCAGTATCCGAGTATATTTTTCGCCCCGACAGTTTTGATGCACTTGTTTCTTTCGTGATCTGTAAAGTGATTTTAACTCTGTCCTCGGAATCGTGGGAAAAGGTATAGGTTTTGGATTCTGTTAATGTCCACGCTTCAAAAGACTTTCCATCAAAGTTCCCGATGACATCGTCCGCGGACTGGCTTCCATCTGCTTCCATCACTTTTCCATGCAGTATTACCTTGCCGTTGATTGCGCTTTCTGAGAACATGAAGCCTTCTTCTTCCATAAAGTCTATTGTAACGGTTTCATGCTCATAACTTTTACCAATGTGTATTTCATGTGAACCGGAATCTTTGCGATACCATTGCCATATTAGTTTTTCTTGATTCAGAGGTCTTTCTCCAATGTCTATTGAGAATGACCCGTATGGTTCGTAGTAATGTTGTGTCAAGCCATCATCGTCACATGAAAACGTAAATTTGACGGTGAGGACGTAGTTTATTAAAGATGGGGGCTCTTCATCGCCTATTACGGGACCAAGTTGTAACGTAATCGTAACTTTGTCATCCGAGTCTTCTTCAAAAGTTAATTGCTTTGACTCCCTCAGTTCACTTGCTTGGTAAGATTTGCCATCAAAATTACCGATTATGTCATCGTTAATGTCGTCGTCCTCCTTCACGCGTCCATGCAAAGTTATTTTACTGTTGACGTTATTCAAGAAGTTCTTGCTCTCTTGAAATCTGATCATAAAGGGTTGACGATAATTTGTGTGAATGTTCAGCGAGATATCGTTAGCTTCACAGTGCCATACTTGAAATTTTTGATTGACGTCTCTGTTGCCAATGCTGACAGAGAAAGTTCCGTAAGGTTCATATGCGCCCGTTCCTCCATCATCATCGCATATAAAGTCAAACACGCCTGTAAGCTGGTATTCTACCAAGCCAGTTTCTTGATCTTTTATTACATCTCCCTCCTTGGTTAAAGAAATTCCCATGTTGGCATGAAAGCAGCAATCACTCAGTTTTTGCTTGCTAGATGCACTCCAGTCAATAAGATCAAAACCCAAAGCGTTTCCTTTAGCCAAGCAGTCGTCAAAGGAAAGTGCACTTTCGCCGTCCGTTTCCCACAGGTTGGAGAAGATTACGTAACTGTGTTCCTTCTTATTGTTGTAATATGCACTAATTGGATATTTTACATCACTGCTAATTGAAAAATCTATTTTGGAACTCTCAGCTCTGCTTAAGTCAAATAGCGGGAATGCTGGTCCTTGAATAAGCGGGAATTCGAGATCTTTCACCGTTTCAGGACATGTAATGCCTAGGGATTCCATCACTGCACATACCTTAAAAATTTCGGCCTGTGGTAAGAGATACAGTTGGCCATATAACTCGTTGCCTCCTAAGCCTTTTGCCGAAATACTCCAAGCATCATCCACTCTTTTGTAGTCTTCAGGAGTACCAGGATCTTTGATCTCCTCAAGAGTCAAGCCAACCACGAAAATGCCAAGTATATCTTCTATCAAAGAAATACAGTCAGCGCCAGAAATGTCTGGGTACTTTTGCGTAAACTCGAGGAGCTCGTCAATAACTTCACTCATATTCTTCGCGCCATATGGACCATACAGCTTGTGATAGCCAAGGCGACTGATGAAGAGCTTAACTAGTGCTAACGTGTCGACAGATCCTTGATTTTTCAATGTTGATACCAGCTGAGCTGTCGATTCTCGACGTACACGGTAAGAGTAGGCACTACTGCAAACAATGTCATCTTTCGATGTGACGTCCTGCTCCGTTAAGTCACAAGCTATTTCGACGTTCTTCGCTGAAGGACCCGTGTAATCAACGGAGAAGTAACGAACGGATGCAAACTCGAAGTACTCGAAATTTCCGTTGGTGTCGAAAACTGTATACGTTTCGTCATTCGGTAACTTGACGGTGATACTTCCCTTAAATTCCGACCCTTGAAAAAAGGCGTGTGCTTTTCGAAATAGTTCACCAACAGTCATAGTTGTTAGTTCAGGATACGAAGAAATTTGAAAAGAATCCCAGTTGACAAACAGAAACGCTCCGCTTAGTCGATATCTGCCGTCTTTATGGCCTGGTATGGGTAAGTCTACTCGCTCGCTTGATTTCTCTTTGGCATCGGATGAAATCCATATCAAGCTACAAACAACGACCATGAAGAATCCGTTATAATTCATGATGAATCTGCTATTCCGCGAGCAGCTTTTTTCCGTTTAACTTTGGAACTCTTTCGGTGCGAAAGTCGACCTGTCTTAACGTTTGGCGCTTTTGGAAAGTGTATTCTCGAAATTGTACTGATAAGAAACAGTCTCAAAGCACGCTTCGGTGTAAGGATTAGCCCACTAACATGACTCCGAGGCTTAAGGGTCAAAATTGCAAATTTTTCAAGCCGTCTTTTTCCCAAAAGAGACTTGAGCACAAAGAAAACAAAACCAAATATAGAAAAATGACCAGAAAGCCTCGGAGTCATGTTAGAATTTTAATATATCGAACGTGGGTTCTGTGCTCGATTCTTATCTGACTAATTATTATTTTATTATGAGCGCAATGCTATGTCTGACTGCATTGTCTGCGATATTGTTTGACGGACTGACAGACCACAACTTCCGGTCTCATAACCATTGTTTCAAAAACTACCATAACAAAGACGTACCTGCTCTGAAGTTTCCGCGATAAATAAAAAACAAAACAATCTAAATTTCAATCATTACCCTCACACAGACAATGGGGTACTGGTGAGACGGATTATGCAAGTTTAAAATCGGGTATTATGCTTTAAGCGTCACCCATTCAATCAAAGTTAATAAAGTGAGATGGTTATGCCCGTCAGACGTCTTTGTTATACGTGTTTGTTAGCTTTTTTAGACTTGACATATGCACAACATTCAGTACCATTCCTATCATTTCGAACAAACCATTTATTTTTTAACCAATAACAAAACAGATTGCGCATAGCCAGGAAGCTCCTAACATAAACTGTAGCATAGCTGAAATCGTCTTTTAATTTTACCGTATTTTTAAACCAGTCTCCTTTACTACCAATGATGAAACAGTAATATGCTTTAACACATGCTCGACTGGAGAATCTCGGGGTATTATACCAGAATACGGTAAAATGGCAAGATGACACTTCCCTCGCATATTCGAAAACCGTTGTGTGATTTGTGATTTGTTGTTCAGTGTAATACACGATAGGTGTTTATGTTGTTGGTCAATTATGTCCTTGGTCTTTGTGTAGCTCTTTGAAATCTATCGGTTCGTATTAAAGTTTTTCATAACTATTCCACGGTATAGGTGAGACTCTGATATTGAGGTAAGGTGGATAAAAGCAGGAAACGCAAGATTCCATGCACTGATTTAGGTCTTTTTTAGTCATGCCGCTTTGACCAAAACACTTTCAGTTCGAGAGATCTAAAACTACTAAAAACTTTCATTAGAATAGGTAATCTTTTCCTTATTTCTTTTGCAGGTTTTTTCTTATATCAGGGCTCACCTCTTTCCCATTTGTTAAGAGAAAGCAAGACTCGAAACATCAAACTTCTTTCCTCGCAAAACTTTGATCAACCTACACCTGCGCCCTTGTTAATTTTTTTAAATCCAAAGCGACAATTACGAGAATTCGTTGTTGTTATTGTTGTTGTTGTTGTTGTTGTTGTTGTTGTTGTAGGCTTTGTAAAGGAACATCTTTGAAATGTTCATTAAGATGACTTACTGTACTCTTATGACCATGTGCCACCATGGTTGGGGATTCTGAAGATGCTGACACAAGGTCGGGTGGGGAGTACCGCAGGTCTGTTTGCTTTCATATCTTTACGTGTATGCCTTTTTTGTTTGTTTTAACCACAGGTCTAACAGTCATGCCCCAGAAGATGTACTTCCTGCCTGTCAAACTACTCTGAAAAACCTCCAGCTGGATTATCTTGATTTATATCTTGTAAGTTCTTACCTTCATCTTGGGCTGCTTTATATTAATAGTCTGTTTGCCAGTCAACAATTTCAAACTAAATGAATATTATAATTGTGAAAGTGCTAGTTTGCTTTCGGAGACAGTGTATTTACGCTTTTAAAAGCGTAAATATGAAAGCTAACAGACCTGTGGTACTCCCCACCCGACCTTGAGGGTTTGGATCGGGGGGTACAAATGTCAGTTGTCAGTTAACTTTAAGGCCATTTGTCAGTTGTCAGTTAATTGGCTGTTAATAATTAATTAGGTAATTTAGTTATTTATAAAGCAAACAGAAGCTGTACAACGGTGATTTGAACGATTTGTGAAAAATTGTTGAAAGCAAACAGCTGAAACCGACTGTCACAAACTTACTTAATGACTTGGACTGGTCGCCTCTCCAAGAAAGAAGGAAAATTGCTTGTCATCCATGGTGAATCAGGATTAGAAATCTCAAGCTGTGTCAAAAAGGGCAATAGCCAACTACTATCCTTCCACAGTTACAAGTTCGATTCACTGAATTAACAGCAATCACGTCCAGTAATTTTGTGGAAAAAAGTAGGTAAACCTAGAACTAATTGCAAAAGAAGATATTCCAATTGTTTTAGACTCAGAACACTATCCTTAATAACATACCGTAAAATTCCAAAAATAAGCCCCGCGGCTTATATTTTTCAAAGGCCCTTTTTGAGGGGCTTATTTTTGGAGGGGCTTAAATTCGGAGGGGCTTATGTACGGAGGGAAATTTGCTTTTCAGAATCGATTGGGCTAGCCTTATAGTTAGTAGGAAATTTACCATTTTTGCTTTGTTTTACCTTGTGTATAAGGGTAATTTCCAAGTACCAGCCTCCGGAGGGGCTCATATTCGGAGGGGCGATTAAACGGAGGGTTTTTTGCGTTACAGGTTTAGGGGGCTCATATTTGGAGGGGATTATGCATAGACGGGCTTATTTTCGAAATTTTATGCTATCAAAAGTCCCAGCAGGGGAAGTTGCTTAAAAACGGGATTAATTAAGAGGATCGAAGATCTTTCTGAGACCCTTGTTTACTACATAGCATGGAAACGAGGCTTGTCAAAAGTCTTCCTTTACGCTTATGCTGAAGGCGTTTTTTTGGTATGATCACTAAAAATGATGAACTAAGGGAAAATATGGAAGTTACTTTAATGTTTTTAGCTGTTTTTATGCTTTGATGGGTTATATACTTGAGAAAATATTCAATAATGGGGCTCCCTTAAGCGATTTCCGAGAAAAAAACTCCTCGTATGCGAAATACAAAGGTCAGCAAAAAAACGTAACTCCGAGGTCAATGAAACATGAATCATAACAAACTTTCATCTTTATACAATACAGACGTGGTAACTTTTTTCGGATATCTTTGTTAATGCTGACGTAGTAAATGCTCAAACTTAGGAGGTATTTAAAATGCAAATGAGCCTCCTTAAATGTTCAAATTTAAAAAATTAGCTGTTTAATTACTGTGTTAGTTATTTTTCCATCATCTTACCTAGCTTAATATCTTTTCAGCACCATTACGTCGTTTAAATTTGAGGCGATTTGAAATCATTTACCCTTGACTTTAATTCAAGATGGCGGATCCAAGATGGCGGCGGACCGAAAATAATGTTATTGCTGAGTTATTTATCACTTGACCCACTTTGAATTTACAGACTTCTGTGTCTACTATTGACTCCCAGTTTTTTATTGTCGTAGCCAAAATCCTGTTGAAGCTATAGAGGGAAGAAGAAATCACGGACCAGGTCCCAGGGGACCAAATAGTCAGGTCTCTTAGGGTCAGGATCGTTACAGAGTTGACAAAAGCACCAAACTTTGCACAGCGATAGCTTATTGCAGTACCATGAATATTAGAGGGGGTGCCCACTGCAAATATGCCACTGAAGCGTGCTAAACAGGATTTAATTGTCGCAAATTTCACCTGCTGGGGCCCCTGTGGTGTTTTGATTGAAAATTGTTATTTAATACCTTAAATTACTCTGAATTCTATTCTCAGGTTGTAAACAACAATTTCACTCAAACATCTGGCATTCCCATCCATTTTTGCTTATTGATTGTATAATTAAGTTGATTATTACTGTGCCCTTAAAGCAAGTCCACAGTCCGCCCACATTTTCATAAGTCATTTCTAAGATGGCCTCGTCTTTGCTTTATAACTAGTTGCAAGTACTCAGCTTCTGGGGTCTCTTCTCCTTTTCTAATGTATTTCAATTAGAGAGTGCCTTATTGTGTGGCTTAAGCCTTATTTATCAAGTATTACTTGTCATTACATGTCACTTTAAGCTGAAGAAAGCGTATGGCATAGCAATTCACACACAAAATTTCAGAAAAAAGAAATTGTCAAAGAGTCTGTTGTATCACATATTATCAGGGATTTATGACAGCTATTCATGAAGAGCAAATAACGAAATGACAGAACCCAAAATAGTTCTTTCCTAGGGAGGTAATTAATTTTCAGCTTAACACAGGCCTGGATGCCTTTCAGTCTCTCTTTATCCAGTTATCTGCTGGACGCAAGTGCATGTTTTGACAGAGAAGCAAGCACCGTGGCACAAGTCATATCATTTACAATTTCCGCAGTTTGTCTAAGCTTTACAAAGCAAAAACAAACAAAAAAGAATCTGGTCTCGTAAACGAAAAAAAGAAACAAGTTAGCCCAAGCTTCAAAAAACAGCACAGTTTATCATGAAGCCTCTACATTTGGCACTGAAGCACTCATGTCCAAAAATGATAACAGCTTATCAAGTCGTAAAAGTGAGACTCAAGTGGTACAAGATTGACTCAATTGATAAATGGTGAATGGTTTAACTGCTGAAACTGTAGAAAGGGGGCCGGGCTAACTTTTAGGGCCTGTTTAAATGGAGGAGGGGGACCTCAGGTAGGAATGGTAACCCACTTAGGTGTGGTAACCCGCGTGTCCATATAATCTCTCATTTTCATTTGATCACGTTTACATGATGGGTGGGGTCACCCTTCACGGTGGGTAGCCCAGTCTGCCACACCAGGTAACCCTCTCAGCTGACGTCAAATTTTGCGATGTCAACGTTTCAAGGTGAGGAAACCCAGCCTAGTCGGGGTCGAATTCGTGATACATCAAATTCGCGCAAAATTCACTTTGGCGCTGGGTGGCTTCACATAATTATTAAAGGTAACAATAGAAAGCCACAACACTGAAGGTTGCAGCAAGAGCAGCAATTGAGCGTAGACGTTGTTTGCCAGCATTTTTCTTGTTTACATGCTTAGCGACCATTCAATAATCTCGAGAAACTGCACCCCAGGATGGCGGGGTTGTAAGATTGCATGTAAAGGAGGGTTATTTTTTTACCCCACCTAAGCAGGTTACCTCACCTACCTGGGGTCCCCCACCTTTATGTTAACAGGCCCTAAGTCTCAGGAGCGGTGAAACTGGTAATAAACGGTATACCTAACCCGGGACGAGCTGTGATACTACCGGCCATCTTCAAGAATGTCAGCATAGCAGCCAAAGAAGCCATTATATCGGTGTAAAACGAATATTAGATTGCGGTTGTTTCATGTGTCTCGTTTTGTGACTTTTTCTGTGTTCGTTTTTGTCACCATCTCTAAATATCAATCATGTTCAAAACACCCCTACTAACAAAATATTTCGTAAAGCTCTTTAGAATGATATTTAGCAATAAAAACAAGGTGTGACCAGGAGCCGATTTCTAGGCTCCTGGTGTGGCAACATAGGCATGAGTGAATGCAAAGTTTTGCAGTATGTAATCTGTCAAAAATCTGTTTGAGTGGTCAAAGTAATGGGCTTCTTTATCATGACCACTCCATTATTATAAGGGACCAGGCCACAATTATTGTTGACCCTTGCTTTTTTGGTATTTTATGTAATTTTCCACAGCATTATTTTGTGAAAAGTTGGTAACTGAATTGCTCTTGAGAAATTCATGATCGTAAGATTTCGTAACCTCGGGGTATTCGCCTAATTGCATCAAACAAATTACATTCATTTTCATAAATGATGCGTCATTTGTTGGCTAAAAGAGGCCTTGTTCCTGTAAATTTCAGCTCTTCTGAAGTTAGTTTGTTTGTAGATTAGGGAGCTTACGAATTGACGACTTTCGCACGACGACGCCGTTGGACTGCGTGAGAGGCTCACTGCGCATGCTTACCTGGGCACTTGCCGGCGTCGCGCTAAAGTCGACGCCGTTGTTGACCGCGATTCGCCGGCGTCCTAGTAAAAGCAGGACGTGAGACTAATTTTCAAAGTTTTCCCTACATACTTCAGCGGATTTTTCCAGATAATTCAAGTATAACATTAGGTACATGTTCTTTACATATGTTTTCGATTTGTTCGTCTGTATTCATTAGAGCAATGACCCGAAGAATCAAACATAAATTAACACCGAGTGAAACCATATTGGCAAGATGGGACCAAAGCTACAACTAGACCATTGCAAGTGGTTATCTCATCACGGTAACTACAGCTGTTCAGCAAGTTTATAAATGCCCCTCCTGTAAATAAACGGGCCTTGCATTCGTCCTTTGTTGTCTCGTCTAAATCCGTAGTTTACTCTGAGTTTGTTGACGAAACGCATAAAAGTATACAGTGAAATACTCGGTCCTTATATTTCCATAAGTGTCTGCAATACGAGCTCTCGTTTCTCTTATGAGTTTAGACATTTTGGTTGAACAGACAAGCTTACTTGTGAAAAGAAGAAAACAAACTTCAGAAACGGCGGGCGCGCGAGCCTCGCGCACCAACGTCGTCGTCTTTACTACGAATCGTAAATTCAATTTTCTAAAGGACGGCAACGCAGAACTATGACGTGACCCAGCGGCGGCGTCGTGCGAAAGTCGTCGATTCGTATTGTAACGCACGCGACGACCTTCCTTTTTTTGAAAGATCGTATATACCATTAACACTCTGGTCCAAGGGCTCTGAAGTGAATGAGCCGCTTACAGGTGTCTAGGCATGCAGGGACCTCATACACTTCTTTTTAAGGTCTCGGTAAATGAAAATTTTAGTACATTGCTCGATTTTGCTTTTTTTTGGATTTTTGGCATAAGGGAGTCCTAAACTTTATTTTGGCAGAAAAAGAAAATCAGAAAGTGCTCTTTAACCCTTCTAAAATGAGCCTTTTCTGAGCTAACCAGCCAATCGTGGACCTCGCGCTAAATCTTTAGAGCTGATTTTCTCTCACTCTATTTTAGACGCAAAAATCAAAATTCTCCGACCTCCATTCGGGACAGGTTTTAAGCTATAGCTTTGAAACTTTCAGTTATGATCGATAATGATATAGACTCTAAAAGGGTGTGAGGAATTTTCCGATTTCCCTTTGTAACTCATTTTATGTCAGTTTCTTTGCGTAAATCGCGCTCAAGATTCGACTTTTTAGTTTGAAATGCAATAATTCCGCTAAAACGAGACATGCAAATTTCCTCACACCCATTTTTAGGTCTTTTATCTGTCAATCAGACGCAATAAAAAGGAGGCGAATATTTAACAACGCGAAAGGGCTGGAGCTTCAGCAGTAAACTCGATACCTCTGAGTTCGAGAACGAAAAACTTAAGCGCCTTTTGAAATTCGATGAAATAAAATCTTTTATAAGGTAATTTAGTCTTTTAGCTTTAATTTGATATATAACTTGCCTTTGTAGCGAAAATACTCGCGTGACTAGAATTTTTTTCTGTGGGCACCTCGTTTTCCTTTACCGAGACCTTGAATGCAAATGTGCAAAAAATAAAGAGTGTTAAAAATTCCTGGAGAGGCATGTTTTACAACCTCGTCCCCAGGGCTTAATAAAAAGGTAGAAAAAGGTAAAGCGACCATATCTTATGTCAATACCTCGTGACAGTAATAATAAGTGATAAACTTGAGGTCAACGGTGCGCTCCTTTTACCCCCTCTCTCCATTAATTCTCCGTTTTAGGGGTATTTAAAGCTAGTCAAAGCTACACAGAAAAAAGAGCCACCCTTGCTCCTCGTTTTCCCCCTGAGGACGAGGTTGACATGTTTTAATCATTATCTCAAGGACAGGGTTACCAACGAAGCAAATTATAATCTAATCTTAGCTGCACAATTACAAAGTGGGCGCGTTGTCAGTTACAGTTCATGAGGTCCTTCATGTGGCATGTCAAACTTTAACGATTCTGTCGTTTAGGATGTGATACATTTGCGTTTTATGTTATTGTATGACATCTTTGAAAGCTGGCTTTGTGATCTGTTTAAATTGATATGTAATGATATTATCACTGGCAAGTCTTAGCAGTGACACTGATAGCCGCACAGTCCGCACAATGAACATGGCCACACTTACCGTGTGGAGACTGGGCACTAGTCAGTATTATGTACATGTAAAACTATTTTGAATAGTGTAACAACAACTAAACATTACCAAATTAAAAACTTAAAAATTTGCAACAAATGTTTTTTAGCCAAATCAAACAAGAAGAGTACTCACCACAGGGCACCCAATCTGCTATTATAGGTGAAAGTTAACCCCCCCTTTTATCTGTAATTTGGACCATTTGTAACGGGCACTCCCTCCAGTATTAATAAGTAGGTGCTAAGGAAGCTCTGTGCCAAATTTGACACTTTTGTCACGTCTGTAACGATCCGGCCTATATTTTGCACTAAGAGACCTGACTAAAAAGTGCCCGTAATAAATGAGGTTAAATTTTTGTTCCCATGCTCGAATCTTTTGGGGTTTTTAGTAAATGATTGGCGAAGATCAGAGAAAGCTTCTACTGCAATAAGTTCCGGGTCCACCGACAAAATGACTGGACTACAAAGAAGTTAAGAATAGAATTCGTTACCGAGCAATTTTGTAAATATGGTAAAAACTCCATTATTTCAGAAGGCGCTTAGATTAGATTAGAATAATTATTATAATTAATTATTATAATTAATGTATAGATGCCATCTCAACCACAAATGCACGTGTAAAGACTTGTATTCAGATGTATAAAGGGTTCGCGTGTCATTGTTTGTCTCACGAGAGTCACTTAATGATTACGACGTGTCGACCTTGTACTGCTGGTCTTCATTAGGCGATAATACTGAGTGGTACTACAGTTAGGACCACCATGGTTGCTGGTTATTGGTGTATCGCGTATCACGTGCATATGTATAATGTTTATGTAATAGGCCATTTCCGAGTTCGCCCGAGCCTCTGTTTCAAAACGAGGGTAGGTGCTCAGCCTTTGATCTGGAAATCATTCTCATGCAGATAAAACTCATTTTCACAAGAGAGGTTGTGCACCTAGCCTCGTTTTGAAAGTGAGGGTTTTTGGAACTCGGAAGTGGCCTATTTAACAATACAGTGATGCTAATATTTATTTTATTTAGTGAACATATTAGAAAGATTTAGACTCGGCGTTACGTTTACGGCAAACGTGAATCACGTGACCAAGTTTCCCTTAACTTGTGCTTTACTGCTCATTTCTTCAGCCCCAAAATTAGTAGCTTCACGTTAGTTTTGTCTTTAACTATTGTTTTGGACTGCTTTCAGCTGCACGTTTTCTAATTTGAGAATTTCTCAACTTGAATCCAACGTTTGCCGTTTGCCGTATACGTCACTCTAAGTCTCTCTACTATTATTTAAAGATCATGCTGCCTTCTCAATTCTTTCAACAGATCCATTTGCCCATTGCGTTTAGAAAAGACGTGCGTTATCCTCATAGTAAAGCAGAGGGGACTATTGGTTACTCACCTGAAGGAATTGCCCAAACCTGGCAGGTACTAACATATATCCCTTAAATTCCAAGAGCGTATTGGGAAAAAGTAGCGCAATGCTTAAGTGTTGTCAAAGCAGTTGTTATTGAGACTGTTTATAGACTTGAAATACTGAAGTTAAATTAAAGACCTTCATCGCATCTCCATTTAATGTCCTAATATGAGTGGAAACTAAGCTCTTCAACCCAAGTCTACTACCAACACGTAGTTTTTCTAGACTCTTCCGTACATTTTTCATGGTTAGCGTTAAGATGAATTTGTTTAACATTCAAGACCCTTAATTGTTACTTGGGGATCAATTTATTTATTCTCATGGCCTTGGCATTTGGTTCAGCAGTGTCATTTTAAGGAGAAATTAGGTGTCGGTCATTGTTAGTGGTAAAAAGTAAGACAACAAAGTTCTTACGTTTAGTACAACTCGATATTATCTAAAAATGGCCAAAACGGTTTCTAAACGGCTCCAAAAACGAACAGACAAGAAATAAAGAAGAAAAAAAAACAAGGTGCAATCTTTTTCTTGACCGGATGAGTTTAAAACGTTCTTTGTTCATTGCCATACATAAAAAGTACAAAGTTCAGATTCTACCGAACCTAAATAGAGAACTCTTGGCTGCCTGTGTACCTGCACGTTTGATTGCGATAATAGTAAAGAGGTCTCAGTAGGTAGTTGTGATTTTAAAAACCCTTTGTTGCAGGCCATGGAGAAGCTTGTAGAACAAGGCCTTTGTAAAGCCATTGGAATTTCAAACTTCACTATAAAGAAGACAATTACCCTTCTAGAAACTGCCAAGATAATACCAGCTTGTAATCAAGGTACGAATCCAAATGTCTTGAGCCACAAAACCAGTCCTCGCTACTACTTATTCACTTCATCAACGGTCCGATTACCTATTTACAGTGCACCAAAGTATAGCACACAACCTATTTGATATGTAAAGAAAAAGGTAAAGGCGCACACCAGCCAAAGGCCCAAACGGCCGGAGCTTATACCGGTTTGCGTAGTACGAAGCAAGCGTAAGAGTATTGCTACTTCCTCCTAGACGGGATGCTAGTCCATCGCAGGGGTTACCCCCCAGCAGTGTGTCGCCGGCGCCCATTTATACACCCGGGTGAAGAGACACAAAGTGGAGGAAAGTTCCTTGTCTAAGGAAACAACGCGACGGGCGAGGCTTGAACCCCGGACCTCCGATATGTGACCCTCCACTTTCGAAATCGGCGCGGAGCTTTGCTCTATTACAGAAATCACGCCCACATCACCGTAAGGTTCTTAGTGTTATCGTGTTCGAGTGTTAAGGCGGTGGAGGGAGGGAGGCGAGAAAGTAGATTTTAAAAATACACTCTGTTTGCCCTCCAAATTTTACATAAACCATTGTTTTCAAATGCTCCTGGGAGCATTTTCCCAAGAGCAGTTGAAGACAGTAGCAAAGGGTGCATTCAATTTGGAAATCTAGATTTAGATTTTAAAATGCGAATTGCGGATTTGCAATCGAACGCGAAATTCGAAAACGGATTTCAACGCTGAGATATATGTTTTTGGATTTCCTTTTTACCGTTCGATTGGGAAATCCGGAACAGCGGTCATGCACGCGCACGCATAATTAGCAATAAGAAGACTGCTGTTCACGAGAATAGTTTTGCAAATCTATTATCGCATTTCCCAATTGAACGGTAAAAAGGAAATCCATGAAATCCGGGTTCGGATTTCTTAATTGGAATCCACATTGAGAACGGATTTGTCGGAGGTGAAATCCGTTTTCGGACGCAACCAAAATTTGGGGGGCAAACAGAGTGTATTATGGGGGATTCGAAAATAGTCAATTGTGTGAACATCGCCTAAGAGAGTCCCCACCCTCGGGAGTGGTATGATGGTGCCATAACCGAAAGTGGGAGATCATGGTAACCTTTTGCTTTACTAACTGTCAAACTCGGAGGCAAAAACGGTGTATTTTAAGGTCGGAGCTCAGGAGGTCTGATTTATTTTCTTTGCGGTTGTCGGAGGGTAAGAGTAGATGCCAGCTGGGACCTCTGGCCAATGCTAAGAGCACAGTCCCCATAATAGTTTGTACTTTCTACTGAATCATCGTTACTGTATACTACGGCAAGTACCCCTCTTTCGTTATTTCTGATGTTCTGATTTTTTTCTTTGGTTTCATATTCAACAGTGGAACTCCACCCATACTTGCATCAGCCAGAGCTGTTAGAGTTCAGTACCAGCAAAGGTGAGTTAAACTCAGTAAAAAGATTGAACATTAATCATTAATAAGATTATTGATCAGATCACCATATACGGCTCTCGTATCTCGTCCAATATTTGTCCTATAAACATCAAACTTGGTATTATAAAGGCTAGCTCAAGATCGGTTGGCTGATATTGTTCACAATCTACTCCGCACTTGGCTTAAGTATTTTGCTAGTTATCTTGAGCTAGTCGAAAACGCAATGCTAACTGATGCATTTCCGTTTCAGAACAGAATTTTCTCTACTATAAAAACACAAAATGTACCTTAGATTTCCGGCTTAAATCTTCAAGAAAAGTCGCTCACTCGGTTGTTCTTCTGAGCTCCCAGCCGCGAAGAAACACTTTCCTTCAAAACAGCAACTGAGTATTTTTTTCAAATTCAACTTTTCATTCGTATATTTCATCGGTGCATTTAAAACCGCACCGGAGAGGAGTTTTTTTCAATCTAAGCGTGTGGCAACGTGTAAATGGTAGATGGCTATCTGACCAATCGGAGCGCGTAATTTACTTTTGTTATGTTATAAAGCAAAATATCAAGATCCCGTTCTATTATTTGGCCTGGTGTCTCGTATTGTGCAGCAACTTCGTCCCCAGGGCACTTTTCCCCGGCTTTGGAGGTGGGGCAAAGCTAGGGAAAAGCGCCCTGGGGACGAGGTTGGGACTGATTAGGCGTACAAGCTACGCTTGACCTGGCTTGACTGTAAACTCCGCAAATGGAAAAAATTCCTATAACACAGCGCCCATTCAGAACCGATGTTTTGAACGTTTTCAAGCCCGGGCGAAGGAACCTCTCGCCCGCCCGTGCTTGAAAACTTTCGTCGCGCCTTTTCTCCCGCCTTGACTGACTGCCCCTGGGTCTCCGAGGATGAGAACAATGCGGCGTGTATTCGACGATTATGAATGAAAAACCTGGTACACTTTAATCTGCATCATCCAGACATTGACTATACTATCTCGTAAGTGATTTATGAACTTCGTATCGGAAACTCTAAAAATGTTATAAACAGTTGGGGGGTTTACATGTAATCCACTAAATATGGTGTATACTTTTCAAATGAAACAAATATTTCGGCTTGAACGCGATGGGAACTGGGAATGATGGTTTTTAATAAGAAGCAAAGGAGCATGGGAAGCCATGGGAAAGTCGCCATCTTTGCTGATGCGAGTTACACGTTACACATGGGTCGTGACTAGAATCGACTAGAATGGATACTCCAAAATCAGGTATCCGCTCGGAGACTGGAACTGAATAAAATTATTTTTCGGCAAATCGCTCCGACTCTTTACGACCTTGTTGTGTTCAAAGACTAAGACTAGTATACAAAGACTGAAAAGGCTAAGATGAGAATGGTTACTCCAAAATATGGATCAAAGCCTACATAGGGGTTAGTTGTTTTTCACGTTCTTTTTGTAAGAATTTAGTGCAAGGAGCAAACAATGTCTGTTTGATTACAGTACCACTACCGCGACTGCCGTGTAAAGCTTATTCATAGCAAAGTATCTGTTCGGATAGCTCAGAATAAGGTGGATACTTCAGAATAAGAATGGCCAAAATATGGAAGTTTTGGCCATCTGGATTACTATTACTGAAATTCCCAATACAAACATGATTGTTACGTTTACAAAGAGGGTACAAATACAGTTAAGGTCAGTTAATCATCTTGTAATTTTATGGGTTAGTTGATTCCAAGTGTTAACAATAGTGAAAAACACATAAGGGACCTGTCATTTCTTTGAGGCGGGGGAGGGCTGGTGCAATTGGGGGGAGGGTCATTAAATTTTATGTAGCCAAAAAGGGGAGGGTCACCAAAAATTTAAGCTGGGCTTTGGGGAGGGCCATACCATTTTTAACAAACATTGCTGTTCACTTAAAATAAAAATAAATCAACAAATAAAATATATTATTTAACAAACAAGTCCCTTGCACAGTAAGCATTTTAAACTTTCATAATGATCAACCTGAACTACCCAACAACCCTACATGTACGTCTTTTTCTTGATTTGTTTTTCAACAGCAACACACTGCGAAACATGTCTTTGCATTGATCAAGTTTCTCATTAAGATATTTCAATTCACTTTTTAGTCTTTTTTTAGCTTCATCAAACCTTGTAATAACAGCTTCATCAAACGATTTAGAATACTCTTCTCCTCGTTACCAGTTAAATTACCAGTCTTTGAGTGAAACAGGGTGTTAAGGTGAGCTTTAATGCATTTATCCATATCTAATAATTAATGTTCTCTAGTAACTCACTAAGCTTCATAATGTTCACCCTCAGTATTAACTAATCAGCTGGGACAAGAACATAATCAGTCGTGTAAAATTTTCCAGCAGCACCAGGATTGTTTGTGCTCAATATTGCTTCAATGCATAAGGTGATCTTAGATACCTGTTCCTGAATGTCGTATTGGCACCTCCCTTCATCACAAGGTAAAAGTTGATCTCTTTTAATAATCCCTGTCATATCTTTTAGCGTGGGGAGGGTCATAAGTATTTTGGGCCATACAAGGGGGAGGGTTACATTTTTTTCTGCAGGAAATTGGAGGAGGGAATAAAAAAAATTCACCTGGGAAAAAAGAATTGCACCATCCCTGCCCCCCCCTCTAATAAATGACAGGTCCCTAATTTACTTCAGGTCATACTTCTTGTACCTTGGTGATCACTATTACAAGCGCAGGCAGACATATGCTCAAGTTTCTAAAAAAAAATGGTCCTGCAGATTGTATTAGTGTAGTGTCTCTGTATAGCTCTGATAAAGGACCTGGAGCCTACAGTGGCAGATCGGAACCTTCAGATAAGAAGAGGGGTGGGGCGGGGAGGATTCTCACCAGACCTTGAGGTGGCGGGAAGGAACCACTCATTCAGACCTTAAGGTACGGAGGAGCTCAATCTAGAAAAGAATTTTCTTGGCACTGTTGTCCTCAATTTGATCTAGAATATGGAGGGCAGGGGACCTCCCCTAGATCTACTGCTGGCCTCTGCCAGCCCGCCCATGTTCACCTGCTATCTTTTTACATTTACTAGAAACTCTAGTATCAATTCAAATTATTTATCCTAAACATTAGGATTTTTGCAAAATTATTTATAGTTGCTTTTTTGCACTTGTATTTTGTTTTGTTTTTTTTTTCAAATCCTAGGACCCTCATTGTCACCAAAACTCTCTGCCTTCCATACCCTATTCCACACTGAACTTTCTGACAATAGTCCTCAGCCAAGTGGTACCATCATGGTGTTGAAAAGTGTGGAAATAGATCCTGTTGATCCTGGGATGAATTATTTTTCTTTTTCTTCCCCCTTCCTCCACTCAAGGGGGGAGGGGGGGAAGGTGTTTTCCTTCCCCTCCCTGTGACCTATTACCTATTTCCTTGATTGCCTTCTGAGCTCCTGATGCGACAAGACCTTCAGCATTAAGCTGGTTATGGGCTATTTTTTGTTTTTCACTCAGTATGGTGAGCTTATCATAAAATAATTTAAAATGGAATAAAAATGATGATGCAGGTATATCCATGTTGCAGCTGTAACAGGAGGATGAGTTGGAGATCCGGAGGGTGTTGCAATCAAATGCTTGTGAGGAACAGAGAAACCAGTTGGAGAAAGAAAGGAAGAAATGAAAGAAAATTGGAGAAGGCTTCAAGAGAAATAGCAAATAAAATGAAAAAAAAAAAAAGAAAACAGGAAAAAAAAAATTTCATTGAGGCCAAGCAGTTGGCTGCTCAGTTGCATGTCTGGGTAGCTTGACCATTTGGTTAATAAAATTCTCAAAACCACAAACAAATCACTCTAAGAATTTGATAAAATGTGTAAAAAAAACTGTTTATTACTTTTATAAAAATAAGTTGTTTGTTTACAATTCTACAACCATTTTTTGATTTCTTCCTTTTCCGATAATTCTTATCTCTGTTTTACTTTCCTTTTACTCTTTCTCCACTTCCACAATGTGCTTTTATGTACCCTCTATACCTGGGGTGGAAAGTCACCTGAAAATTTGAAATTAGCCATACATTAAATAAAGCTTCCATTATAATCATTCTTTCAGGAAATAAAGCTGCTACTTTGGCGGTAATTCTAAAAAGCACTGTGTTCCACGATACAGTGCCTTGATTCAGCAAAGAAGCCTTGACCCTTCTGTTTTAAAAGTTAAAGATTTTCTTTTGGTAGCAGAGAAAGGTCCCCAGTTTAGTGCATAACAAATAATTATCACCTACAAAGTTATCTATCATCTAAATTAAAAAGGAACAACCAAATCATTTCCTCGTGGTACCTGCCTAATATCAAAATGAATAACTAAAATACTGATAAATAAATAATAATTATTGAAGTGGGGTATATCCAGGCCGTTTTAGCTTAACAAAACAAAAACACAAGGTAAGTCATTCTCGTTTCTATTTTTGTCAAAAAATGGAATTTAGGACATATTTTGTTTATTGTCATACGTTCTCTTATAAATTCAAAGTCCAACAAACTCCTTCAGAGTTTGGGCTACCTGTGGATGGGGCAACATGACAGGATGGACAATAAAGGGGCTGCATTTTCAACACCTTCAATGTGACTGGAAATTACAAAGGTTCAGACAGTAGATTCAGGAATACAAAATGACTAACTTGGAATCACATAGTTTACATTTGCCAAAAGTAGCTAACATTGGGCCTTTTGGTCATAGAAAAGACTGTAAAAGGATTTGGGTTCTGGTTGGCTAATTGTGCCAGATACCCAGCACACCAAAAGGTTGACCCTAGTATCCCACAGGTTGTGAGGGTCACTTCGGTTTTTATAATCTCATAAAGTACCCATTCTTCTCACACTAAACTAAACAGCAACTTACCACTTAAAAGTGAAAAAAAAATCAACCATAATATATAAGAAAACAGAAATAGTTTATGTTGAGCCATAAATTCAACAGTTGTCTGCTATCCCTGGGGGTACTCCCTTATATATATGGCCTCCCTCCATGGGGATGTGCCGCTGGACAGGGTATGGTTTTCATCCTCTCTGTCCTGAACAGGGTATATAGTTTGGCACAAGTCTGTCCTAAACAGGGTATACAATTTCCTGCAAGTCTGTCCTAAACAGTGTGCATGATTTGTGCGAGTCTGTTCTAATTATAAACAGGGTGTTTCATGCATGATCGATTTCGTCTTAGTGCAAATGTTTGCAGATATTTAGTACTTCATCACCCAAAGCATTTACTGGAATAAATATAAATGTTCTTGTTCTTGGCACCCTTGTCTAAATAAGATAAGTACAAGTTGACAGGTGTGCTTGATAACCTTGTCCCCATCTAAGGGAGTTGTCCTATCTGGGTACTAAAGTTGAGGGTGTTATCCTAAACAGGGTATGGGTTTCAAACCCTCAGCGGCTCACCTACACCCAAATATTGGTCGAGTACCCCTCCCCCCCCCCCCCCCCTACACCGGGCTGCTATCATATAAGCAAGCTTCAAATTAACTGAGCCATAATTACACAATGGTTGACTGTATTTGTACCCTCTTTGTAAACGTAACAATCATTTTTATATTGGGAAGTTCAGTAATAATAATCCAGATGGCCAAAACTTCCATATTTTGGCCATTCTTATTCTGAAGTATCCACCTTATTCTGAGCTATCCAAACAGATACTTTGCTATGAATAAGCTTTACACGGCAGTCGCGGTAGTGGTACTGTAATTAAACAGACATTGTTTGCTCCTTGCACTAAAAATAAATTCTTACAAAGAACGTGAAAAACAACTAACCTCTATGTAGGCTTTGATCCATATTTTGGAGTAACCATTCTCATCTTAGCATTCTTCAGTCTTTGTATACTTATCTCAAAAGTCGGAGCGATTTGCCGAAAAATAATTATATTCAGTTCCAGTCTCCGAGCGGATACCTGATTTTGGAGTATCCATTCTAGTCACGACCGTTACACATGTCACACATGCATGATGATGGCGTTGAGAGGTACGTGTATTAGTTCTGATTAGTTGTACGTTTTACGAACCGGAGATATAAGTGAAGTAATTAATAGAGTTTAGTGTGGAGAAATCAGACATTTAGCAAGCTTGCCAAGCTGTATTACCAATACCAGTTGCAAAGCAAAGCATGATAACAGTAAAGCGTCGGAAGCTAGCAGCGTGGTTGCCGGTTGACATCGACTAAGTAGAGACCTTTAGATTCGAGGACGAGAACGACTACGAGTACGAGATTTGACTTGAAGTTTTTTCGCGTATTCTCAAAATATAGACTTCCCGAAAAGCTTCATTTTACCGTTTTTCACTAAAAAAGTTAGCACTGCTACCTTTAGTGAAGGAGGTTACGCGCTTTAGGGAACTTAAGATAGAGACGTTTTCGTGGCGACGGCAACTTCAACCGGACGTGACATCATCATTTGTTGAATATTGCGCATGCTCGTGCTCACCACCTTGCCGTCGTGGTCCCGTCGGCGACGCGAAACTGGTCTGTTTGGCGTTGTGGCGAAAACGTGAGTATTTAACTTTCATTTCAATCAGGTTTGTTGCGTTTAGCAACCAACATTTTGCAGATTATCGTTCTTAAATTGTCCTTGTTTTCTTTGAGGCACATTTCAAGCACGATTTCCAAGCTCTGTTATCTAAACTTACATCTTTGAATGTTTCTATGTTTTCATGTCACAGGGTCAAGATCCAACTTGGCAAACAGCCAACCGTGAGCTTGCCATGGGACAAAATTTTCCCACGAGCCAAAAAAAGGTATCCAGACAAAAAATATGAACTCCGATCTTTCGATTGTGTGTTTTTAGTTCGCCCTTTTCGTTAGAATATCGTATAAATGAAACGCATTGAAAATTATATAGAATAGTAGGTAATCCCATGTACTAACTCGGCGTGGGAATACTGAAATAAAGTTGTTGCCCTTGTTTGTTGTTGTTGCATGCAAGTATTTCCCGGGAATTATTTCAATACCAAACTAAGAATACGGTTCCTTGGTAGCATTTTAATGTTCCTGTAATTTGCAAGGCTTCGGCAAGCCTGTGGAGATCATTTTTTTTCAACACGAAATTCTGCCTTGAACTAAGCTGCATCCCGCATGTTTTTTAGCGTGAAGGGATCGTAACTGTCCCAAAGAAAATCGGGATTTTTGGACTCGTAATTTTCCCACAAAACGAGAAACTCTTCATCCGATACATGTTGTCTGCATAGCAAATATTTATTCTCTTAATTCTTTATGTGAAGCCATATTTTCCCCTTCGGTATTCTTCTAATTAAAGGCGCCGTCCTTCTGAGTTCACTGCGATCTTAATCAGTCCGGAATATCCCTAAATTTAAGGACAGGGCCAACTGGTCACGCGACACTTTTCAACCAATGAGAGGGCGCGCTTGTGTTTATCAACAAACAAATCAAAACATCGCCCCAGTGATCAAAAATTTTCAAAGCAACGGACGGAGTCGGACAGAATTAAAGATAAGCTTACAGTACTCGTCTAGATTTTACATTTAATATTTCAAAGAAAACATTTCATGTAAGAGAATAAGAGCATTAATCATTGCAAGGAACGAATCATTGGGGTGTTCCAACTGATTCCGGACCGATCGCGGAGGTCGTGGCTTCACTGGCATGGCTTGCAAGAGTTTTGATAGAAGCAAACTAGTCCCGTGAAAAATAGCCTTAGAGAGAGCTTAAAAACTTTGTTGAGATCGTACAAAACAGGATTGGTACTACCTATTAACTTCTACAGGACAAGAATCAAAGAATCAGTCATCATAACAAGAGTAGAAAGTAGTTCAAATTTATTAATTTTTCTTGTTCGTGTTTTGTGTTGTTTCGTGTTGACTTCACGCATCTGGTGCTTTCTTTGCTTGCTGTAGTACCTGCAATGTTTTGATTTTATCCCAGATAATCAGTGCATGTTCAATGAGTAGCGAAATACATCATTTACAATTGAGATTTGCCTTGTTTCTTTTATCGTTTTTTAACGGTGGATGAACATTTGGAGAATGCAACAACATTAAATCTTTCCAGATTAGTGAATTTCAGAAACAAAGCGGTTAGTATCTACGTTGCGCTTATGATCTTCAAATTTCATCCCCGCAAATTCGGCAAAGTGAGGCGAAATGTTGGACGTTAATATCCATAAGACTATTAAAGTTGTTTAGGCCTTGAAAAGAAAAAAGGCAAAGGCTCGTACTAATGCGAAAAAAAGTAATAACACGGCTCTGTGAGAAACCCGGGAGTGGAAAACGTACGTGTTTTGGACCTCGGAATTCAAAAATTGTCTACCAGAATTCTAGGTTGTCTACCATCCCCACATTCAACATGATAAAAGTTAATCGATAGGACAATCGAGGAAAAATATCTAGAACTTCGTAAAAAATCTGTGAATCGAAAAAATAATAGACACTTGTTCACCTACCTTAAAAACCGACCAAACTCTCGCCTAGGCATCGCGTTGTTTAAAGGATAAAAGAAGAAATAAGCCACAAAATGTGCTGAATATTTCACGAGACACTTCCAATATGGCTTCCGATAAGCTGTCCACCTAAAATAATTGTGTATGCCTCGTGAAAAGTCTTTAAAATATGCCTGAGAGCCTCGAAACGATGACTGATTCTGTCTGCCTCCGTCCGTTGTTTTGAAAATTTTTGATCACTGGGGCGATGTTTTGATTTGTTTGTTGATAAACACAAGCGCGCATTCTCATTGGTTGAAAAGTGTGGCGTGACCAGTTGGCCCTGTCCTTAAATTTAGGGATATTCCGGACTGTTAATGTTCTATTTTTGACGGGGAGCGACGGCTGCCTTAGTTCCAGGCTTTCTCTGCCAGTCCGGTCGCCGTCGCCCCGAAAACGTCTCCATCTTAAGTTCCCTAGTAGAATGACGACGGCTACCGCGTTTTCCCGCCAAAATGACGCTGGTTCACGCGCGTGCACTACTTAGTGTTGAGAAAATCTCGTACTCGTAGTCGTACTCGTCTTAGAATCTAAAGGTCTCTAATATAAGCCTGAGAACGACTTTCTGTAAATACCACGGATAGGTGTGCAAGATGGAAAAGTCGAAATCCTCCAAACTTTGTCACAACAAAGCCTTTTGGAAACTGTTTTAGAAAAGACTCAGTTCGTTTGACTTAATATTTCCCAAAGTAATAATTTTTTTTAATTTTCACCTTCGAGAGGCCTTCAAACCACCGAAAAATGTGCTTGATACCCTCGCTTCGTGAATGGAAACGGAAACTAATACCATGACTTTTCTTATATTAAACAATTTTATGATCCTTCCTTTCTACCTAAACGTTGTTACAATTTCAAAAGATTTCAATCTGATTTTTTAATATTTTTTCAAAATTACCCTCTAAATCAGCATTATCGCGACCATCAATTTTGCCATTTTTCAACGGCGAAAATCCCTTCCTGGTACATGGCTTTCATTAGAAATATGGTATTCCAGAGAAAGAGCAATGCTTCCCCTATCAATCTGTGAAATAAAATTCTGGGGCAATTGAAACTGCGAGCTTTTACAACTGAAAACATTTACGGTACTCGCGTGATTTACGACCTCTGAACTTGCAGTTGTGTTGATCAATACATCGAAATACAAGCGAGAACCTAGACAGCACTTGAAACTCTGGCGCAAATTGGCCCCTTTTCCGCCAGTTTAAACACCAAAAACGATTTTAGATTTCACAGTGGTAAATTTTCAAAAGGAAAAGCAATTTTATTGTACGAAAGTGTGCTATGAACTTCTTGACTACAATACTTCCCTTACGTGCGTATTTGTTTACTTTTGCCGTACATATTTGTACAAAACGGCTTTAGTGTCGGTAGCTATTCTTTCAAATGCTCTGATTGTTCATGAACCAAATCGTTATAGCTATTAAAAAAGGAAAACATTTTGACCTACCTCACATTATTTGACAACAGACCCGAATCCTTTACTGCCTTTAGCGAAACGAGATTGCGTGACAAAGAACTTTGAGACCCAGGTAATACCGCGAAAACAGAAACCATTCCGAAAAAGACACTCACGCGGAGCCTTCTGTAACGATAACAGCCAAACATGTAAATAATCAAAATCCTTAGTTTCACTGACTTATCCGCTAGAGCGATTATGAAAACGTAAGACTAGAAAAAAAAATTTTCACAAGAGACTGTGAAGTGCATGGTGGGCCCTTATAGTCTCTTACTTTCCATAAACGCCTGCTTACACATTTTGAGATACGATTATGAATTCGTTACTTGTATCCTTAGAAGAATGCCATTGAGGGGGAAAAAGCGCGCTAATTCGTAGTCTGAAAGGTCATCCGTCCCTTCCCTCCACCCCCTAAGGGGCGGCAGCCCGTTTCGGGGTGGGGCGAAGAAACGCAGAACATTTCAGACTAGACAGGTCGGGGCTAGAAAACCTGCAACTCTGGTGTTAAAAGCAAAGCTTTCTGTAGTTCTGGCAACCACGAGCAAGTTTTGCATTTCTGAGCAACGTTAGGGGAAAATAAAGGCTTATGTCAAGCCAGAAAAAAGTGAGCAGTTTGATAGAAAATGTCAAGTACGACTGAACGGAGCCCGTATAAGCGCCCCTAATGACTCTGGCAGCGGGGGGGGGGGGGGGGGGATTTTGAAATGTCACGTAAAAAAATATTCATGTGTCTAAAAACCCCCCCCCCAGCGGAAATGCTAAAATGCAAAAACTAATAGCAAAACATATATTCGAATGCTTTGAAAAAAGGAAAGGGGAAGACGGCAAAAAGTAAATACTCTAGGACTTAGTTAATTAATAACTTATTAGCCATATATGGTGAGAAATTTTTTGTTGTTTGTAGTTTTAGTTATTTGGAAATAGTTGATATACTATTTATTGTATAAGACTCCAAATAAAGAAAACATGCATGTATGTAAGGGGACCTAGCTCTAAGCATACCGTCTGCGCTTTAGCTGTGAGTCTGCCTTGGAGATAAATTTCGCTTATATTTTTGAGCAACTCTTTCAAGAAGATTGCAAGCCGTATAGTTGCGTCCGTCTGGAACGCTGGAGCGGTGAAACCAATGATCGCGCCCCTCACGTCTTGAAGAAAAAAAAACCCGCGTTTTTTGAGAAAAAAAAAAGAAGGAAAGGCCGTTCGCACTAACTGAAAGCTATTCTTTTTGGCATTGCTATTGAAAATCTGAAAAGAAACAGTCTTACACACGTAACCCTCGGGGCGGTACCAGGTGAATATATCACATACCCCATCGTTCCAGGTATATAACCTTTACTTAAGCGTAGGATGTAAGATACACTTGCGGATACGCGTAAGCATAATGTGAGAGATACCCAGGGGCAAAAAAATAACAGTGGCGCTGCTGATGTTGGCTCCCCTCAAAAATGAAGCGTATTAACGTGGGGTTGAAAAGTGAGATATTCGGATATCTTCGGATAATTGATAGCTAGTTATTTCCAGTCCACGGACTTTCTCCTAAATTTTTCGAAAGTATTTGTTCTCTTAGAAAATCCAGAATTTCGAGGTTTCTTGATAGTTTTATGCATACGCTAATTATGAGATTCCTTTTCTTCTTTCCTGACGATAGGTTAAATCGGTCAAGAAAAAACAGCTTTCAGTAAGTTGAAATACGGTTTTGGAAGGCGCGATCTTTGGTTTCACCGAAGAGCGTTCCTGAGGGGCCCAAATATACGGGCTTGCAATCTCCTTTAAAAAGTTGCTCGAAACTGTAGGCAAAATTTATTGCCAAGGGAACGCACAACTAATAAAAAGCAGGCGGTATGCTTAGAGCTAGGTCCTCTTTGGTCAATTTCAGAGTTTCCCCTCCCCACCCAGCCTCCCCCTCCCGCCGGAGTCATTAGGGGCGCTTTTACGGGCGCGGTTCAGTCGTACTTGACATTTTCTATCAAACTGCTCACTTTTTCTGGCTTGACATGTGCCATAACCTATATTTTGGCAAAACGTTGCTCAGAAATGCAAAACTTGTTCGAGTTTGCCAGAACTACAGAAAATTTAAACACAAGAGGTGCTCTAAAGTTATGCAGGTTTTCTAGCCCCGCCATGTCTAGTCTGAAATGTTATGCGTGTCTTCGCCCCACCCCGAAACGGGCTGCCGACCCTTGGGGGTGGAGGGAAGGGACGGATGACATTATAGACTACGACTTAGCGCTTTTTCCCCCTCAACATCATTTTTCTGAGAATACAAGTAAGGAATTCATAATCGTATTTCAAAACGAGCGTGATGAAAACAAGAGACTACAATGGAGCCTCGATTTAACGAAGGGCCAAGGGACTAAAAAAATTTCTAAGCCACCCAACGACGGTTTCCTTCTAAATTCATTGAAAACACTTTTCAATGGTGTACCCAGAGCACTTTTAGATCTCTAGAAGTGCGTTCTAAACGGCTTTTAAAATTTGTTCCTGTTCGGTCATCCTAGGGGAACTTGCATTGAGTATTTTCGAAATTACAAGGGCTTCAGTATTATTTTCCCAAAAATTTTAGATACAATTTAACGTATCACGAAAGTGAGAATTTTTCTGATTCCTCTCGCAATCACATGTTTGAATCCGAACATTTTAGGTTTCCTCTTTTCTACGAAAAATTAGCCTAACCTGGGATGTAAAATGTGAAAAATTAAACTTCAGAAAATCGTAGGGAATTTATAAGATAACCTTCGAAAATTGAACAGGAATGGAACGGTCATCTCGAAATTTTTAGGCGTCCTCAAGCTATAGAAAATTCTAGGCTATATCTACTTCTCCGAACAAATATTTTACAGAAAACAGTCGTTGAGTGCCCCTGAAATTAAATTTGCTCGCTATAACGAGGTTTCGTTATATGGAGGTTTTTTTCATACCGTAAATCCTCTATTAAGCCCCCCCCCCCCGAGGGGCTTATTTATTTCAAGCCCATTTGAGGGGGAGGGGCTTAATAGAGACGTGGGCTTAATATATTTAATTTGCAAACTACGATGGTATCGGTTCTCCATCCCGGATCTGTCCACACGAAGTTTTTCGGTCGTGATTGACTAATACTGTCTTTCATTTATTAGTGAAGAATAATAAGGGGTGGGAAGCGGGTGCTTGATAGAGGGGGGGGGTATTAACTTTCTTCCCCTGAAAAGGGGGGGGCTTATTAGAGGGAGGGGCTTATTTGACAGGGGGCTTTAATATAGGTTTTACGGTATATTTTACTATTATTGAGGTAAAGAAAATCATTCCTTGGTTTTTTTATATGGTGGTTCCACTGTATAAGGGTCTACCACTATATAGTCTTTTGACGAAAAAAATTTTTTTTAGCGTTACGTTTGTAGGGTCGCTCTGGCGGATAAGTCAACGAAACTAAGGATTTTGCTTATTTACATGTTTCGCTTTTATAGCTACAGAAGGTGCCGCGTGAGTTTCTTTTTCGGAATGGTATCTGTCTCCGCGGTATAACCTGGGTCTCAAAGTTCTTTGTCACGCAATCTCGTTTCTCTAAAGGCAGTAAAGGATTCGGGTCTGTTGTCAAATAATGTGAGGTAGGTCAAAATGTTTTCCTTTTTTAATAGCTATAACGATTTGGTTCATGAACAATCAGAGCATTTGAAAGAATAGCTACCGACACTATTAGCCGTTTTGTACATATATGTACGGCAAAAGTAAACAAATACGCACGTAAGGGAAGTGTTGTAGTCAAGAAGTTCATAGCACATGCGGAAACATGACGGCAGTTAGCGTTTCCGCAAGAGTAAACCTGACAGAAACGCGAGTATAAGGGATTCGTTTAAGCGTATCCGCAGAAACTGAAACATGACGTATACACCTGTTTCCCGCAACGGTTAGTTACAATTCCGTCTGCGGATATTCAGGCTTCCGTGAGGTAACTGTTACAAAAACACCTTTTTTCAACCTGTGACAATTTCGCACCATAAAATTGCTTTTCCTTTTTGAAAATTTACCACTGTGAAATCTAAAATCGTTTTTGGTGTTTAAACTGGCGGAAAAGGGGCCAATTTGCGCCAGAGTTTCAAGTGCTGTCTAGGTTCTCGGTTGTATTCATCAACACAACTGCAAGTTCAGAGGTCGTAAATCACGCGAGTACCGTAAATGTTTTCAGTTGTAAAAACTCGCAGTTTCAATTGCCCCAGAATTTTATTTCACAGATTGATAGGGGAAGCATTGCTTTTTCTCTGGAATACCATATTTCTAATGAAAGCCATGTACCAGGAAGGCATTTTTGCCGTTGAAAAATGGCAAAATTGATGGTCCCGATAATGTTGATATAGAGGGTAATTTTGAAAAAATCAGATTTAAATCTTTTAAAATTGTAACAACGTTTAGGTAGAAAGGAAGGATCGTAAAATTGTTTAATATAAGAAAAGTCATGGTATTAGTTTCCGTTTCCATTCACGAAGCGAGGGTATCAAGCACATTTTTCGATGGTTTCAAGGCCTCTCGAAGGTGAAAATTAAAAAAATATATTATTTTGGAAAATATTAAGTCAAGCGAAATGAGTCTTGTATTTTCTAAAATAGTTTCCAAAGGGCTTTGTTGCGACAAAGTTTTGGGGATTTCGATTTTTCCATCTTGCACACCTATCCGTGGTAGTTACAGAAAGTCGCTCTTAATTTACAGGGCCGGGGTAGGGGATTTCCCCCGGCTACTTTCAACGTGGCCCCTGGCTACTTTCATAGGAAAGTAGAAGAGAAATAGAACCAAAAGAAATCCGTATCTGTTTTATTTCCTTCCTACTTGTTGTATTTACCAAGCAACTTGAAATCTTAGTGAAAGTACGTGAAAGAAGACATACTGGTGAGAAGCCATTTAAGAGCAAGCATTGTGACAAGGTCTTTAGCCAAGCAGGAAATCTAAAAGTACATGAAATAACACAGTGGTGAGAAAATGTTTAATTGCAAGCATAGTAGGAAGGCGTTTAGACGTGCAGAAAGTCTAAAAGCACATGAAAGAATACACACTGATGAGAAGCCATTTAAGTGCAAGCAATGTAACGAGGCCTTTAGCCGAGCAGGAGTTCTGAAAGAACATGAAAGAATACACACTGGTGAGAAGCCATTTAAGTGCAAGCAATGTAACAAGGCCTTTAGCCGAGCAGGAAGTCTGAAAGCACATGAAAGAATACACACTGGTGAGAAGCCATTTAAGTGCAAGCAATGTAACAAGGCCTTTAGCCATGCAGGACATCTAAAGGTACATGAAAGAATACACACTGGTGAGAAGCCATTTAAGTGCAAGCAATGTAACAAGGCCTTTAGCCGAGCAGGAATTCTGAAAGAACATGAAAGAATACACACTGGTGAGAAGCCATTTCAGTGCAGGCATTGTGACAAGGTGTTTAGCCAAGCAGGAAATCTAAAAGCACATGAAAGAATACACACTGGTGAGAAGCCATTTAAGTGCAAGCAATGTAACAAGGCCTTTAGCCAAGCAGGAACTCTAAAAGCACATGAAAGAATACACACTGGGAAGAAGCCATTTAAGTGCAAGCAATGTAACAAGGCCTTTAGCCGAGCAGGAATTCTGAAACGACATGAAAGAGTACACACTGGTGAGAAGCCATTTCAGTGTAGGCATTGTGACAAGGTCTTTAGCCAAGCAGGAAATCTAAATGTACATGAAAGAACACACAGTGGAAAGAAAATGTTTAATTGCAAGCATTGTAAGAAGGCGTTTAGCCGTGCAGAAAGTCTAAAAGGACATGAAAGAATACACACTGGTGAGAAGCCATTTAACTGCAAGCAATGTAACAAGGCCTTTAGCCGAGCAGGAAGTCTGAAACGACATAAAAGAATACACACTGGTGAGAAACCATTTCAGTGCAAGCATTGTAAGAAGGCGTTTAGCCATGCAGAAAGTCTAAAAGTACATGAAAGAATACACACTGGTGAGAAGCTATTTCAGTGTAGGCATTGTGACAAGGTCTTTAGCCAAGCAGGAAATCTAAAAGTACATGAAAGAACACACAGTGGTGAGAAACCATTTCAGTGCAAGCATTGTGACAAGGCGTTTAGCTGGCCACGATATGTGAAGCAACATGAACGAATACACACGGGTGAGAAACCTTTCAAGTGCAAGCAGTGTAACAAGGCCTTTCGTTGGAGCACGTCTCTTAAAGCACACGAAGAAAGTCACCGTTGTTGGATTTGTCTTAGGCTGATTAAGACCAAGCCCCTGCTTCTTCAACATTATGATGACCATATGTTACTGGACCTAACGTCGTAAATTTAATCAACGTATTCAACATTTGTGACTTAACTTTGTATAATGATTTATTAAGGGGCCGACCATTTAACTCTTGAGGGTGGGGGTGGGTGATTTCTGGTCATCAAGAATTTTTTTTCCTAGCAATCTGGTTGGCAGGATATTTTTTTCCCTTTTTTTCCCATATGCTCTCTATTACATTTGTGCTTCATGCGATTTTTTTCTTCTGACAAGCGGCCCCTAATATTTCCTTGTAAATTTAAGCTATTTAACAAAAAGTTAAATTAATTTAGATCTGGGTAATTTCCCTGGTTTCTTAAAAGAATTTTCCTAATTGTTTTAAGTGTTAATGTTCTTTTCAGTTGATAGCATGTTAGAACCAACTCCCAACAGTAAAGATGGGGTATCAAAAACGTAGTTGCTTCGTTTCCACTAACGCGAAAATTTAATTAAAATGTTATTAGAAGGCTATTGTTCAAGGCTTGTAGAAAGTGGAGTGTAAAAAAGGTTCCACGCAAAACACTATCTGAGTTTTGTTAAAAGTGGGAAGTTTTGTCAAGCAGGAGTCGAACCAGGATTTCTTTTAAGAAAAGTTCAAAAGTTATGCTTTTTGTAGCGAATCATTTGCACCGTTTACCCCCACTGCAAGTTAATTTCTTGTAAGCGCGAGACCCTTGTATGGTCGTAGTTTCAGTTTTAGTTTCTGGTTTGATTGGTGCATTTAATGGTGGGAGACTCCTCCTCCTCCTCCTTTTCTGTAAGTAGACAAGGAAAGAGTTTCTTAACATTTACAGGCTAGTGTCAATTTTTGTGGTTTCGATCATCTGCAAAAAATTTCAGTTTCAGTTGCTTGTTCGATTGATGCTTTTAGGGTTTGAAGACCCTCAGGAACCTCCTGCTTTGTTTTCGTTGAAAAAGGTACCAAGACAGTCATTATGGTATCAATCATTTGCAAAATGTTTACATTTGGAACCTTCTTGTTTTCGGCTCATATAGTTTGTGGCCGAAGCACAGCGAAGCAAAACAAACAGAAATTGCGGGTCTAGATCTCTTGTACGGGAGACTAATGGTTTGAAGATATACTGCGTTGTGTGTAATAACGTTCTCTGCTGACGAGTGGCCTTTAAAGGAAATTTGAATGTGTAACAAAATGATTTTAGCGATGAGGCGTCACGGAAGTGAGAGTTATTCGTTACTCGCAAAGCAGCTATTTGTGTGGCCTTATCCTTACAATAAGTTGAGTTTTTTGTCATGCATTTCCTATTAACCGTTATAGTGTTGAGGCAGTTCTTTTTATCAGTCATTTTCCCAGTAATCACATCATTATAGATGATTCTGATCGCTGGCTGGCGTCATTACATCAGTGGTTACTGAAATTTTGAGGCGGCATTGTTGTTAATATTTTTTTTTTAGATTTAGGAGCGGTGTTAGGTTTGGAACTTTGACGCTTGAAGTTTTTATTTGTACCCTTATCTTGTAGACGTGCAGCTTTCGTGACGAAGAAAAATATTTTTTGGTTCCGTTTTTAAGTCTCTTTTAGCTTATGTTTATTGTTGTGTTCATTTTGTGCAAAAATGGAAAATACAGTGTTTGGTTTGAAGTAAAATGCTCTCTAGACTATTATGTTCTACATATTAAACAGCGTAGAAAGTGTTAATATTTTCACCACGAGTGTGCATCGGAAATGCGCAATCTCACAATTTTTTATCGTCAAAGCCTTGCTTATTTTCCTGCCCCTGGTTTTCCAAACGTTTGCCAGTGCTTTCTACCAGACAAATCACTATCCAACGGATAAATATTCGGGGAAACAATTACGTTATCCACTAGAGAGATCTTTTTCCAGAGGATAGCGCTTGAACGCTAGGGCCTAAAGTGATCATTGAATTCATTAAATTAATCCCACAACCTTGGGCGTTGTTTCTACAGTACTAGGAGTCTTTAGGATATATTATTGATTAGAACCCCATCCAGTTCCTGACCCCGCCGAAAAAGGGTTACTTAACTTAAGTGGCATACGAGACAGTTGAAGTTTTGCAAGATAAGGACCTCGAGTATTAGGCTCAATTTCCGCGGCTCTCTCGGTCCTCCCCGAGAAGAGACGGCTAGACGCTTGAGTGGCCTATCGTGTGTGTGACGTAAATTCAAAATTTTAATTTATGCGTCGTTACCAAGCATCGGAAATGGGAAATGTCATTAAATACCGACCAAATGTTGTACTTAGCCTCGTCATCGCATTTGTATTTGCCATAAAAATCAGCAGAAACACGTGCGGATTGTATTTGCATCGATCTTGCATCACCGATGGACTTCACAGTCGTCTCTTTGACGTTAGCTGTCAACAACCATGGTTGCGGTTGGTTGAACTTGAAAATCATACCTACCATTTGCCAGTTTCTCTAAGCTAATACTTTTCTTTGGAAATATTTTAAGTTTTTAAGCTTTAAACGCCCTAACGCACGATTGCACACCACATCAATCCGCTGTTTTAAATCTGCTCCAGGAAAACAAACTTACGCTGCCTGCTCGATTTGATCTGGTGAAGATCTGATTGGTGGAAATTGACAATAGCAAACTCATGCGTCCGGCTGCTGGTCGGGAAGAAGCGTGGGCTTATTTCACGAACAGCGGCTGGTAATCTAGCCTCCCACGCAGGCGTTTTTAGGGGAGCTCGTTTTTCATCCCTCCCCACAAACGCCTGCTCAAGCGAAGACAATATTCCTTTCCCAACCTTAGCCAATCACATTGTACTTTCCAAATTCTGGAAAGTTGACCTTGACCGCAAGGTAATCTCGACTGATAATTACTCAATCTGCATTAAACACTGGGAAAGCTTTCTGGCCTCTAATAAATGTTAGATTCAGAGCGGCAAAAATAAGGTTTAGTCAAAATTTAGAATACTCCATGCACTGCATAACTTTAGCGAAGGAAAGAAAAGAAGGAAAACGGTAACTCTAGGGTCACGTTCAGTCGTGTTTAGCCTGTCAACACTTTATTGCACAACTGTTGATTGGTCACGTACCACGCAAATAAAACAATGGGAAAGGAATGTTGTTTTCGGTTGAGCAGGCGTTTGTGGGGAGGGATGAAAAACGAGCTCCTCTAAAAACGCCTGCGTGGGAGGCTACTGGTAATCTAGCCTACTCCCGTATACGACGTGGAGAAACTCCATACTGATGACGTCACGCCACCTAGATACTACTGGTCATGAAGCGTGGGAAATTTGCTTGAACCATGCAAAGAGATGCACTACTTAGGTCTGGGTACTGATACGTCGTCTGGGGTCTTTCCTTAAACGTCTTTTCGCAGGGAAGCCAGTGGTGGCGTCATGAAATGTCGCGTTTTCTCAGTCTAGAATCAGTCTGTCTCAGTATGCTGGAGAGCAATGGAAGTACTGGGACAACAAAAACAAAGAAATGATATCATTTAAACTTGCAATTTTCTTTGTTTTTGTTGTCCCAGTACATCTCTTGTTCTCCAGTATGGCAATTTTGTACCACCTGAACCGCTAGCTGTAAGCAGCCTGTTCATGGGACAAATTTCAGCTAAAATCTGCTGTTGTGAGGCTTTTTCAAGTCGAATGTGGCCAAAGGCGATTTACGACAACCAGAAATTACAGGAATCACGAAATTCAATATTGCATCGCTTTCCCAGGCCTTTTGTCCAGGATTGTAGGTTCTCAACACCCCGCGAGCAGAGCCTCATTGGCTGAGGAGGAGAAAAGGAAGCTCTGCCTGAATGAGGTTTGAGGTCGCCGCAGCCCCAACTTCTGGACTAAACAATCTTCATTCTTGTTTTGTCTCGTCAAACTAGTTTTTTTCGAGTGTGAGCTTCCATTTATCATAACCGAGCCGGCTGAAGCAAGCGCACGACTAAAGGCCTGGGTTAGAAACTATATCTCAGCAACGTGCCGCGCATGCTCAACAAAGCTCTTCCTCGATTCATGCAGAATCTTTCACAAGTACGCCAAAATCGAGCAAATTAAACGAAGATTCGACAGTAATATTTATTTTTATTTGTGGCTCAAATCTCGATAATCCTTGAGTAGGCCTTCAAGGAACAACAGAGAACTAAGCGAGCGAAAATTGTTCCTGTCGTATAATATTCGTACTGCATACCTATTGTCCCGACACGGGGAACTAAGTTATGGGAGGAAACAGCGACTGCCAGGACAAGAGTAGAGTAGTGAGAGTATGCGAGATGCACTTCAACTAACTCCATTGAACTGGCCAAGAGGCGGGCAGAAATCGGGCGATTCTAACCAAGGGCAGCAATGCATTATCTCACCAGCGCGCAGGCCCAACACGACGGAAATTTAAGGAGTTACTCATTTCCCACGTCACGGACCAATTGTGTATGCAGTGAGAATATTATATTGAGTTGCACTGGGAGTAACAATGAACCATCAGCGACTCGTATTAACTCTATGTGATAGTATGTGTGATCTATTTCAAATTTACACATTATTCCTCATACCTCGAACAGCTTGAGGAAGACTGACTTATCATTGAGGATTATATTTGAATTATAGTTGTTTTGTGGCGCGGTGGTTTCTCTCCTTTCGTGGCGCAGCGTCCGACCTGGAGAAACCACTGCTCGCAGGGTACTCAATTGTCTGATATTTAATAAAGGTTTTTTTTGAGGAACGAAGAAAAGCTCCAAATTGATTGTACTCGGAAATTGCCCTTAAATTCAAAATAAAACGAAGCAAAAACTGTACAGTAACACATTAATGTTTCCATTTGCCAAAGAAATACAGTTGTGGGCACCTCTCTATTACGGAGAGTTCGTTTGGTCTCAGAAATACCAAAAATCATACATTCCCTACCTCTATAATACGGACACCTCTGTAAAGCGGACACTTGGTTCTGTCCCTTTGGTGTCCGTATTAAAGAGGTTTGACTGTATTACGTGTGCCGATGTGCCAAATGATTGTAGTCAGAAGGTTTCACAGTATTTTGCTAATTTGCGCAGTTCAGTATTCACTTTTGGCTTTGATTTCCTCTGTACATGTAGACAAAGTACTTGCATGGTTGAGTTTTAGAAAGATCTACGTCCTCAAAACGAGTTTCAGTAAAAACTTGCCACAAATTAACGACAAAAATTACCCTTCCAACTATAAGCTAGCCCAATGGATTTTGCGACACACATTTCCCTCCCAGTATAAATGTAGGCGATTTTGAAACGTAAATTTCGCTCTACCAAAAATAAGCCCCGCAAAAATGGCCTTTGAAAAAGATAAGCCCTGGGAATTATTTTCGAAATTTTACGGTATTTTCCAAAATGTAAAATACGTTTATCGCAAAACCTAGCGTAGGTGTAAAAGGCCAACAGTATGAATTAAGAGAAATAAGCCAATAGCAAAAAAATATACTGTGAAACAAAATCAAACAATGTATTTAAATAGGTGGTTTGATTGGGTTTCTTTAATATATAGTTGTAGCCTCCAAACCTCTGTTTGAAACTAAACCATCGAAGCGCGGTACGAAATTCGGATTTATTTTATTAGCTTTGCCAACATAACATAAATACAAATACAAATACATAAGGGTAATCAAACAAAATAAAAGAAAAAGTGTCGAGGATTCCGCAACAGCGTGAGCCAATTACTGCGGGCCCAGATAATTAAAATAATAGAATATTTAAAATACAGTGAAACCTCTATTAAGCGGACACCTTCGGGACCTTCCCAAGTGTCCGCTTAATAGTGTTTGTAAAAATTGCGCAATTTTTTTAACGATCACTATTCAACTGTTACTCTTATATCTACCATTGTGTCTTTAAAATCAGGGGTAACCAGACAATGACCACAAGCACATAACGTTTTTCAAACGCCACCTTATTCGTATTTTATTTATACGATCGATGACAGCGGGGTTGTCTCAATAGATCTCTTTCTTATGCATTATTCATCACACGAGATGTCCCACGAGGCTCTATTTTGGGTCCCGTCCTTTTCTCGTTGTACATTAATGATCTTCCACTTGGTATATCAGAAAGCTTGCAATGTAGACATTTGTGCTGATGACACTACATTATGGAAGACTGGTACTGATCCTACAAGTATCAAGCATGGCCTTCAAAGTAGTCTCATTAAAGCAGATCACTCATGATCACTGGTTCTCCCGCCGAAACAAGATTATGCCAAATGCAAAGAAAACAAAATAGTTACTTCTTGAAACGAAGCAAAAGATTTCTCATTGTGCAAATCTGGTCCTGAATCTTTTCTTATTTTTTTTGCGAGGAACCAAAATTAAACAAGCTGTCAATGAAAAGATTCTTGGCGTGATTCCAGACAAGCATCTTGACTGGACTACTCAGACATATTAATTATACAGATTATATGATCACCAAATTAAAATACGCCTAGGAAATTATTATACAATGCTTTGATTAAGTATATATTAGAATATTGCCTCTCTGTGTTGGGAAACACTACGAATAATAATTCAATTAAGCTCCTCAGGATTCAAAAGCGTTGTGCAAGACCAATTTTGGACACAAACATTTATGCCAGCTCAGTTAAACTTTGTTACAAGCAGCTGGGCTAGATCCCCATTGATGATATCACAGTCTTGAGGAAACTTTGTATTATGTTCAATATCATTAATGGTAAATGTCCTGATTATTTCGATCATTATATTTGCTACGTCAATACCAGGCATAATTATGAAACTAGAGCGTCAACTAATGCAGAACTATCCGTCCCTTTTTTGATACCAAGACTGGTCAACGTACATTTCTTGAAAGTGGCCCCAGACTTGGGAATGATCTAGCTAGAAATATTAGGGGTCTAAGTACCATGGCTAAATTTTAAAATTAATTACATAAACAATTTTCAGACTGTAATTTTGAAAATGACCATTTTATTATTAGCAGAAGTTTTTAACGTTTAATGTTTTTAAAATTCCAATCTTATTAAAGTGCTAACCCTTCAATTTGTTTTCTTTTGGTAGATTTCCATATCTTTCAAGAACTCATTTTCGAAAATAATTTTCGGAAATATTGAATCCTTTTTTTTTTCTTTTACGACCGCTAAAAGTGAAGGCAGTCTTGTCGATATCTTCACCTTTCGTTCGCATTAGTCCCCCACTGGGCCAAATGTGTCAAAATATGGAGCGTGACGTAAGAAAAGGACATCGTGCGAAAATATGCGAAGATTCGCGGTAATGCTTTATTGATAAACAGAGAAAATGGTTGAAAAATGTGTGGTTTTTGGATGAAGAGGACATATTTTCATACCAGTTGTAAGCTTAACAAATAATCTTCGATCGTACTATACTTTCAATGCTTCGTGCTTTGGAATGGTGTCCTTTTCTTACGTCACAGCTAAAAAAGTGTCAAATATCGGACGCTTCTCATTGGCTCGTTCCTAATGAGCCCACGAGACAAAAATCTGTCCAGCGGGGCTTATAGCGCGAAAAAATTTAAAACTTTCAGTAACTTTTAGCGCTCGTAAAAAAAAGGATTCAATATTTCTGAAAATGATTTTCGAAAATGAGTTCTTGAAAGGTGTGGAAATCTACCAAAAGAAAGCAAATTGAAGGGTTAGGGGCACTTTAAGTTTTTTATCGATCTGATATATTTATAGTCTTTATAAGTTTGCAATGAACCTGCAATTCAGTCATCTGAGGTGCAGTAAACTAGTGATACTTGATTTTTTAGTAGCTAGTTGAAAGTCAATTTAATTTGCTCAAGATAGATTTACCAGCTAACTTTTCTTTGTTTTATTTCAGGCATTGTAGTGACTGCTTATTCTCCGCTTGGATCTCCTGATAGACCGTTTGTCGACAAAGACGCGCCTGTTGTATTAGATAATCCTCTGTTGCAGAAAATCGCTGATAAACAGAAAACTACGATCGCTTTGGTGAGCTGTACAGTATTTATATCTTTTATGGACTGCTCTCAGCCCTCTATTCGGTTCTCAAATTTTTATTCTGTGAGCACGCTAACTGACGCGAGTGTTAAAATGGAGCGCGATCAACTGAGACGTGCAAAATGTGACTTATTAGGGACTTTTACGATCCGACGACGCGATATCAGACGTTCTTCCAGTCTTTATCGCGATTATTCCTACCCATTTACTTCATCAAAAGTAGGCGACCCCCCACCCCCACCCCCACCCCTAGAGTTGAGTCGTAGGATCCCTATCCAAGTTCAGAAAGAGAAATAAAATTTCGTCGTCTCTTGTTCACGTCCTCCATTTGATGTAAAATTAGGCAATTTCAGATCGCAGTCGTTCAAAAACGGCAAAGAAATGTACGAAAAAGTGTGATGCACGTGCAAAGTTGATTATTCCGATGTTCTCGTTTTCATCGCGTCGTCGGATCGTAAAGTCCCTACTTACTGTAAGAACACCCAAGTTGTTCTTGGTGTGTATCACCCCCTACACCCGGAACAAGATCGCTTGAAACAAATGCCCTGCCTCGATCCATAAAGCTAAGGCTGAACTTGTCCCGGGAATTGCCGCGGTTACGGTGGTAACAAGTAAAATTGAATAAGGTGTAATTGGTTTTTCATCATGCAGGTCGCTCTGGCGTGGGGTATTAAGCGTGGAACTCCAGTCCTTCCAAAAGCTGTCTCTGAGAATCACATCAAAGAGAACCTAGAAGCACTTAATGTGAAACTAGATGATGATGACATGAAGGCCATCGAAAACATCGGGATACGTCACCGGTATTTTACCATGAGGTGGATGTACAAACCCGAGGAGGTTCCTGACAATTACTGGGATGGCGAGGAGTGATACAAGAAAATAAGCTACCTAGCCATACATAGACAAATACATAGGACACAATTACTGGATAAAAAAGTTAATAAGATGTTTCGTCTCTGTAGCTGGCTAATTATGAGTGGAGTGATCATTGTTTCTTTTCTAGATACAGTGGCGATAGCAGATCCCCCTGGGCGGGTGGGTTACTCGTGGAAGTTCTTATTGGAGGCCTGCCGCCCCGTTCTCCAAATCCTGACCCTATATCAGACCTAAAAATGTCATTTTTCACATCCATTTTCAGACCTGGCCTGTAAAATCCATACCCGTTGTCAGACCTGGCCCGTAAGAAATTATGTCATCATAAGTTAGTTTAAAATGGCAACAAAAACGATTTCTTAAAATCCATTTCGAATTCCTGTATTTCTCTTTCGTTCTTAGTCATTTGCAATTGAAACCATACATACGTTCATACACTCCCGTAGTTCCCTCGAAAACCATACCCAATTCCAGACCAAAATGGGAAAAGTCTATACCCGTTTTCAGACCAAAACGGGTCAAAAACCCTACCCTTTTGGGGCGGTACATACCTTTTTGGCTTATATAAGGGAGTACCCCCTCCCCCCCGTAGTAGATGTCCTCACAGCAAACAATAATGACGTAAAATAAACTTGTCGAACCTCGAACTGTACATTTTGCAAGATTTTTTGCATTTCCCTGTTGTACCTATTGTTTCTAGCTTCATCTCACTTGGGTGGTTGGTTGACCAAAATCGACGTCTTAGTTTTGAGAGAATACAGTTTTGTAAACAAACTTCATCGCGGTTACTCGTACAGTCAAACCTGTGCGTACAACGGTCACCCTTGGGGAATGGCAATGTGACCGTTATATACAGGATGACCGCTATATATAAAGGTCAACTTTGCAGAAACCATAATATAAGGCAACTGGAAATTTTCGGAATTTGTCTGGTGACCGGTGACACAGGGTTACCGCTATATACAGGGCCGTTTTATGCAGATTATCACTGTTTGCCCCCGCGACATTGCTTTTATCCCGTCAATCCTAAAGCACTTGCAAAGATGGCGAGTATCGAATAAGGTCCAGCTTGTGAATAGCAATAGGCCTAAAGGGAAGGCTTTGATGTAACTCCCATGTAATTATATAGCGCAAGTTAGGTAAAGGATAGCGGTGTTCGACGTGTTCTCATGAGAGTTAACTATAGTTAACTATGCTAAAACTGGCCTGTTAAGAATAATAACTCAGACGATATCCCGAAAAAATTGCTAGGGGAAATTAATCTCAGTTAACAATTATGATACATTTGATACATTGCATTTCTCAGCTATATCAGTTGAATTTTCAGCTATTTCTCAGCGGGCAATTGAATTCTGCAAAGCTGATCGTACTACGTGAAAATAAACTTTGCAAGACATCAACACGGCACCGAAAGAACTCAAAACAGAGCGGGTTGTAGCCGTCGACAGCTTTTTCGCCATTATTTTAATTTTTTCGTTTTTCATTATTATTATTTTTTTTTATCCTCAACAACACTTTATTACACATTTACATACAAAAGAAAAAATTACAAAAATTGTAAAAGAAACTAGCAAAATGTAACAAAATTACAACTTACAAAAGTGATCTAAACTTATCGAAAATTACAATTTAACTTATCTTTACGCTTATGCTTCATGAAAAAATCAGTAACTTTTGTTTTTTTTACAAAACAAAGTAAGGTAAAACAATGGCTTTAAAAAGGAACAACAAACAAACAGACAGACAACTAAAACAGGACAGTTAAAGTATTTAATCTTACATTTTATGTTGTTTCTCCAAAACATAGCAGATGATGATACAGAATTAGATGTAAGGTGAAAAAGTAAGTAACAAATAAAATTTACAAGGAAAGAAAACGTAAACAATACAAAATAACAGCACTTAAATTAAATCAAATTGCATATCAGAAGGAGAGGAGAGGGGCACGCCTACATAAACTAATATTGTGCCCCTTAAAGTTACGTATAACAAAAAACTTGTAATTTTTAATGAAAAAAGGAAAGGAAAAATTATGACATGGCTTAGTTCTTACGTTTTTTTTATAAAATAAGAATTCAAAGTAAGTCAAGAAACAGAACAAATAGAAGAATCAAATGAATAGCAGAGCTAGAAAAAACGCGGCCATCATACCGCTGGCCGCTGACCACTCGTTGTGGCTCATCAGGACGGCGTAACAAACAGAAAAGGCGCTACAGAAAAGCTAAATAAAAATAACCCGCTCACTCTGATTTAAGCCCTGGCATTGGACTCCAAAACCCACAGAATCATGCCTTATCACGTGTCTCCGGGAGGGCAAGAGTCCAAGTGTCGCGTTGATGTCTCGCAAAGAAAATATAGGATGGCCAAACCAACCTTAGGAACATGGACAAACCATGCAAAATGTAAGGGCGACAACGTTCGAAGGTCAAAACGCTTTTGCTTCAGCGCTGTGCTTTACGTAAGTTTTACATGAAAGATAGTCAAAACACGCGAGCTCAGATTACGAGTGATAGAGCGTTTTCGCGCATGACGTCAGGGCGGCTATAGAGTGTTTTCACTCACGTGGCCAGCATCTATGCAAATTTATTGGAACAAAAGAAAGCGTTTGCATAAGAAAGGAGTTCAACTCCCACGGGATTGGTTTGGGACACCAACATGGCCGCCGTTTCATTGTTTTGGGACACCAATATGGCCGCCGTGACGTCATGTGAAAACACTCTATATTGGTGTTCCAAACCAGTCCCGTGGGAGTTGAACTTTTTTTTTTGTAAACGCTTTCCTTTGTTCAAATAAATTTGCATAGATGCCGGCCACGTGAGTGAAAACGCTCTGTATTTTGCGCATTCCATACATTCTTAGTGGAAGTCCAAACGAATGCTGGCTACACCGGGCATGCCGCGCATGCGTGATAATTAAAAACCTGGAGATTAGGATTGCGGGCTCCTCTGGCCCCCTATGTCTATTTCCCAGCAGACCAACATTTCGACTGATTCTCAGCTTTAAGTTAACCCCGTCTATAATATCGGTAAAAAATTACTCTAACGATGGAGTTTTTAAGTGCTATATTGATCGCCACAAGTCTAGGACCAGGACTAAATATTTTCGCCGAAATGTATCGTAAATAGAACGTTTAAAAGTGAAGTAAAACAATTAAATTAGGGACCTTAAGCAACGACAATGGCAGTGAAAACTTCACCCAAAAATAGGATTTGCGCAGTTTCAAACAGTTCATCCGCTCTCATTCCAACTCTTCTAGATTGTCATAGGCTGGCCATGTTTTCAGGAGTTGAATTCTAAAGGACTCTATCTGACTCCCAAAAGAAAAAGAAAATCGTTGTCTTGTGCTCCCGTCCTTCATACGAAGTGAAACAAGGCAGTTTCATGTCGTAGACGTGCAACGACGGCAAAGAAATGTACAAAAAAGCGTGATGCACGTGAAGAGTTGTTGTTCTGCCGATCATAGGGCATGTTTACATGGAGGTGGGGGACCCCAGGTAGATGAGGTAACCCGCTTAGGTTGGGTAACCCGCCTATCCATTAATTATTTGGACGGCGCCCAAATAGAGTAATCGAGTTCTGCTTGTTTTGATTCAAAGTTGTAATAGGCACGCAATACGTGCGAACGTAAACAAGCAAGTAAACAAGCCAAGCGACGCGAATGTCTGCCGCGCACTTTGTCACAACACATTATTTATCTTCGTTACATACGACCCACAGATAATGCAAGGCAATTAAACAAAGCGGTAGTAGAAGAGTAACCTTTTGGAAAAACAAGATACACTGAGTCAAACAAACTATTAAATGATTTAAATTTTCCCTTTGGAAAATAATCGTCCTTGCAGTACACGGTGAGATTGGTTTGGCATATTGCCAAGAGTTTGACAATATTTTTACTCTCAGTTGTCGAGCACCAAAGAAGATGATGTACAGAATTCCTTGATCTCGTGCATGAGATAATTAAGGACATTGAAAAATGCATAATTTCATTGCATTTTTTGAAAAGGAGGTAATTTAATTATTAACGCCCACATACAATAATCGACGTTCTTCCCTTCTTTTTCCCCAATGCTGGCCGCGAAGATGAGTCCACTCAGCTCAAAAACCTGTTCCTTAACAACATTGGGAGACTGAGAAGAGAAGAATCGTTGGCAAGTGACCCAGCTTAAGTGTTACAGATTAATCATTTACGTTCTTCCACCTTAAAAGACAAGAAGAACAAGTAAATGTGCTGCCTTGTGGAAAATGTTTTTCAGAACTTGTTCTTCAGTATAGATCTTGCCGAACTGGTACACTGGAGTAGTTGACCAGAGTATTTTTCAACATTCGGGTACACAGCCACGTATCACGTGTTATTTCGCACGTGCTATCATAATGACGGTCACCACACGGTTAACAATGATTGCAAAATGTTACTATGTGAAAGGCCATTTTTGGGTCTTTCGATGGAGGTATACCTTAATTTGCTAGTACTGTCTAGTTTTTCTACGTTTTGCTAAAGCTTTCTGTTATCGATCTTTCACGGTTTAACGGACGGTCAACCATTTTACAAGATGAAAAATGTTAGCCTGTTAGGCCATCTATTTTCTCTTCAAAGTCCGTCGAGCGCGTATGATTGTACTGTACTGCGTACGGGCTTAAAAAATGTCAACATAGATTACTTTTTACAGGGGCAGCCAACGACGGTTTCCAGGGGCACCCAACGGGAAATTTTGAGAAAAAGACCTAAAAACAACAACAAAGCGTGAATAAAGTTTTCTGAGACTATTTTAAGCATTTTGGGAGATTGCTGGAAAAAAATTATCTGTTCCTCACTCCCTGCAAGATTGATGAAAAAGTTCCCAGCCAGCAACCTTACAATCTGCAACCTGACTTACTGGGAAGTTTCATAGGGCACAATTCAGATCTCAGGTTTCCAGGGGCACCCAACGGGAAATTTTGAGAAAAAGACCTAAAAACAACAACAAAGCGTGAATAAAGTTTTCTGAGACTATTTTAAGCATTTTGGGAGATTGCTGGAAAAAAATTATCTGTTCCTCACTCCCTGCAAGATTGATGAAAAAGTTCCCAGCCAGCAACCTTACAACCTGCAACCTGACTTACTGGGAAGTTTCATAGGGCACAATTCAGATCTTGAGTGGTAAGTAACCCATACAAGTAACCCGTAGCAGCTATTCTAGACTTCAATCCCCTCTGACACCCTGAATTATCTTTTTCCCAGCAACACTTTCCTTCCAAGGACTATTATTTCTTTCACATCTCCCAGCCGGCAAAAGTCTGCCTGAAGAACAGATATTTTGAGGAACAGATCCATTGGGTGCCCCTGGGTTTCCTCCTAAATACATTGAAAACACTTTTTAGGCTATCCAGAGTACTTCTAGTTTTTCGGAAATTCATTCTTATCGGCGCTATAAAACTTGCCATTTTTGCTGGTCAGGTCTTTATTCGGCATATTCGTTTGCGGTCCTTTGCAGTACTTTGTGCTTATTGTTTGTACTATAAAATTCATATACGTTCTGTCATCCTCGGGCAGCTTCACTCTTTTCGAAATTACCAGGGCTTCAGTGTTATTTTCCCGAAAATTTTAGATGCAATTTTAAATTTCACGAAAGTGAGAATTCTTTTTATTCCTCTTTCCATCGCATTTTTGAATCCGAAAATTTTAGGTTTCCTTTTTCTGCGAAACTAAGAAGTGAAAAGCGAAAAATCAACCTTCAGAAAATCGTAGGGACCTTATTAGATAAGCTTCGAAAATTGTACATGAGTGGAACGGTTATCCAGAATTTCCTAGCCTTCCTCAAGGTATAGAAGTTACTGGGCAATTTATAATTCTCCGAACAGATATTTTACAGAAAACTATATGGGTGCCCCTGTTTTTACAACACTGACGGTAAACCACCAAATAGTTTGTTGGCCAAAAGGAAAAGAAAAATTTTCAGCTTAAAAAGTTCACTTTCTAAACTACACACGTTCTCTGTTTTAACATGATAAACTTTATATTTCGTCTATTTTTATTTTATTTTTTCTGAGGCTTTGAAATGGTCAACCGTCTGGCAGATCGTGACTGACAGGTAATGATTAGTTTCGCAAACATGTGTGCGACAATTTGAACATTCTTGGGAAATTTCTTTCAATAAAACTTGAGAAATATGGTCCTCACATCTTCTCATAGGGCTCGCAGATGATGAGTTATTCGATGAGAAGATTATGCGTGGTTGTGGATAGTCAGTCATATCAGTACCGCGAAAGTGTGATTCTGTGGTTTCCGCATGGTGTTGACAGGTATGTGATCGCGTGGTTGAACTGCACTTTTCGCCAAAATATTCTGTGCCAGCCAGACGACGGTGTTTAGCTTTGCTGATTGTACCTTGAGAAAGCAACTCTCGACGATGGAAAATTGCATGGATCTGGGTCTAGTTTCAGCGAGCTCTAATGGCATTGAAACATAGACCGGTTTTTGGAGATAAGAAGGTGATAATTTGTGTCAGTTTGTTGTCTACTCCAGGCAAAATCCTGTCGTTAATCGGACCACGACTATTTCAGTTGTTATGTAAGCCTCAACGACAGGGGCACCCAACGAGAATATAGTTCAAAACCACTTAAACATAGAATTGTTAAACGTATTTTAGTATTTAAACGGTAAATAAAGGCATATTTTTATCCCCTAAAAATTTTTCATCTGTTCGGATTTCCTAGCTGAAAGTCTAGAGATCCGAAAATTATAGGGATCAAAACTTAAATTCTCGAAAATTTCAGCCAGAAAAAAGGCTCCCGAAAATTCTAAGTGACCTTTTTAGGGTAAAAATCCGTTAAAAATAGGCAATTATACCATTTTTTAGATATTCGAAAATCCTAGGAGAGGCAGGCAAGCAAGAAATTTTACAACAAATGTTCCGAAAATTCTAGATCTCAAATCGTCTTCCGAACAGATATTTTTCCGAAAATTGTCGTTGGGTGCCCCTGTCAACGAGGCACTCTTCCGTTGCAGTTCACTGTACTGAACATTTTCTAGACTAAATGGCACCGGTTTGAAGCTTCACGAAGTCAGATTACTGAATAAATGTTCTAAAATTGGTATCATTTTTTAAAAATGTGGACTCGTTGGAATGTTTCTAGGGACCACTAACTTACTGCCCGTCGTCAGATAAAGGCTTTTAATCGGCCTTTGAATGAATTTTATAGTTTTTAAATTGCCAAGTAGTAGAATGAGTTGATATATTTTGCTAACCCGGTTTTCAAAAATGCAGGCCAAATGCAAAGGATGGAAGTTATAATACATGTAGAGTTGTAATTCGGAGTTTCACGCACCAAGGGATGGTAACAAAAAATATATATTCCCAACTGTAAAATCAGCCTTGCTTCTTTTGTTCCATATTTTAACTTACAGCTGATTAGGTCCCTTATTAGGAACCGGTCCTTCTTTTTTGTAACGTTGGTCAGCTGGTTGGTCCTTGCTTCCAAAATTTAAGCGATTAGGGCGCGCGCGTCGAAAGTCACTTCGCGTGCGAGCCTGTCGCGCTTGCTCGGAGACAAACAAGCTGACTTCTCCATTTTCAAACACTTTGAACTTCCATATGATTTATTAATCCGTAAAATGATGGTTTAGAATCAAATTTGAAAAGTTTATTTTATGAGAACGCAACCAGAAAATTTTTAAAATTTGTCTCAACCACACCAGAATAGCATTCCCATAATGCATTGTTGGCACTCCTGACCTCGGTGAAATGTTTCTTGTGGAGGGAGTGAGTGAAATTCAAGTTGCGTTACCTTCAATATTTGTCTTTCAGGCTGTCAGATTTGCTGATAATCTTGCGTTCTCATTTTATTCGTCCTAGTTGCCTGCTCCACTGGAGATAATCAGTTCCATTATTTTCTCGGCTCCTGTTTGCTTGGCGGTATGTCGTACAATTTCGTTGGAGATGTTTATGATCGAACAACGCCGATCGAAATGACCCAAGTAAACCCCGAACCAGCTTTGCCCGCCAAACCCATTGACGGATTGCAAGTCCCAGAAATCGAGGATTTTTCCCATATATCTTTCCATCAGGTAAAAAAATCAATTTACGTAAACTGTTAAATTTTTTCTAGTGGCTATGAATCTTTTAATGTTTTCCTGTTTTGCAGAATTTATTACAGCATGAGGCAATGTCGTGTAGGACGTTTGCTCTTTGCGACCTGGAATATTCGAATGTTTTTCTCGATTTCTTTAAATGCTGTCTTCAGGCAGTATCAGAAAAACTTTATTTAACTAATCATTCTCAATTTTTGCCATCTAAATGTATGCAAGAAATGAATTTTCAAGCTAAAAGCAATTAACATAAAGCAAAGACAAATGTAAACACTAACGTCCATAGGTCAAATATTGTACTATACTGCTATCCTTCGACTTTTTTTTGTCGAAATCCTTTTAGTTTTAACCTTGCTGTTTAACGGAAGAATTTACGCGAGCCAGATGATCTATGTCTGGTTGTTTATCTTGAATTCTTAGCTGTAGGGAAATGAATTGAAATGAAAACAATGCGTAGTAAAGTCTTTCCTTCACATGTAGTATTAGTCACTAGTCTACTGTTATTTTTGCTTTATAACGTTGTTTTGCTGTTTACAACTCCTCTAGTATTGACCAGTATCCTCCGTTGCTACAAAATCAGCTATATTGATTTTAATAGAGCAAGTTGGAAGTATTATTAATTTCGTGTACTGTATTAAATGCATAAATTACACGTAGGAGACGAAAATATTCTGGATTCTCTCGGTTGGATACTGGACCTTGTGTTTTCGATATAAAACGTTCTAATTTCTTCTAAGTTTAAGAATTTAACGGCTTTTTGTTTTCGCAATCGTAATTAAAGTTTGCTTTGTATGGCAAGCTGATCGGTCGCCTTGGTAATTCACATTACAAATTTTCCTAAATATTATTATTCATTCAAACACATTCCTTGGACAATATATGCAAGTCGAGTGTGATAAAAATAGATATCATAAATGATAAAACAAACAGAGGACAGAGCAGCGGTTGTGATCTGTACCAAATTATTGCAAAAAATAGGGCATATTTATTCTTTTAGCACTTACATGAAACAACTGGAAGATTATAAACAATCAGAAATAAATAACAGGGTTCAAAGTTAGTGACCAGTTGGTGGAACATGCCAGTAGATTTTTTTCAGTGCACCTACAAAATCAATACGGGGTCACCATACACTTGCATACATAAAAATCCCAAGTTCAGTATGACTGACTTACTGCACTGAGCTCATACAAGTATGTACTCAGACTGCTTGGACACAAGACAGTAGGGCCATTTATACGAGGAAAAACAAGACGCGTCTTACATAAGACGCGAACTGTACCATTTATACGAGCATGTCTTATCTAATAAGACGCGTCTTAGCTAAGCGGCATCTTATTTTAGACGAAATGTGCCATTTATACGGAAAGTTCGCGTCTTATTTAAGACACGTCTTAGGTAAGGCGCGTCTTATTTTTCCTCGTATAAATGGCCCTAATATGCTTGAAATAACAAGCGCGCTCTTAATTAAAAATGTTAAGTTTTGCTTGCTTGGAGATTAGATAAGAAATGAGGAGGCGATTAATTCTACAAGAAACAGGATTTCCTTGCTAAGACTTTTTCACTTTTTACTTTATCGATGGGATATTAACTTTTTATATTGTATTTGACGATTTGTTCTGAGCTAATTGAGTACTCGTGTATAAATACATGAAAATCAACGGTCTTGATTTGAGAGAAATTTCATCATTGCCAAAGAACGAAAATGTGATGAACATGGCGCATCATTTCAACCATCACCAAAAAAAGCTCATCTCAAGACTCATTTGCATACAATGAAAGTTTACATTACCCAACCAGTTTGAGGTATTAGAACTGCTATAAAGTCCAAAAATGATCATGCTTATAAAATCGCTTATTTGAAATGTAAGAGAAAGCCAGAAATGTGGAATTATTGAATTGTTGAGCCTGCGATGTAAATCGGAAATAACACCTTAGGTGTGAAAATGATGACACCTTAGATATCAATTTTCTGCAATCTCCGCTCTCGCTTAATAGGCCTTTGTAATTTTATTTTGCAAAATTCTTAATCATTTGAGAAATAAATTTTTCAGATCTGTTATAAACCCTTCCATTTAATGGAAGGGTTTATAACAGATCTGATACCTTAATTCTAAATCCTCAACGTCAAAGTTTTGCTCATTAAGACTCTTCTTTTTTTCGACCACTGAAGTATTCACTTTTTCCAAAGTAAACAACACTTTCAAGCGATAGAGTTTGTGGACTGACCCGCTCAAGCGAGACTTATAAATTCAAATATTACAATCTAACATTTTCTCTGCATCAGCATGTGTGTCTTTTGTTGTTTCCACTTGTAGTTTCTCCAAACTTGGAGTTCCATTTGTTTTTGGTGGGGAATTGCAAGAAAATTTTGAAAAGGATGCACTGTTTTTTTAAGGAACCGAGAATGACAGAAAAATATGAATGTTGCATTACTTTCCCAAGGACTTTTGTCCTTGATTGTTATTGATTGTTGTTGATAAGTTTCGAAAATTGCAGTTGAATGGAAGAGTCAACTAGAAACTCTTAGCCATCCTCAGGTAATAGAAAATTCTAGGCAATATTTGTTTCTCCGAACAGATATTTTACACAAAACAGTCGCCGGCACCCCTGAAGGATCCAATGCTGTATTGTGTTCATCGCCTAGAGACATTATTTCATTATTTTATTATTTTTCATTATTTCATTGATTATTATTTCAATTTGCAATTCTAGTAGAGTTCACTGTTATATGCAGGTGGCTATACATTTAAAAGAGTGCTGTGTATAAATAATGTAAACTATGGACTTGGAAATTTTCCCTTCATGGTTTTTTTCAACTTTTGATAAAGAGCAGTAAGTGAAAGAGGGCCTTAAAATAAAGTAACTTACCAAGTTTTCAAGGAGATGCATTTGAAGAGAGCAAAAATACATTGCTCCACAAAATGTTGAAATTTTACTCCACCATACAAAGTCTGTAGAATTTAGCAACTTTGCAGAACTATATCTTGGTTAATTTTTAACAAATCTTTTTCAAACTTAGCAAATTTAATGATTTTAAGGTGTTCTTTCCAGCCATGTTGACAGATTTTCACTAACTGAGCCCAGTCAAAAGTTCAATAAACCATGAAAGGGTCTATTCCTTGAAAGGGCTTTATTCAGTGTTCCGTGTAACTAGACCAACGCCTCCCTTTGGAGAGTAATGCACCTATCAATGTAAAGCCGGCGGGGGGGGGGGGGGCAGGGCATGGGGTGGGGATTTGTTTGTCTTTGTTGGCCCTGGGTTAGGGCATTTGACTGATCCTGTTCTCCCAGGGAGGGATATTTGAATCTTTCTTCGCCCGACGTTGAGATATTTGACTGCCGACTCGGACAAAAGAGACTGAGACCGAACATATGTTTCCCGCTTTCACGCTTCACGCATGCGCCGTACGGTTTGAAAAGATCAGGAAATCATGGAGGCCAATGAGAACAAGCGAAGGCTGAGTGGATTTCACTGTTTTGTCTTCAAATTTCGTTTGTTTTAGCGTGTTAGTGATCAATTGAACCTCTTAGAATACTGTGATATCAAAGTAAACGGAAGTAAAGAGAAACCAAGTCGATTTTTGCAAGTACAATTGATTAGTGTATGGCTTATTCGCTACATTCACTGTAAACTGATAAAACTGACTTTCTTTGTACCCTTTACTAAGAACACTATATTTAAACAAAATGTGGACTTTCTCCTAAAGGTTTATTTATTCTACGCAGTGTAACACGGATTATGGTTAAAACGTATAATTGCAGCTGTAACAGGAACATGTATCTTTGGTGATGCAGCAACGTTTATAAAAGATTGCAGAGTTTTATTTAGAGATACTTTTATTGTGCCTTTCTTAGGTTCTGCCTTTGGATTGACAGCAATGTGCAGCCCGGGGTGGGGAAATTTGGTTGCATTTGACTGGAATGATTTGCCCGTGGGCAGGGAATTTGATTGAAAATTTTTGAAAAAAGTCAAATCCCCACCCTATGCCCTGCCTCCCCCTCCGCTGGCATTACATTCATAGGTGCATAAGGCACAATAAAGATATACTATTATACTATACTTTACAATTGGCTCAGATAATGTGGTTCTGACAAGCGTTCTATCCCAGTTAGTAATCTACTTAGTTATGGTTTCTGTGGTGTTGTTTTTTTGATAGGCTGCAAGAGATGGCAAAATTGATCTTATTGTACAAAAGCTTCGTAAATTTGGAAGACACAAGACAAGACGTTTGAAAGCAATAAATAAATGTGATGAGCATGACATCACTCCTCTTCACTATGCCATTCGATATGGCCATGTAGATGTCGTCAAACTCTTGGTTGAGTATGGAGCAGGTAAACCAGGATTTCAATTTATGTTAAATTGTGTGTGCTACAGTTGTATATCCAATCTACTATAAGATATCTTTGAAGAATTTTATTATATTATCTTAAAATATTCAATAACAGCTGTGACTGCACTGGTGCAAAGATAAGAACTCTTTTACCCATGGTGCCAGAGTTTTTTCTTTCTTTCCTCATTCCTGAACTTCATCAACTCGTGCAGAAGGGTTATCCTAGTTATTTCAAGATTGGACCTCTGGAGCTAGGGCAGTCTGCATGCATCAACTGTAGTACAAAGACCTTCAAGAATTGTGAAAACAGCCGATAAAAAATTATTTGCAAAACTAAAAGCACATTTTTAAGTTAAAAAACATTTACTTGCGCATGTCATCAGCAGTTGAACTGAACTGTTTCTTATAGGTTGAATTTTTAGTTTATAGACAAAATATTCTAAGCATAACAGTGTGAACACAAGTATGTTGAAACATGTCTTGTAAACTTAAAATAATAAGAGTTTTAATTTTAAGACTTCAAGAGACTAGTCGTCCTTTGTTTTGAGATGTGGCTGTAATGTGTGATAGTATATTGGAAGAAAAATAAGACTGAAATGTAAGAATTATTTTCTTCGTCATTATTGTGAGCACCATATAATTTTCAAGAGTATCAACAAGTAGTTTCTTCATGCTTTTCTTGTTTAGACACAGGGATGATTAGAAGGAATTTTTAAAAATACTTTTTCAGAGATTGACAAGCCAGGGGAAGATGGAGCTTTACCTTTGCATTATGCAGCAAGATTTCGCTCAAGTGCCACTCGACAGCTTGCCAATCGGCAAGCCTCACAAGTAGATGCTACTGATGGTGAAGTTAGTTCTGTTGTAGCACCTCTGGCACAGGCTATAAGCAGTAACAGTCTCATTGCAGGTCAAAATGGATTACAGGTTTGGAAAAAAGCTACACAGACTGTCCAACCTTTTGGGTATGTAAAATTGGGATATTTTTCAATGGCCGACGAATCACTCGAGCGCCGAAGGAGTGAGCCACTAGCGGGGTGTGGTGACATGCTCTTCCAGAAAATTTTGAAATCTTGCTCTGAAATGCCATTTTTAGTGTTCTATTTGGACAAGTTTTGTCTAAAATATTTGCTACTGAAATCGAATGTCATTTTCATGGTTGTTAACGTTTGCATGAATTCGGGTACAAATACTTGATTTTATTTTACGTTTTTACAGTGCGGTCTTTTAAAGTTTTCTGGATATCAGTTTTAAAGTTAACACTGTGTTAGGTGTTCTTGTTGAGTATCAAAAGAATTAATTGCATGATAAAATCGGGAGTTTTCCTACCCCGATCGCTCATTGGTCGGGTTTCTTGATTTTCTAGCAAAATTGGGAGAATCCCGACGAGATCAGGATGGTTGGACAGTCTGGCTACTGTATAGCATGCTGGCCTAGCTCTTTCTCCTCTATAGGGATCCCTGTTGCATATTCTAATAACAGGCAAGCTGAAATTAAGGGCCTTACCCTGTAACACCTGTTATGGCTAAGGTCACTGGTTCTGCCCATTACAAACACCTGTTTACGGCTGAGGTCAGTCACTCATTACAATTCATCAAAGTAAAAAGCCACGTTTGAAAGTGGCACTGGAAATTTTTGTACCAGGTTAAGGGTGAATCTTCAGTTGCTACATAGAGCTGCTTGAAATCTTAATGACAGCCCTGCTGACAGGAATGTAGCTATTTAGAGGCAACTGTTGACCCTGGTGGAGGTGGGGGGGGGGGGTGGGGGAACTGCCATATATGGGCTACCATATAATTATGGTATATAGGAATGTGCCAATGTGGAGAGTATGGTTTTCAAGCAGTTTACTCTGGGATGGGGTATATAAATTAGAGAGGTTCGGTCTAGAATATGGTATCATTTTCCAGGAAACTGATCAATGGATGACTAGGGAAACCGGAAATTACCACTCAAAAATACAAAAAAATCAAATTGGTTTTGTTTTGGCTGGACTTTGCTAGTGACCCCAATAGTTTCTGGAGAACAGCTACTCTAGGATAGGGGGGATTTGGGGAGTTTAGTCTAGTATAGGGTAGCAAGGGTATTGTAGTATAGGCTAAGGGTTCCAGGGTCCCAGTACCCCTCCCCGGGCTGTTGACAAATTTCACCAGCTGAAAAAGAGCTAACAAGCTCAAATTGTGCTGGAAAATGAAAACATGGGGGTATAATTTTGTAGGTACAGTTGATAGCCAGCTGCTGACTGGGATGTAGCTAACGTAGAACCCCGCCTTACGGCCACCTTGCTAATATGGTCGCCTCGTTATTGCTGCCAGTTTTTTTTGGCCTGGCAAAATGGCTATACCTTTCCTTAGAAAAAAAAAAACGTTAATAGGGTCACCCGTTAATATGGCCTCGGGCCACATTTTAAAATCCCAAACAATAGAATCCCTTATAATTTCACCCCGTTAATATGATCACTGGTTCAAAATTTTGAAAATTAAAATGCCTGTGACATGTCAATTTTATTGACCTAGTAATCTAAGCTTATTCTCATACTGTTTTTAGACTACAGTACACTTAAAATGCACTGGTGGCGATTTATAGCCAAATTTTAGAAGAGTTTCATGTAATGAAGGAAAATTTTGAGACGTTTTTTCATTTACTGTATGCGATATCTACATTCTGGTCATTTATTAAATGAAAACAGTACAGTGAATGCAATGTGCGGTGTATTCCTGGTGTATTTGTCATTACAGCCCTCAAGTCATGAAATTTGAGCCTACCCCAGTAATATGGCCACCCCGTTAATATGGCCAATTTTTTGGCCCATTAGTGACTGTATTCATGGGTTCCACTGTGTTTAGAGGCAACTGTTGACAAATTTCACCAGCTGAAAGAGAGCTAACAAGCTCAAATTGTGCTGGACAATGGGGGTAATTTTTTAGGTACAGTTAAGTAAAAAGCTTGCTTGACTGATAAATATGTCTACTTAGCTTTTCCTTGGCTACATCCCTGTAGTGAAGTCAAAATTATGAAAAACAGGTAAGCACCTCTTGGGGTATTATGGAGGAGAGAACCTAAATTTTCGCTAAAACTGAGTTAATTTTGTTTAAAAACCTATTTTGGGTAATGTGGGGAAATGTAGGTTCTGTGTAGTGCTATTCTTTACATTTTGTTTCACTTGTAGGCTAATGATGCAGACGAATCTGAATCCTTGATATCATACCTTGTTCAATGTAAAGCAGATTTTAATGCAAGAGACCATTATTTAATGACACCACTTCATTATGCAGCATCCAAAGCAAATCTTACTGCTGTAAAAGAGTTACTGCAGTTTGACGGAATCAAAATTGATGTGAGTTGTTTTAACCATAAAAAATTACAGTCGATTTCCAGTTTGAACCTTCTAGGAAAATAGAAAAAAGTTCAAGTTATTGGGAGTTCTAAGCAAATGACCAGAAATAAGGAAATAAACAAATGGGATCGGGAAGGAATGCAAGTGTCATGAACATTTCACTTCAAGGGCAGCAAGAGATATTTTGAAAAAGGATTTAAGCAAGAAAGCTTTCGAACTGCAGTGCACTATTTTTTTTGGACTTGTCACATCCTTAATTAAACATGGTTCGAGTTATTGAGGGTACCCTGGTCCCAGAGGTTTTTCTCGATTTTTCTTCGCGAAAGAGATCAACAGCAAGCCGCGAAGCGGCGACAACGAGTCGCGTAAGCGACGAGGAGAGAGAGAAAAACCTCTGGTTACCTTGGCCTCGAATCTCACTTTCATGCAGACGACAGCTGTCAAACGCGTCAAATTGCTAATAAAAAGAGTGACCAATGGCAACTTATCAAACACGTGCTTATCAGCCGCTATTTTTTTAAGTGGGGGTAGACCTGGGGAAATTATGTTATGAACAAACCATCTTCACTTGGGTGGTAAAGAGTGATTTGTTAATCGGGGTCAAGCTAAAGCATGTGTTAACGATGGGTGACAAGAGTCCAGGAATAACAAGACCACTTTATAAAGAAACCGACATTGTTTCAAACGAATGCTGCAGGATTTGCAGAATTTATTTGGGTATAATAACAAGTATTTTTCACAAACATTGTCATCTGTTCTGTCGGCAGTGTGCCAGCGGGAAGTTGTGAAGTTTGCAAGAGTCTATCAATCGCGCTTATTACATTGTTTACTTCTGCGGGGCGCGCCGTTCGCGTCGATTCGCGGGCATTCCCCTGAAAATAGTAATATTAATATGTATTCTGGCAATCTGGCTCTCATTTTGGTTTGGTGGCTCCATTTCCTTTTTTTGTGGAACAACGACGCTAGGAAGAGTCATGCAGCACAACAAACCCTTAAGGTTCGGAATGTACTTTCAGAGGTTTTTGTTGGCCCAATAGACCTATTCGGCTAACTCAATGTACCCAATTCAAACCCTTTGGGAATAAAACGTTTTGTTTCAGGAATTTCCATATCATTTAAATGTGAATGCCACATTATAATGCTAATGCAATACACATAGAATCTTATCCCCGGGAGATTTGAATTGGGTACAACATTGAGTTAGCCCAATAGGTCTATGCCAAAAATAGCGTCGGTTAGATCTTTTTTGGGCGTCGCAGGAAAATCAAGCTGCACCGAAAATGATTACGCACTGGCACAAAGTTGTATGTTTTTTTTTCCTACAAGGAAACTTTCATTCCGTATTCGGAGATTTTTTATTTTGCTGCCCTAAACAAGTTAGTTTATTTAATGGAATGACAGCATTGTAACAGAAAATATACTTTCCATGTCCGCTTGATAAAATGGTGAACACATCCTTTCGACTCAACGCAGCGAACAAAGCTTTCTTTTGTTGCTCAGTGAGACTCGGGAAAGCGCTCATTAAGTACCGAGGTCAAAATTTTCTTCGAATATTCTTTCAGGAACAACATCCATGGCGTGCCTCTACGTGCCTTGGTCCCGTGCAAATGTTATTGCGAGTGCAGCATACAAACAATTTTCTTCCCTAGTAGAGAGAGGCAAAAATGAGGTGTGAAAATCCTCAGCGTCCCCTCGGTACTTACAATTAAACGAGCCAATCAAATTGGTTTGCGCGTTTGAAAAACTATCAACCAATCAACGCCCGAGGGTCAGATCCTGACCCTGTCGTCTGCATGAAAGTGAGATTCGAGGCCAAGGTAACCAGAGGTTTTTCTCTCTCTCCTCGTCGCTTTGGCGACTCGTTGTCGCCGCTTCACGGTTTGCTCTTGATCTCTTTCGCGAAGAAAAATCAAGAAAAACCTCTGGGACCAGGGTATATTGGGGGTAAAATTATGTAGAAATGACCTGAAGGGAAACAAAACTAGTTCAAGTTTCCAGGAGATTCGAGTTATCAAGGGTTCGAGTTACCGTTACAGTAAATGACATGGAGGAAATCCAGGGGAAATCAATAATTATTTTGATTCAAGTTTATAGGGGTGAGGTTATAATGAGGCTTCAAATTAGCGGGACTCAACTGTAACATGATCTACAAAATACCATTTTGTATTACTCTTACTTTTATTATCATTTTTCATCATCGTCATTATTATTATTGTTATTATTATTATTATTATTGTTATTACTTTCACATGGTATGGTACTTTTATTGATTCAGTATGTACAGTTGTAGTTCTAACTTTTGAGTCTGTGAATGAAATCCTACTCGGGTGTGACCATTCAAGTGAAACCTCTTCAGCAGTTCTTTTACATATAGAACAATTTGTTTAGGATGCAGTTCTAACTTCGAAGTCTGTGGGCAAACCCCTATAAATAATGTTACACCATTCAAATGAAACCTCCCGACTTTTTCAAATATGCTGTCATATTCTGGTATCTGTAAGTTTAGAAAACTGGGAGTATATTATTGCTGAAGGGTTTTTTCTAGAAATCCAAGAGCTAAATCCTAAATCTAATCTACAATAATTAAAACAGGCAGTGGACACAAGTGGCAGTACTGCTCTTCATTGTGCCGCAACAGATGGTGCCGTAGAAATTGTTAAAACATTACTAGAGGCTGGTGCAGATGCTAGAGCCAAGGACTATGATAAGATGACACCAATACACTTTGCGTGCACTGATGGAAATCTAGACACCGTGAAAACTCTGTTTGAACATGCAGAAAAAAGTTGTGAACTGTCTACCATGCTAGAAGAGAGGAACAGAGATGGTGAAACAGCCCTGCATGCAGCAGTGGAGGGAGGTTATATTGACATTGTACAGCTTTGTTTAGAGAAGGGTGCTGATGTTAGGTCAAGAAGAGCAAATCTTGCTCATCCACTACATATTGCCGCCATTAATGGTCATGTTGAGATTGCCAAATGCTTGATGCAACACCATGCCAAGATCGAAGCACGGAATGTGAACCATGAGACACCCCTTCATAAAGCCTCGCAATCTAATAAACCTAGGATGGTGGAGCTCCTTCTTGAAAAGTAAGTCTGAATTCAGTGAAGTAAGAGTAGTAATAGCGGGACCTGAAGATCCAGTTCAGTAGTGTGGAGAGAAGTAGATTTTTTTGCCGGGCAAGTTACCTAGTGCAAAGCTTATTTGTTCGCCCAATGGGCAAGGGCCCAGTAGTTTTCAATCCAGACTGCTTATTGACATCAGAATATTCTTTTCCGACCATAAATTAAATTATCGTGGAGTCATACTGATGCAAAAAAGTTACTTCATATGTAAGTACTTCCAAAGCCGCAGGTAAAAATAAAAGTAAATTTTCAAAAAAAGGTGCGCTTACTAGCCTGAAATAAGCGTACGGAATGACTGTCATTCAATTTCAGACTACGTGCTTACGATTAGTTTTTATGTCACTCTTTCCGCGCAATTCTGAGAGAGACCGGAGTGTACATTCACGCTTCGTTTGTTGACTTTTTTTTTTGTTCCATTATGAAACAGCAACAAAAGCTAAGTTCATTTTCTACGAAAAAGAGAATGGCAGTTGAATCTGAAAAGCATGAAGATGTCCATTAGGGTTGTTCAAAGTTTGTCCCAGACCAGTTTTGAAATGACCCAAATTAAAATGCCACGTGGGACATATGACCCACTTTGACCAATTTCTAGATTGAAGACTGGTCCAGGCAAGTCTCCTGTAGCTTAATTGTTTACTAAGACAATTAGCAGGAACTGGCCCCTTCCGGCAAGCAAATCTTGCCTTCACCACCCAGAGAGACCCACACAAGAGTAGATACAGGGGCCTGTAGGTTAGCTAGGACCTTAAATCCAGTTTATTGCAAAATTACCGTAAGACTTCAAGACCAGACTTAATTACAAAACACCCTATGATGAAAAACAACTCTCTAAAGAAACAAAGTACGACACCGGCGGATGCGAAAACCCAAAACCACTTTGTAGAGGAAAGGGGATGTATACCCCCTCCTGATGAAATCAGCTGCAGTGTCGACAACTCAGGGGCAGAGGTACGCTAAAAACTAACGACTGCCAAAATGCCCACAGACAAATAGGACAAAATTGGCACATAATATAAAAGTTAGCAGCAAAAATGAATGCTGACCTATACTGATTCGAATTTGCAACGTACAATTAAACATATCTCAGAAAGCTACCCACAATTCCTCCTAGCCGACCCAGTCCTTTAGCCTGTGCCGGCAAAATAACTATTTTTGTCTGTTTCGTTATGCTTCGCTGTCCGAAATACCATAATGTGAGAGCTGCTTGCCCAAAGGACCAGCTGGAATTTCAGTTTCCTTTTAGTCCTGAATATGTCATCAGTCAAGTCATTCATGGCAATCAAAGTTACAGAAATATACATTTCTTAGCCGGCCATATTGTACAGTTATTTGATTTTAGCTCAGATGGTTAATTACTGGTTGAAGCTATAGAGCACAAACTTAGGAAAAATAATCCACTTCTATTAACTTTAATTGAAAATGAATAAATAGAGACGTTATTTCCATGTCGGTAAGAAATAAGAATCTTACCCAAAGGAAAATTTTTATTCCTCCATGACCAAAAGAAGAAGGGAAAAAAGTAAGACAGAGATGTTAAATAACATTTCTACAACATCAAGCATTTTTCACTGGTTTTCTGCAGAGGAGCCGACATTGAATGCCTTGATAAAGACAACTACACTCCACTGCTCGTTGCTGCCAGTGAGGGACATACAAATGTTGTACAGCTTCTGTTAAACAGAGGAGCAAACTTAAAGGCTAAGGATACCCAAGACAAGACTGCAATTTTTTTAGCTGCCGAAGAAAACTCCATCGATACATTAAGGGTATGACGTGTTTAGTTTGAGACTGTACTTATCTTTTTACTGTACCAAATAACATTTAGTGGACAATCCCTTTTACCCAAATGGTTTGACACTTATTAGTCAAAGATTTTCGTTGTCAATACATAGTTGTACATAATTCCACAACATATATGTGGAACCTTGTGTGACAAGGTCGTGACTTTAAGGCCGCGAGCCAATTGTTGGCTTCACACTAGAAGCGAAGTTAGTTTCAAGTAAGTACTTGATTCAAGTGCACTTCGAAATCTTATGTCGCTCTGTAGAAAACATGGCTTCCTACTTGTTAGCAAAGTATATTAATTGAAGCAAAAGCTGTCCTGGAACCGCTACACGTGCGTATCGTGCACATGGCTTCCATTTCTTATTGGTCAAGTGTGTTCTCAAGTGTGGTGTAGACCATACTTGGAGGCGAACTTGGGCTTCTTTGAACTACTGAGGTTTTTATGGTCACCAAGTAAATTTGAAGTAGGTACATTTTACCCCCGTCACACTCAAAGTAGGTTCCAAGTGCACTTACATTATACTTGAAGCTCTAGTGTGAAACCAAAAAAATGATGGTGGAGATACTGTAGAATGCTGAGAATTATAAAAATTAGTTAATATAATATTAATTTCAAAAGAATAAAAATGTTTGGCAGTCCTTCGTAATCATTTTTTGTTATTAAAAAAAGATGCCGTGAAGGAATTTATGATTGCATGAAAAGTACTTTGAATTTTTCTTTTACAGGAAATCCTGAAGCACAGTGATGCTAAAGTTCTTGTGGATGAGTGCGATCTCTATGAAAATACCCCTCTCCATGTTGCTGCTAAAAAGGGATATGCCTTAGTGACTGAGGTTGGACTGTTGCAAAATTTTTTGCATTCGTGTAATATTAGTGAGATAGATCTTTTTGACACAAAATTTAAATTTTAAATGCTTGCTTTTAAAACAAAAATACCGTACTTCTTCATAGATTGGTTTATCATACTGAATGAAGAAAAATTTTCAGCAAAAAGCGGCTGCAAAAGTTCTCAGAAAGATGAAAGCCCCAAATGTCATGGGGCAGACATTGCCGCCCTGGTGTACACGTTTTTGTGAATTGGGAACAAACCAATCTGTGAAGATATAATAATTGTTTTAAATTTGTTGAAATTAAAGGTATTAAAAATAATTGTAATTTTACTTGGCATTAGTAAAAAGGTCGTGACATTGTCGTTTGCATTGAATGATGATTATGGGAAACATTTTACGGACATCTAAACTGGGCTGTTGATTGTGATTTTTAGGCATTATTGAGTCATGGTGCCAGGATAGATGCAAGAAATGAAGATGAGAATACTCCTTTGCATTTGGCAGCAGAAAATGGAAAAGTAAGGTAATACTATATACAGCTGTATTTACCCGTTTTATCCCTTAAACCATCATTCATTTGATTAAGTGCGCAATTAACCTCCAATAAACGCCAGGTTACCTTTATCATTATTGCGATCGACCGAGTGGTTTCTGATGTGTTTGACGTTTACTGAATTTCTAAAACGAGAGAAGAAAGTAAATAATAAATATCAAAATTTAAATGTTCCACAGATTTAGGTTACTCGTCTGCAGTGATTTTGTTACCTCGGCGTCCTGGGTCCCTAATGACAGATGCATAGAAATCCCCAATGACGCAAAATAATTCATGGCATGCGTCCCGTAGGACGACAGATATGAACATCATATTTGTAGAAATATCCCGTTCGTGTAATTTCTGTGGCAGTTATTATGGCCGTTGTTTAACGATGTATATTTCTTTTAGCCTTTATATATTAGAAGGACTATATTTTAATTTCAGTATACTGTAATACAGAGTTTTTGGAGTCTGTCTTCAGATTAACTGTCTGGTTACATGAAGGCCCCGGCCAAGCATTTTCAATTTCGAACCCGTTTTTTTTTTTTGAACTGGGACTCATTGGTTCTGGACTGGGACTCATGATTTTTAACAAGATGATTCCCAGGACTCGCCATAACTATTTGTAACAAAATCACTGATGTTTTACGTAGGACTGTAGTTGAACTTCTTAGAAAAGATCCTTCAATCATCAATGATGAAGATGAAGCCTCAAACACAGCACTCCACCTTGCGGCAACTGAAGGTCACTTAAAGTGCTGCAAAGAATTACTAGAGCGAGGAGCTGAAGTGGACGCAAGGTTGGCTAGGGTGTTTTTTCTTTAACTGCAGCTAATAAGGCCCTGGGACATTGTTTAAAGGAGACAACGTATTGAAGTGATTTTTCAATAGTTTATTTTTGCTAGTTTTAGATAAAAACAGGCGCGGATCTAAGGAAAATACTGACCGATTTCCTAATTTTCTTAGGCGTGCCGCCCAAGGAAAATTTTTTCGATTTTAAGTTCCTAAAGTTTCCCTTTCCTGGGTTTCTGAGTCATTCAGACAGGATATAGGCCAGTTCCATTCTTCTCGGATGGAGCCTTGCAACTTGGGAAGTTTTTTTTCTTTAATATATCTATATTATGAAAAATCTGACCGATTTCCGTAAAACTGGTGTTGATCCGCGCCCGAAGAACTTCTGTGACACATAACGGTATTGGTTAAGTAATCTCTGTGCCAGATATTAGGGACGTTAAGATCCGAGGACGGCGATGCGGTGAAAACGTTGCTTGACAGTTTGCGTTCAGGGTCAGCGATGATTCTGATTTCCAGCAAAGCTTTTGAATATAACCTTAATTAAAGTAATGGTAAATTCATTTAAGAATGACTTTGTCGCTGTCGGTGTAATATAACTGCAAGTGTCACACTGAGTAAACTATTTTGATTGCTTCATTGCTCAGATGTTATATGTGCTTTAGAAAAGTCCAAAGAATCCGCATATTATCTCTTGTTCGCATGTGCTCTCCGTAGCTTTTATACAGTCGACATCCCGGTAACTCGAACCTCCCGTTAACTCGAAGCAATTTTTATTCCCCATCAGATTGTTTTCTATATAATGTTACCCTCGATAACTCGAGCTCCCGATAACTCGAACTTCTTTCTATTTCCTTTGAAGGTTCAAATTATCGGGATTCTACTGTATGTATATAAACAAATCAGCATCTTTCATTTGTTCATTTATGTCTCTATTAAATGTCTCTATACTGACCAACTGTTGCGCATGAGTAGTCATTAGTAAGCACTTTTTTTGCATGCTACTGTTTAATTGAAGGAACTCGACATTATGGACCCCATTGGATTGTGCTGCAGCCAAAGGCCATTTGAAAGTGGCTAGTCTGTTGCTGGAGTTTGATTCACCTATTGATCCCACAGATAAAGCAAAGGTAAACAAACAAATATGTGTACCCTCTTGTTGGTATTCTGCGGTTACAGTAATATTTTCCATGATCTTCCCTTATATATTATTGCTTCTAGTTAGTAGTCAACCGTCCCTTTCTAATCTGTGATTACCAGGCGTCAGTTTTATTACGAAGTGTGAGTAAATAGAGAGCTTTAGATTCTAAAACGAGGACGACCACGAGTGCGAGATTTTCTCAATAGTAAGTAGTACGCTCGCTTGAACCAGCGTCATTACGGCGGAAAACGCGATAACCGTCGTCATTCTACTACGAGTTTTAGCGAGAATCTCGAAGTGGCGGAAAGAAGTTATCAAATGTTAGAAGTTTTACCATTATGCGATCGGGAGAGGGTTTAACCACCTGCAATCAAGGTAACAGTGCTAACCTTTTCGTCCTCGAATCTAATGCTAGGCTACTCACGTTTTGAAGTTTACTCTCGCTTTGACAAGTTCTGACTTAAGAGCTCTGTACCCTGTTTATATGAAAAATTGTCTTTGTTTTTACAGACTACTCCACTGCACTTGGCTGCAAGAGAAGGACACCCTGAAGTTGTATCCCTGTTACTGTCCAAAGGAGCCGACATAACACTTACAGACCACACAGGGCGAAACTGTCTTGATTTAGCGATAGATAATGGTCGCAAGTATGAAGTGATTGTTGTTACACCTGTTACCACCACAAAGTACACCCGAGCGTAGTCTCCAACATTTGATGATATCGGATAGAATACAATAACTTTTGTGTGTGATCTCAAATTCTTTAAAAAGTCTTGAAGGGGAAACCAAGGACCTTAAAATATATGTATAGGCAATTTTAAGCTTCGAATTCTTTAATTATGATTGTTTGTTTGAGGAGCTATATTAAAGTCGCGATACAATGGTCCATCTCGATATCCTGACAACCCGAACATGGTATGCAAAAAGAAACGCCGCTACATTTCGATTTTAACCTACGTTTCAGTGTCTAGGTATCACATTATTTTTGTTTTCGTGTAAAAATACTTCCTTGTGTAATATATCACCTAAACATGAAATTGCCTCCTTCCAAATCTTTTAGTGTTTCGGTTCTGTTCTCGCATAATCAAACGATATACAATATCGTATCTGCTAAAAATATTATTTGCTAAAAGTATTTGACCGTGGTACACTAACTTGTCTTCCTCTGTTTTGTGTTCTACACTTATGCCCCAGCTCTTTAAATTTTGTGTTAAGCTACGCAATCCTTTATAAGGCATCTTTTTGGTTTTAGGGAAGCAGCACGTGCTATTGTCAATGATGAAAACTGGATGCAAGCCATGCGGAACAAGACTTGGGAACAACGTCGTGTAACCACACCAATGAGGAAACTAATTATTAAACTTCCTGGTATGTTTAAACCTTTAAGCCCTAAGAGTAATCAGCATCAAATTTCTCCTTGTAATCTATATCAATGCTTTGTAAAACAGAGTGGTCATGAGAATTACGGACATGATCACACAAGATGAATTTGCTTGATATTTTATCAACTTCTCCCCACTACTTCTGTAGGAAATGAATAAGGGCAACAAATGAGAATTCAAATTTTGATCTAAGGGTTTTAAGGGTTAACGTCATATGGGGATTTAATATTATAAACTAAAATGACTGCTTTTCTGTAAAGATCCTTAAACCATTTTCAAAAAATGCGGCAATAATGTGAGCAGTTGCTCTAATCATCATATTTTTTTAACTGGAAGACAGGAGATGTTCCTACCATTTCTTATGTATTCTCTTCCTATTTTGTTTTGTGATCGATGAAAGATGGAATAGTACCTGGGATTATCAAGCTTTCTTTCGCAGTAAAGGACATACAATCATCATATGATTAAGTCCATAATACTCAGACACAGGCAGATTTGGTTTCCCAAAGATAGCAAACTTTATAATGCAAAATGCGGAGCTTTAGATCTATTCCTTTGATGTTCCAGTTTGACTTTGAGTTTCCTTCCCTGTTCTGTGAAATTCTGAAAACTATGCGCTTCTCATTCAAATTGGTCTTTTTATTTGTTCTTGTCTCTTCAGAAGTGGCAGAGATCGTATTCAACCGCTGTATCAAAGAAAGTGGTGTTAATACTGAAGACGAAAACTATCAGATCACCCTCTATTATGAATTCTTGGAAGACGTGTACTCTGACTGGTTAGATAACGATGGAACAGCATCCGAGACTTCCAGTGTGGCGAGTTTCTCCATGGAAGATGAAACTCCAGAAGACGATATGTATCAGAGACTCAGAGGCAAATCTGCAATGGAAGAGGCTGTTAAGCAGCTGGAAGAAAAGAAAAGCCATCCGCTGATGATTATGGTGAAAATACGTGTTCTGATAATTTTTAGGGTACTAAAGTGACCTAGTGTGTGTGTGGAGGGGGGGGGGGGGGGGGAGAGGTGGATTCGTCCAGAGTGAAAGTGACAAGTATGATCGAAGGATTTGCGGGGGTTTAAAATTTTCCCTTCCGGGATTTTTCGGGTGGGAAAATTTGGCAAATATATTTTTGGGTGCCCTGATTTAGTAGGGTCTTTGTGGTTATTCGAAACAATCTGAAGATTGGTATAGTAACGCGCGCGTATTCCGGCCGTGTAGTTCTATACTACCAGATGACAAAAACATAAAATTGACACGGTACGATGGCTAAACAACCCCAAACTTTTAACTACCTTTTTTTGTTTTTTGGCGTGTCATATCATTTAATCCTTTATGGAAAAATTTTAGGGCTTGGACATTGGGATTTTTTGGGGGGTAGTAAATGTTTCATCTAGGTGATTTATTGGGTTTCCATTGAAGTCCTAGGGATCTGTGTGGGGGGGGGGGGGATTCGATTTTTCCTCTATTTGATCATCCCCGTCACTCCGCTGTACCCCCTTCCCCGGGTGTGGCCATTTTTGTGGCTTGGGTTCATATGCCGGAGGAGAGGTCATTTGTGGGTTGAGTTTGTTGTTGACTCCCGTCGGTGATCCGTGCGGGTCTTTTAAATTCCATAATCGATTTTTTAAAGACTCCATGGTGTAAAATGAATAACAGTCGAATGTTTTCCTCATTGTTACAGGTAAAGAACCAAAGAGAACAGTTGCTTGGTCATCCCCTTGTCACCTTTCTACTACATTACAAATGGCAGACGTTTGGAAGATACATCTATTACTTTAAGCTCTCTCTTTATATAATTTTCCTGTTTTTCTTGACTGGTTATACTGTCTACTCCACTGATAACGCCCCAAATTGCAATAAAACAAACGCTAGTGTGAGTAATGACCTAAAAGACTCTGTTCCGTATTTGTTATGGATAGAGGTTGGCCGTATTGTGATTTTGGCATTAGCATCCTGGCACATACTCTCTGAGGTAGGTCGTCATACGCTGTATTGTGACTACAGTTTTACCTGACTGTACTTGATGAAGAACGTTAGGCCTTGGTCAGACACGTTACTAAACACGAGCAGAATCGAATTCCATTTAGGCCGATCCAAATTGAGTTAGACCGGCTGAATTGATTCAGACGCCGAACTTTATTGTAACCGAACCAAATTCAAAAGATTAGAAGTGCGCATTGGATTTTAGATACATCATAAGGAGTTTTAGATTTGGCGCGGCGACTGAATCAATGTCGGTTCCCAGCCTTCATTACACGGCCATTAACAAATAATCTCCTGGTAATAAGAACCGAAATATCACGCTATCGGTCTGATTGTTGTGTAATTCTTACATATACATTTTAAGGTATACTTATATGTTAGGGTTCAATAGGGCCACTTACACGAGGAAAAATAAGACGCGTCTTACATAGGACGCGTCTTAAATAAGACGCAAACTTTCCGTATAAACGGCACATTTCGTCTAAAATAAGACGCGGCTTAGCTAAGACGCGTCTTATTTTAGAACAGCCCTTAACACCTGTTCTTAGATAAGAAGCGTCTTAGCTAAGACGAGAAAAACTTCGTATAAATGACCTTCGCGTGTTAAATAAGACGCGAACGCATAGTACGCATGCGTTAATTTTTGGCGCGCCACGTTGGATTGCCGTTGCTACGGGCAACATTCACATAAAAACAAGTCAAGAACAGAAATAAGACGCGAACCATTTATATGAGCTGTTCTCGTCTTAGATAAGACATGCTTATATAAATGGTACAGTTCGCGTCCTATTTAAGACATGCTTATATAAATGGTACAGTTCGCGTCCTATTTAAGACGCTTCTTATTTTTCCTCGTATAAATGGCCCTATTATCTTGTTATATTTTCTTCGTTTGGTGACAGGTAAAGGTACTAAAATTTCCCGACATATTTGACATTCTTCTGAGAAAACCCAACCTGAAGAGGGGAACGATTTTCATGATTTGTGAACGTGGCCTTTTTTAGCCTTGGGTAAACGTACCTCATGTAAACCAAGCCAGGAAACGTAATAAAACAGAGTATACCTTCCTCTGCCTGTCCCAGGATGTCTGTCATATGAACCTAGTTCATTGGCGTTCGCTTTGATGCGTCTTTTGTAGCGTAGTGGTAGAGCATCTGGAATGTTAAGCAGACGGTTAAAACCCTGTTGGAAGATCATAGTCACGGATGTTTTCATTCCGATTCGCCTGTGTCCCCGGCGTAGTAGTAAATGTACTAGGCTTTTCTCCTGTGTGTGCTTTTTCATTTTTCAGATCAACATTGTTACATGGGAATGCCTTTTATTTTTTTCTTTCAGTTATTCCAAATGTTTTACCAGCGCAGACAATATTCTATTTTTGAAAACCTATTGGAGTGGGCTGTGTACGTGCTGGCCATTATTTATGTGGCGGATGAATTTGACGTTCCCTTGGTAAACAGGTAATTTTACGACTGATGGGTCAGTGAAGCTGACCCAGTCTAAACTGGTAACTCCCCATAACTATCAGCTCGCCTACCGTATTTATTCAAATAAGCGCCCAACCTCGAATTGGCGTCCACCTCGAATAAGGGCCCATCCTAAAGGCAGAAAACGTTAAAATAAGCGCCCAGCCTCGAAGAAGCGCCCACTCTCACTCAAACTCAAATAAGCGCCCAGTCCCACTCAAACTCAAATAAGCGCCCTAGCAATCCATGACCTAAGACAATGATGACTAGTTTCTGCTGTGCTCAAATACCTGCTTAGTTTAAACTCTGCCCATTATTATTCACTTGCTTGGCACTGATAAAAAAATTTAGTGGAATTTTCAAAGTCGGTGTTATTGTCTTATGTATTTTCTTGTGTGTTCCACAGATGTAGTGAAGACAAACAAACCATTGGAGCATTATCAATTTTCTGTGCCTGGATGGCCCTGGTGTTGTTCATAAGAAAGTTTCCCAGGCTTGGAATATACGTTGTGATGTTTACCAGTATAATGTATACATTCACGAAGTTTTTCCTGATATTTTTGCTGTTCCTGGTAGCTTTTGCTTTGGCCTTTTACACCTTGTTGAAAGACGAGGTCAGTAACATGGGCCTCATTTAGGCCCCGTCCACGAATATCTGTTTTTGTTTGAAAACCAGCGGTGGATGCAGACCTTCAGATAAGGGTGGGTGGGTAGGGGGGCTTGTCAATCAGACCCTGAGATAAGGGGGCCGGGGCGGTCTCAAAAAATTTTTTTCGGCCCCTCGGGCCTTAGTTTGGTTTCAAAATAAGTGGGGGTGTGGGGTGGGGCGGGTCCCCCTGGCCCCTCCCCTGGATCCGCCATTGAAAGCGGAGATATTTCCTCTGGTTTGGCCTACCGTTCTTAACCCTTTTAAGTCCCAATGGTGACCAACATCAATTTTCTCCTAACAATACGTTGTCAAGAGAACTGGTTACGAGTATTAATCAAATGATCTCGAAAGCACATCTTTTTTAAAACGTTCTGCAGATTCGAGATTTTTTAAAACGCCGTTTTCTGCACTCCGTGAGGATGGACGGAGTTTTTTTGAAAACGAATACGTCAAGGTGTTGGATACCAATAAATGCGCATGCTCCCATCAAAGGTGAATTCTAATTGGCTAATCGCGGGAAAGGAATGTGGTTCGATTTTCAGCAGCCGATAGTGGGGAGGAGCGTTGCGTGACGACACCTAAAAACGGCTGTGTAGCGGACTAGGTAGCCCCAAGTTTAATTCCTCGGCCAAGCTTGTAAATAGAAAAACTGATTAATTCCTGTCAGATGGGGTTGGGTTTTTAAAAATGTTTTGATTCATTCAGATTATTTATTTCTGTTTATTTGAGTGGAGTTCCTATTAACTAGCTGGAAACACCAAGTACACTTCCACTATAATCAAAGCTTTACCTTTAACCCTTTCACTGCCAAATGTGGCCAAAGGCATTTTTCGACCAAATTTCCAAATGTCTTTTTCTAAAATTTTGAAAAACAAATAGCACCATGTGAAAGTACAGGCAGAGAGCTTTCATTTGAATGGTCACATCATAGGATTTCGTCAACAGACTCAAAAGTTAGAGTCACCTTACAAAACTCCATCAAGTACTCTGGCAGTGAAGGGGTTAACTTTGACCTTTACCTCGTCCATGTCCCGTTTTTGCATTTTGTATTTGTCTGTTTTGTTTTGCAGTTTCTGGAGGGGTTATACTAACTTTTTAGTCAATTGAGTGCTCGGTTGAAAAGTGCTGTAATTTTCCAAAATTTCATTAACTAGCTTGCATAGAGGCAGTATGATCATATCATGCAATTAAGCTCTTAATACAACAAAGCAACAAGTCATTGCTTTGCAAAATAATCTCCTGTCGATCTGTTTGTTTTTTTTTCCAGCCGGCGTTTCAAAATCCAGCCCGTTCTATCGTGAAAACAGGAGTTATGATGATCGGAGAGTTTGATTTTGACGATATTTTTAACGACAACGACAAGGTCGTTCCTGGAGTGACATGGTTTATTTTCATTGTTTTCTTGATTATCATGACTCTCATCTTGATGAATTTGCTGGTAAGATTTTTGATGACATTCATTTCACATGCATTAACTTTTTTTCCTATGCTAGCGTTCAAGAGTTAGCGGCGTGGGTTTCATATCAAGTCTGATGGCCATCCTTTCCATCCATTGCTCATTTATAGTGGTATATTGCACGTCGATTATCTCCTTATTTCCATGCCGAGGATGTCTTTGATTTTAGGGGAGGTTCATATTACAGGCCATAACAGGGCTCAAAAAAGTCCCGTCCGGTAGTCAGACACAAATAGATTTTCCTTCTGGGCAAGTAACTTTTAACGTTTACTTGCCCAATGGGCATGGGCCCAGCAAGTCATCCTCTAACAAAACCAATAACTAAGATGAGCAAGAAATGGCCCCGGGCAAGCAAAGTATGAGAGCCCTGACAGCCTATTGTTCTTTTCTCGTCTGACTTGCGCCTTTTTGCCTCATTTTGTTGTTGTTGTTTTCGGGTTATGTCATCTGAGCGAACCAGTTCTTCTCGATTGCGTCGCCGGCGCGGATTTCCCTTTCGTGAACCGTCGTTGCCATTTTGAGGATGATTAGAAAATAGACCATTTTACCGTGTAGTTTGCACTATCTTAAGGTTTCGTTATACTGATCGAGGTTCTTTTCCATATGTTTTGTTATTACTGAAGAGTATCGTTCATTATTATTCATTCAAAATATTTCGCCGTTTCTGATTGGCTCAAAGCCCCTAACTGATTCCTCATAACCAACCAGCATTGACCGAATTTGAAAGATGCGAGCAATGTGCCATAGATTCGATGGTATATTGACTGGAAAACGAGGTTGATCGATTACCAGGAAACGAGGCGGAATGGGCAATAGACCATCGATCAGCCTCGTTTCCAGGCGCGGCCACCCCAGCTGAATTTCTGACGAAAACTAAAAACTAAACAGATAAATACAAAAGAAGAATACGCAAACATATTGCTCGATAAATGTTATCTACTTTATCAGGAGTATCTGAAAGCAAAAAATCTGTTTATGTCCTGAAACCGTGCAGAGAAATAGGCCAAAGCTTAGAAGAAAGTCTAGGAGGTAAGCTTGTTGACTGAACAATAGATGTGGAGATTTACGCAGATTCCCGAGGCTGTTATCCACCTCGGCCTTCACCTCGGTGGATAACAGCCTCCTCGATCTCCATAATTCTTCACAACATACTCAACCTCATTCAATGATTGCTAATTATACAGTAAAACCTCACGAAGTCTTTGGTATAACGAACGATGCGATGTTCTTCACCCCAGCAATAGTAAAACATATGGTAGAGAACCTTGATATAAAGGAACCTCGGCTCGTTGTAGCGAAGACACTTTGCCAAGATAGTTAAAGATCTTTGTATTGTCTTTATGGATTATATATGAGCATAAGAGCTCTGTGGACGAAGCTTCAACTCTCATGGCACTAGAACCGTTAACATGCTTATTAATTCTTTTTCTCTGTAGATCGGTTTAGCTGTAGATGACATCAAAGGTGTCCAAGACCAGGCAGTCCTTGAGCGGCAAGCTATGTTGGTATGTACTTTGTCTCGCTGACTGTCCGGTTGATCATTTGATCTTTGATTCTTAATTCTGCATGACCGGCCGGATTGGTCAGTTTTGAAATGAAACAGGCTTTTCTCGGGAGTTTTCGCGAAAAAACTCATCGCTGCCATGCGTGACTTTCATGAGGTGACTGATCTGGCTGGCTGATTAATAGTTAAATTTCCGTATGAGTGGACTGGCCTGGTCGCCCAGTTATGACCAAAGGTAAGCGCTCTTAGGTTCCTTGTTAGGCGAGCGTCTAACAGCTTGTATGCTTCAGTTTAATTGCAATAGCGGCCCTCTTCTAAGCATGTACTGGAGAACGCTGACCACCCAAGACAGCATATAAATAGACATTTGCGTTAGGTAGCCTGTCACAGGACCGTAGGAGTGGGGAGGGGGACCCGTGCCCCCCCTAACTTTTTGGGCGAAAATTTAATGAGATTAGACGAGATGATGAAATTCAACGCTCACGAGGAATTTTTGGGTCTCTACGAAGTAACAAGCACAGAGGCAGTGACAACATTTAAATCCATTAAAGGCATTTTTAGGCGGCTAAATCTTTCTTTTACAAAAGAAAGAAGACAATGCTTTGATATTGGTACCTCCATGGCAGGGTCCAGGAATGCTGTGGCTGTTAAAATTCGTTCACTGGAACCAAGAGCATTCTCGGACCCAATGCTGACGGGTTTGGGAATGCGCGCGTGATTGGAATCAAGAGCTGTATACACATTGCTATGGGCGTGCGCTAAATCTTGCTAAATCTCGCTCTAAATCTTGCGTGTTCACGTAGCCTTTTAAGCTGCACATTTTTGCTGCACGTGGTTGCAAGATGCGCTGGATGTTTCACAAAAGAAAGTCTCTTTACTTATAAAAGAATCACCTCGCCGTGATGCTCTTTTCCAGGCTCTGTAGGAGTTAGGGTTCTATGTCCAACAAGATGGGAAGTTAAAGCACAGGGTCCAGAGGAGTTTCGTGTGAATAAATGAATTACTTATTTAAAGTCCCACCTTGAAAAATGTCTATACCTGTCGCTTAGCACGATTAATTAGCCCTATGGGATCTTTATAAATCTACTGTAAACGATTTCTTCGCTTCTTATCTGACCCAGATCGACTTTTGAAAATCAGTAACCGCAAGCCATATCCTCGCTGGCGCACGGCACCTCGCCCGAAGGGTGACCGAAGGGCGACTGAGGCACGAAGTGCCGAGTAAAAGAAAGGACAACTTTCCGTATTTTATACTGTAAGCCGATCTTGCGAGCCCTCAGTCTCTTGGTTTGCGGTCCACAGAATGTGTAACGAAACTGTAAAGCGATCATAAATAACCCATTTTTTCAGAGGTTTTCGACGGGTTTTGATGCTCTAACGACAAACACATCTCCTCTGGACCCTGTGGTTAAAGCGGGTTCTCTTCTTTCCATAATTTTAAATTTCAAGACAGTTTAATGAAGCTCTTGAGTATGTAAAAGACACTGAAATGCGAAGCAGGATAAGAAGTGTTTAACTGTTTATGAGAAAATCTGACTTCATGTTTGGTGCAATGCTTGGTGAGTGCCTCTTACGACAGTGACAACCTTAGCCAGGCTTTGCAAAGCCCACAGGTTTCTGCTTCGGAGGGCCAGAAGATGTCAGCACTTACTGTTACATATAAAACCTTGGAAACACGGAATGATGCAGCATTTGGGCTTTTGGGGGAAACTCTCACAGGTGGTCGAAAGTTGGACACTTTTTCGAAGCCGACCTACGTTGAACATTTAGGTAGTTAATTAGTACTGATTGAAACCACTGTATTTACAACTATGGTCACGATAATCCAGTACTTTTGAGTGGACACTCGGCGAACACCGGTTCCCTTTTTTCCCAGCAGTTTATACTTTGTTACTACGATACAGGTTTGATATTGCTTGAAGATAGCCCAAAGGTGGTTAATAAATGCCCCAGTCTGTATTAGAGCGTATTTAAACTTTCAAGATTTGGCGGGGGGAGGGAGGTTCTCGGCCCACAATAGTCGAGTACCCCACTAGCACTGCTAACCTTCGTGCTCTCTCAATTTCAAATTCTTTCCAAGGGGCCTGGCGCCAGGTGATCAAATAGTTCGTTTTAGAAAAAAACGATTTTAGCAGGAACTGAAAGAGCACAATAAACAATAGGTAAGCCGTACATTTCACAAGTAGCGATTGCAGCGCCCGCCGAAAATTAGAAGAATTTGTGACACCCAGTCACGGTTGAGTGGTTTTCAATAAATTTTGACATTTTAAAGCTGTCGTAAAATCTTTCCCTTCCTCGTTATAGGTCTAATAATAAAATATTTTCTTTTGTCCACAGCGGAAGATTTGAGCCTCCTAGTCCGTAATGGAAAGATTTAACGACAGTTTAAAATTTTCAACGGCCGGTCCAAAATACAGGTCACTTTTACACAGGTCAGAGTACAGGTCACCATGATACAGATAAATAAATAGCATTAGAAGTGTCTTCTAGCCTTATCTCAAATGTTCTATTAGATCGAGGGGAATCTTACCCTGGGTACCAGAGGTTTTTCTCGCGTGCGGCGGGAATTTTCGGTTTTGGCTGAAGGCCGACACATCTTCGGAAACCGCGCTAGAAAAGTCTCTGGCAGCCAAGGTAGGGGAATCTGTGTGGCTTGGTAATTTAGCGATGGAGCAGTGACCTGTACTCTTGACCTGTGGAATGTGACCTGTACTTTAGACCCGGCCTACAAATCCTTCTAATTTTCGGCGGCCGCTGCAATCGCTACTTTTGAAATATGAAAATTCACAGGTTAAAAATATAGTGACCCCGGCCCACCGACTTTTTTTGCTCTCAATTTGTTGCGCGGTCAGTTGTAGCCTCTCAATTCTTTTCATCGCATCATAACCTTACCTTTTGATTGCTTCAAGGTTGACCTAGCGATGGACGTAGAAAAAGCGTTGCCGAGAAAATTCAGGAAGAGACTTCTCCCGGATAGAGAAGTCATTCGGCCAAACCAATACACGGGGTTTAAGCGTTACTGGTATATGCCACCCGTCTCGGCGCAAGATGTCAAAACTGCTCTTAATCCAAACAAGGTAGGTCTGAGAAGCATTGCAGAGTTCTTTTGACCGCTGTCGCAAGGGATTACGGGTTGTATAGTGTTTGTGGTTTGTATATTACGGAAAGTAACGCTATAGAGGGTTACCATTCAAGTAATAACAGGTATAACGTTGAGTGGTTTGCAAGAATTTAGAATAATTAACAAGATGGCGACAAATGCGAAGGAATTGTCGTTATCGACTACTCCCTAGTCATCTTCAGAATCTTCATTTGCTTCGCTATACCTTTCTTACTGTCAAATACACAAAACACAAAGCAATGACCAGAATCGAAAGCGAAGGCTGAGCAAATAAGCTGACGTCACATGACGTCATCGGCCTTTCTTTGATCTTTTACTCGTTCCCAGTCTCTGGGACTTTTCGGAAGGGGAAAAACAGGTTTTGGACGGCCAAAATTCAAGAAATTGTTATTGAAACCTATTTTAAAACCAAAAACAGTTTTAAACAATTCCCTGCCATTTACTCTTTTAGCTGTTAGGTGTCTAGACTGTGGAAAAAGGACTCCTGGCGTTCTTCGCTTCTGACATCTCAGGAGTGGTTAGTTTTCAGTCAGACTTGTGACGTTATTAATGTTCCTCTCTCAACTTGTTTGCTCGTTTTGTTTTCGGTTTAGTCATCTCTCGAAAAGTTGAACGATCGAACTGAGGCACTTCAAGAAACTGTGGAAACTATGAAAAGCCGCTTGAAAACAATGCAGTATAATCAAGAGGAACTGCACAAGATGCTGGGGGGAATCGTCAAGAAACTGGAAGCTATCGTGGAAGGAGACGACGATGATGATGATCAGCTGTTTTGATCACCTGACCATTTTACCGCTGGTCGGTAGGATAGCTGGCTCAAAACCTTCCGTTCAAAGAAGATACTGCTGACCAATTTAAGCAGACTTTTGAGACTGCCTTAAAGTGTCTTTACTAATTGCACATACTGCTATGTCGTTAGAAATAATGCCTTGACATATTTATATCAATAATACTGCCTCTTTTGACAGGTAAATGAGCATTAATGCGGTAGTCGAATGTATCAAGTTTGTAGGTAGCCTGTCTAGTTTCTATGAAATTTCTAGTTAGGATTCTTGAATGATAATGATGATGATTTTATCTGTTGGTTTTAGGAGAAGCCCATTGTAGGTTCAGAAAGAGCGATACACCCTGTAGACAGCGGTCAGAAAATTGTTTCGCAAAATTGTTGCGGTTTAGAAAGTCGTAAACTTACAAAGTTTTTCAATAATCGAGGAAATGCCAACAAACGTCCGATTACTGAAAGGTAGTTGGCGTTATTAAGACTTTAAACAATACAGGCCTTAAGATGCCTCTTTTTGCTTTTTTTCAACTGATTTCTGGTAGTATTTGACCGCACGAAAAAGTTCTTTTTGGCCATATAATAAATCTCTTATTGACCAAGCTTGCTCTGTCAAGATGGGTGTGTATTGGCCTCGTTCTTTTTTGCGTTTTTATTGACCTCGACTTCGTCTCGGTGCATAAAAACGCAAAAATAAAAGTTGGCCCATATCCAGCCAACTTGACCTCACGTTTGGTCAAAGCTTCATATCCCTTGTGCCCAAAGAAAGGAAGTTAAAGACCACTAAACGTCATGCACAGTGAACCTTTTGCAGTACAATGGTGCTTCTTGACAAAATGACCGTTAAATAGAGGTAAAAGCGAAAATATCTCGTTCGGAGCTGAGAAAAGGTGACCTCGACTGCTAAATGCAGGTGACCTCTTGATACAGTTCAGTTTACTGTAATGAAGGGAAATGATTCCCGGGACTTAATTAAGTAACGCTTAATAGAAGGGAGGTGACTGATTGATACAGGTCAGTTTTATAGTTATTGAGGGAAATGATTTCGGAACTTTGATAAGTGACCCCTTAATACAGGTTCGCTTAATACAGGTTTAACTGTAGTCTTTTGTTGAGAAAATCACAAAGGTAGTTTGTAGTTATCTGCATACGCTGAATAATGTAAGCCTTTTTTTGTGCAGTTTTTTAAAACAATCATGCCATGCCGGAAGTAGCGTTGGTTGTGCCTTGTGCTTCTAAATTATTTAATATTCAGAAATAGTTATCGTAACTTATTTATACACATCACCCGCGGTGTTTAAAGGAGGTATAGATTGTATTCTATGCTTCGTCTGTGAGAATAAAGTCCATTGATCGTTCCTGTTACGTCACTCCAGGACGAGTTGATGACAGTTAGTTACCATAACAACTCATAAATTCTGTTGAGCCGAAAGAGAGTAAAGGCGCCGTGAGGGAAACGCCCAGTCTAGCCCTTGGGATTTGAGAATTTCTCCCAAGTTATTTTTAGACCAATAAAACTCTTGAAATTAATCGGTCTGCAAACTTTTATTGAATGTTGTCAAGAGAGAATTCAACTTTTGGCGTTACAATATTCTGCATTGTTTGCTTTGAGGCTACTTGATGACATTTCAAATAATCAAAAATGCGGACGTCTCAGGAACTAGACTTCCGTAAAATTACAACCGCTCAAAATAACTTGAGTGAACTTCACATATCCCGGCCAACGCCCTGAGTTTCGCTTTCTGACCCATTATGCTCTCTTGGTTTAACCTTAAAACAGTCGCAAGAGTGACCAACATCAATAATTTGTCAACAGTATAAAAAAAAGAAAAGGCTGTAAGAATTAATAAAATGATCACCTTTAGGTAAACTACGTTAATTGTTGATCTCGAAGCAAATTCTCTCGATTATTCTTTAAGGAAATGTATGAAGATCATTCTAGAGAATTTGTACGTTATTTATTTCGTGGCTTAAATGGTTAATGGACAAAGATGACTGCGCAGTATTTCTTATTTAATTCTTTTTTATTGACAAGAAAAGCGTAATTCGAACCGTTCGTTTACTACCAAAAAGACCCTTAGCTTACTACTGCAAAGCAGTGACGGCAGTTTGACAGGTTTAACAGAGTGCGTTTTCCTCAGAATGAGTTTTTTCCTCAGAGTCGCATTCAAACTTTACTGTATCCGTTTCGTCCAAGTGTTTTAAAGTTATGACAACATCGCTCCAGCTTTCCTTATCCCCAGTGGTTCGGAGCTGTAAGACTTCTGTAGCTTGACTTTTGCCTGCGAGAAGCTTGCGAAGCGATGCAATACCTCTACCCTCAGTAGCGTTTGAAAAAGGATCGTTATCGCCATCACTTGTATCGATTATTCGAATTCTTGGTTCAAGGGGTCCGCTTACCTCATACATCTCTTCACTCCAGCAAGGCGGGATAAACACGACATTTGTTCGGGATCTAGGGGCGAGTTCCCACGACTCTATTTTCTCGGATTCAAAATCAGGTTCGTCATTTAAATACTCCCGCGAAAACTTCAGTTCAGCTATGCAGCTTGGAGCACCTGGCTCATCCCGTTCTAACTTGATATCCTCATCAACCATAGTTTCGGTGTGGTTGTCGTTGTCTATGGGGCGTCCGGTAAGCACACCCTTTGGCATCTCGCTAAGGACAGGCTGGGCCCATTTTAAGCTTCCACCAGCTGGAAAGAAGCTAACGCCCTCGACCGGAGCGGTTTTTGACCTTTGAGCAACTGTTCGCGCATTAGGCGCAGAGATTCTGCAAAATCGCTCTTCTCGTTTGATTTTCTGCTCTCTGTCTACAGCTTCGTCACTTTCAGCGTCTTCGCGGACCTTTATGTTGCTTCTGTTTTCTTGCAGTATTTGTTTAGCGGCTCTTTTTGCTTCAAACCTTTCGGTGGCCTTCTTTATTTCGTTGACACGCCTACATTTCTCACAGGTCCAAGAATTTCCTTCGCACTTGTGTTGTTTTTTGTATTCTGTTGTGGACCTAGTAAGTGCCTTCCAATGAAGAGATTTTAGCGGGCGGCTATCCTTCTCTTGCTCTGGTGGGTTGATGTTATCTTTCCGTTGTTCCGTAACAGTTTCTGTTGGCCTAACATTAATAATTTTATTTGTCTTACCAAAATTATTTGTGGCTGCCACCGCGGACTCATTAGATAATTCAGCCCGAAGTTTCTGAAGATTGGCGAAACATGATGACCTGCATGGCTCTTGAACTGTCATCGCTGCCATTCCTTCAACGGAACAAGGATCAAGCATCGAGTCTAAAACCCTCTGCTGCGCTTTTCTTGTTTCTGGCGATAATTTTTTGTTGGTGGAAATCTGCATGTTGCCATTACTACCCAAAAGCCTTTGAAGCACAGAGAAATGTCCACTCTGATTCCATAAACTTGGTAACATGTTGCAAGCATTCGCACTACTTGATTATTTGTGACATGCTTCTCTTATAAAATTCTGGATGTTTGTGTGAAGGGCATTTGAATCACGTGATTAACTAATTAGCTTGAACGTAACAAGAGGATGCGCGCGCTCTGAGCAGTTCTCTAATTGGTTGCTTTATTTATTTT